AGACTTTGGCGGTTTCACGAAACTTTGAAAAATTGGTTGTTAAAAGATTTTCTGCTAAAATTGATAATTTAAAAGCCAAGAATCTATACGTGTCTATAAATCTAATTTTAAAATCATTGCTTATATACTTGGAAAATTAAATAAAATTTTCTTTCGTATTAGGAACGACTTTTATTGTATTAGAATCATAACCTAATTCCGTAGCAATAAAGTATGCATCATATTTTGATAAATTGTGGAGAAAACATGGGACAAATTTGGGTGTTTTTAATTTCAAGTTGCATGTGTTGCATAATGTATGCCTGAATTTCCCTGATAAGTGGCAGTAATCTACCACTTTAGGATTTTTTGTTGGAAAAAATACACTTACATAAATCGCAAGTAATTTTCATTACATGTGTTCTTCGTTCTTTTTCAGTCATTATTATAGGATTATTAGTTTTAAGCAAATCTTTAACTTTTCTTGCAATCTCTGCAATTTCTTTCATGAATCTTTTGCTTACGTCTTGGTGTGTATCATTACCACGGAAAATAATTGGTTTTTGTGGTATATTGAACTTTTCTAGCAGATCTATGGGAACGTTTTCTATAGTCTTTGCGAATATTCCATAGCTCAGTGGTTTGTGGTTTTGAATTGCTAATGTATTTTTGCCTTTACTTTCTTTACATTTTACCAGAAGTGCTTCAAAATCTGCATAAATGACTATTGAATGACATTGAGTCTTACTCCATCCATCAAACTCTAGAATTGTACCGAGCGCAGGCATAACAGGTAATATGGGTTTATGTTCACCACATATTCGTGAATGTTCTTCTAATTTATTTTTTTGTCTACTGTCAAAAGTTGAAAAACAACTTTTACAAAATGTAATACTTTCCTTGTGCAGAGTTTTTTGTGCACGAGCAAGCCAGGAAAAGTTTGAAATATAAGCATAGCGTGACATATCATTATCTTTTAATAACAACAAATCAAAGTGATTTGACTTTTCCTCGACTACTCGCATTGGAAAAACATGATGATCATCCTTCTTCTTCTTCTTCTTCTTCAAACCGTATATATTGACCGAAACATTGTTGTTTTTTTCAAATATGTTAACTTCATTGGAGGGGGTTGGGAATGTTAAACCGGAGAAATTGTATTTATCTACTTGAATAAAATAATTTTGACCCACTCGTTATTTGTTTTTCCCAACTACATGCTTTGACAAAATGACCCACTTGAAACATTGATAATCTGTATTATGAGGGTTTATCATGGCCTTTTTAGCTATAATATCTTTGGGTAACTCGATGTACGAGGACCCACCCATAGGTGTATACGTGTATACATCGAGTAACAAACCATCAATCATCTCCAGAGTGAACCCGCTGCCTTTACCTTGGTATTCATCCTCCTCAGTTGAAATTTTAACAAACATTTTATCAATAATTTCCTCTATATAAGTATCATTAAAAATCGCCCTGGCCGAGGTTTTAAAAGCTCTATTCACGGACGAATTCTCCACGGTTAGTTTATTATAACTAGCTTCTAATTTAAGATTAAATTTAATGGGTAATGCTCAGTGGCGTAGTCAGGATTTTTAAATGGGGGGGGCTAACCACTTTTTTGGATAAGTAAGGTAAGAGAGGATATGAGAATTCACCCTTAACCCCCACCCACCATCTACCACCAAGTTTCTAAACGTAATTCAAGTATTTTAGTATAGTTTTAAAAATATTTATTAATATATAATTTATAATAATAATAATAATTTTGGTTTCCGTGTTCAGTCACTTGCTCCACTCTGACAGCTGTATCCTCTTAGGCGAATTTCTGGCAAATTCAGTTATTATTTCACTTTTATCGAATTGCTCTTTTTTATTTATTTAGCCATAGCTAACCCATTCAGTCTGTTTTCCGACATGGTGCTTCTTAAAAAAAATTTTAAGCGATTAAGTGCTGAAAACGTTCTTTCCGGAGTGAAAGAGGTAACTGGTAACGTGGCGAATAATTGTAAAAGTATTTTAATGTTAGGTCGAAGATTGGTGTGATGAGAGAGTGAATCAAGAGCAGAATTCGGTTTTGGAATTTTGACTCCATTGTTGCCTCCATATGAACAGGTCAGCTCTGATTGTAGATGAGGTATCATCATGGAAATCTTGGACATATATTTTAGCAGCTTTTATAATATTTTTATCGTCATACATATTTAAATTGGCCTGAATAAGTCCTTCAAATGTCATAACATCAATAAGCCTTTGATTAAAACGAGCATCCGTTGATTCTATTAAATAGTCAATATACATTATAGATATAAACACGGCCCATGGGGGGGGCTATAGCCCCCTTAGTCCCCCCCTTGGCTACGCCACTGGTAATGCTGTTGATTTTAAAATGTCTATCAGGTCTGATTTTACTGATTTGAGAAAAACCGAATAATTGAGAATATTTGTAGTATTTCTCTTATAATACCACGTTATACGAGTACGGTTGTTAAATGATGATCCTACATTAATAAAACCAATATAATTACCCACCAAACCTAACCGAGATCTTTTAACTCGCCTATTATTATCAGTGTTTTCATTATTACATCGGTTAGAGATCCCTAAGAAATAAAATATTAGTAGTGAGTAACTAAAATAGTAAACTACTTGGCACTTGATATTTTTAAAAAATAATCCTACCTGAATTATCACACGAAACGGCACTCTCAATACCATCCGCCATATGATGAAGCAATTCATCGTAACCATCATTCCCCCCATACCTCGGATGAATGAGTAGCAGGTAGTATATTCGGAGGTGCTACTTCTACCCTTTCTGTATATGTTCGAACAACATTGTACAGAATATATTTAAAAATTTATAAATTATATAAGTACGTACCATGAACAGTTTTAATATATCTTTTAAGGATGTCCTGACGTTTGTATGTTTTTGAACATTGTCCACGCGAAAACTTGATATCTCCGTGTAGCTTAACATGTCTTTGTAAGCTATCTTTACGATTATAAACTCTAGCACATACTGTACAAGAAAACATTTTTTTTTTTTTAAACACAAAAAATACACAGAAATAAAAATGGTCAATCCGTGTACGATGTTCGAGCCAAACTAAGCAACAGTCAAATCGGCATATGTTCTTCTGTGATAATTTAATCAAAATTATAATAATGAAAAAAACCCCTCTCTGATAATAAAAAATCGTGTAGTACACGAAAATTATCGAAATACTGCACTGTAAGTTAAAATAATATCATTGTATAATTCTCGTAATTATTCTTTGCAAGCTATTATTTTGTGAACAAAAAAAAATTACACGTGCTATAAGGTGATCCACTCTTTATACGATTTTGATTAATGCAGACTCAATGTTTTAAATAATTATTATAAAACCACACATGAGAACATTTTATTCCAACCATTTCGATTAACTCATCATTACATTTGATAATTTGTTGTATAATAAAATGTAACCATTATTGTCTGATTAAATATGACAATCTGTATATAATGTACAGAAAAATACTATACCAATATATGCATTATTATTATATATAAAAAGTTGATGTGTGCGATCAGTTTTAATGAAATAAGTGGTTACCATGTATGATAAAAAAAACTTTTTTGTAGTGAGTACACAAAAAAAAATTTATGTTGAAACGTGTATGATTATGATATAAATATTCTGTGTTTTTATAACATTTTATTGTATTCGATTGTTATCCAGATATTTCTTTGATTTTAAATAATCAATTCATAATTGACAATATGTTTACTATTCGTTAATACTACCACAAATATTTAATTTTTTTTTTTTTAAGCGGTCCATATAATTGTTGTCGTATGAGGTTCGATATAAATGATTTAACAACTTATTTCAATGTAATATTATGAATATATTTAGTAAATTAATAATCACATATTTGATGGTCCAGGTGGATAGTTTGGAACAATTATATCTCTTGATAAATGAATATTATTCAACTGTAATGATTGTTCATTATCATCTAACGCCTTGCAGCCATATCATATCATCACTTTCATCGAATTTTGCTTCATTAGTTCCCTCTAAAAATATCCTAAGTGATAAATAGGGGTTATGTACTTTATGAAATTATCTTACCAGAATCGAATGTTTTATTATTATTATTGCGTTGTGCTGAAATGAACATATCAAAAGAACATTCTTGTTGTGGAGAGTAATAAGCAAAGGCTAAATTTATCTCTTCAATAGAAATAAAAGTTGGTGAAGGAAGTGAATCGTATCCATTATCATCATAGTATTCTGTCTATATTAAAAAAAAAAAAAAAAAAAAAAAATACATAACTATATTTTAACAATTACTTGTTTTGTAACTTACCATATCTCCAAATATATTTTCAAGCTGTTCAATGTTCATTCTTAATAATATTCAGGGGTAACACTTAAAATTGAAAAAATATACGATATTATTTTCTTGCGGAAGGATTAAAACAACGATGTGAACGTAAATGCGGTGGCGGTGGTGCTTGAAGCCCCCATTTTATCCTACTAATGACAAAAAATGTCCTTAAAAAATTACCTAAAAAATAGATAAATATTTGTTTTAAATTGATAAAAATACATTTTTTTAAATATTTTACTCTGTATTACTGTAACATTCTATATAAATTTATCAAAACTTACAAATTACTCAACATTTGACTTAAAAATGACAACAAATATCCTTAAAATATAAAATTAAAAAATTACAAATATTTGTTTTGTAAATTTAACGAAGCTTACAAATTACTCAAAAATCAAAATAATTGCATTCTACAATTAAAGCGTATTTGATGTTATCAAAAGTAAATGAATAACGATTATCTGTTTATAAATATTTATATTTGGAAAAACTTCTTTCGACGTCCACTGAAGTGATAAGGAGGCACAAACGAGCCACTAGCCGACGTTATAATTTTCGTCATTTTGAAAATATTACGAAAAAAATAATAAAATGTTGATATAATAGTTCATAAAAATAAATCAGTAAAAATGAATAAAAATGACTTAGTAAGTAATAAACACCAAAAAATACAAAAAATGCAAAATAAAAATTAGTTATTCGGATTCACATGCTTAAGAAACATATTTGTGGCTAGGAGAGTATTGTCTAAAAAGTTCCAAAAAAAAAATGCAAAATGCATAAACTTTCGAGCCATCACTAGATGAGCAAACCAAGACCAAGATAGTCTAACTATCATAGTGGTAGTATTGATCTTGTTCTTGCAGCTTATTCTTAGGATTTTTAGTCGATTATATTCTTGGTCTTGGACTTGGTCTTACACTTCAAGTCTTGGTCTTGTTGAAAGACTCTTGCATTATTTAAAATTTAAAGAAATAAATATATCCCTATCTAGGCTATGAGTTGATAGAATTTGATAATTGTTTATTATCTCCAAGAAAATTAGTTAAACACAATTGAGATATACGCATATACATCATTATATGGGTATGACAATAATATTAGTGAGCACTGTACAGTCTCAAATAACACATCGTCATTTATATCAATTTGTTTTTGCTTCAAAATCGATCGTATTTAATTAATATTTTTTGTAATTTTTTGATAAAAAAGAGTTTATGTTTAGTTAAAAGGAAACTAAATTGTTGATCATTGACAGTAAAAAGTATGGATTTCAAAAGAATCTTGCATGTGATAACTTATAGAGGTGGATATATACAAAACGAAACGTGAAATTGAATGGAGATTGTTTATTTGAAAATCTTTTAACACGTAAACACGAAAGAAAAGGCAATGGTACATTCATGCAACAATAATTAACAAATTTACTAAAAAGAAAATGTGAAGACGTTTTTCACAGAGCCACCACCTAAAATTAAACGGGAATCGGTCAACTTGATAAAATACCTTTTTCAAATAGGAACTAATTAGGCATGCAGGGTTGAGGCTCGGGAACCAATTTAAATTTATTGTAAAATATCTCACTTATTGTGATGCAACATAAATAAATATAATAACATTAAATAATTTTTAATAACTGTATTTTCGCAAAAAACATACAATCGTCAAGCAATAATATATATTAAATTAGGTAAAAGCAGTAAAAGAAGTCGATTTATTAGATTTATTTTATTCAAGAGAATCATCTCGGTCACTTTCGGCACCAGTGGGTCTATTGCAGCGAGTTAAATGATTGCGAACAGCATCTTCACTCAATATAAATACAAAACATATTCTACATACCCATACCGGATTATAACCGGTCGTTGTTTAATCAAACCTCATCATGAAAATGGGGCAAAATAATTGTTCCTCACTTGGTTCTTCATGATTTTCCATCTTTATTTTCATATTAGATTTGAATAATTTTAATTTTTGTAGTACTGTAGATAAAACACATAAATCCAATAAGTTTTGTAACAAAGTACAAATATTGATTTTTATGTAGTATTCTGACTATAACTAATTTCTTCAGAATATTAATATTCAAAAACTCAAAGTTTTTAAATTTTATCCATACAAATGTACAAAATTAATTATGATAAAGATGTCTTATTTTACATATTTCTGGAGTAAATCATACCATCTACAAATATTTTATTTGTCTGACTTTGGTAAATTTATTATTTATGTGTTTGTATACAGTAGTCAAATGAATTTAAATTAAAAAATTAAATAAATTAAAAGGTCTACAGAAATCTCAAAAAATTAATAATTACAGGTATAAATTTAATAGAAAACAGAGGAATTTGATTAAACAATATGAAATATTTTACCTGAGTTTTTGTAATTTTCAAAATCTATTTTTATAAATTTTATTGGCATAGAACCATGGTTTAAATATCTTCTAGTATAGGTTGTTTTAAAACAGTCTTTTTTTAAATGAAAGAATCAATTCCTACGAGATGGTTTATAATATTCCTCAAATAATCCATATAATTTCAGCCATAGAGATCTTTGAAATAAATTGAACTTAAATCTAAAAATAATATCCATTTATGTATTTTGTATTAATTTGAAAAAATTAAACTTACCTGTGTAAAAAAAGGTTTAGAAATTTGATTGAAGTTCTAAATATAATGTACTACTACTAATATAATGCAATGTGCAAATTATAACATTTCAGTAGATATTGTTGCTTTGATGAAAATTGTAACATGTATTCTAAGTAGCGAGTAAGTTTTGTATGATGTACTATGAAGACTGTTAAAATCTTTTTTTATAGATGCGGAATGACGAAAATTCATCCATCACTCAACGCAAATTTATAGGTTAGATTATTGGGGGTTGTAAACATGTGTTTTTTAACTTCAAATCAATAGTCTACGGTGAAGGGAGCAATATAGTTATTTGTACTAATCTGTCTCCTCCAATCAGGGAAGGGACTATTGTAGTACATTAGTACTGGGTGATGGACGCGACACTTTCCCAACGCCATTGACTGTGGTCCGGGGGATTGTCACACCTGTATCAGATAAAAGTCTCTCGCGGGAATATTCATAAACACAATTATGTAAAATTAAATTTTTAATTTGAAGTTTATCTCCTCAAATCCATTAAACAACGATGGAAAATTCTTTTTTTTTTTTGTTAAATCATTTATTAAAACAAATGTTTACAATCTTTATTAAGGAACATAATAAGCAGGGACTAAAACCTCGAGGAATTTTACGGTTCCAGTTCTGGTTCAGTTCCTAGAAAAAAAATCAGTTCTGGTTTTGATGACGATTCTAAAATAACTAAAATTTGGATTTTGGTATCTTTTCAGTTTTAAAAAAAAAACTAAAATTTCGGTTTCGGTTATTAAAATTATAAGCATAGAAACAGGGGGGAGGGGGGTATGGAGATGGATTTTTTTATATATATCTTATATACATTTTATGCATTACACGGAAGAAAGAAAAACTGAAAATCCTATGTTATCAATTTTTATAAATCGTTTTATTTTAATTTGACCGATAGATAACGTTTGATCAGATTGTCGGAGAACTTATTAGTCACTACCATCGATCTCATACTAGTTTAATCAAGTTTAATAGTTTGTAATTATAACTTATGTATAGTATAATATATTACATTTTATATTAATATTTTATGTTTAATTTAGATGATTCTGACGGTAATAATTCTAATTTGAATGACTTGAATGAAGGTAATTTTCGAGCTATTCTAAAATACAAAGCTAAAGACATAGATTATTTAAAAAATCATCTAGATTCTGACTCTCGAAATAAATACATAAGTCCTCAAATACAAAATGAAATTATTACTATATATGGTGACTTAATACTAAGTAAACTAGTAAAGATAGTAAATTCATCTCAGTGCTTTTCTGAATTAAGTGATGAGATAACGAATGTGTCAGTTAAGGAACAGATTACGCTATGTGTACGTTTTGTTAATGGTACTGGAGAAAATGCCAAATTAGGCGAGTTTTTTTTGAAGTATGTTCAAGTACATAATTTAACTGGTGAAAATTTAGCTTCAGCTATACTTGAAGGTATGCACTATTTTATGAATATATTAGGTGATGAGTTTAATAAATAAAATAATTTTTTTTAAATTGTATTTACATAAGGTTTAAATTCTTGCGGAATTGACTGCTCTAAAATTTATGGTCAGGGTTACGATGAGGCAAGTAATATGTCAGAGAAATTTAAAGGAGTACAAACTATAATACGAAATAAGTATCCTAGGGCATTATATGTTCACTGTGCTGCCCATACATTGAATTTGGCAGTGTCTTCATCATATGAACAATAATCTATAAGGAAATGTTTAGGTTTGGTAGAAAAAATGCATTGTTTTTTTAACACACCTAAACACCACAGTATACTACTGGAAGCTATTACTAATAGTGATCTTAATCCATCATCCAAATCATACATTGATTCTTTTATAATTAATTTAAAGCAAGGTTTCTTGTCCACAAAAATATTTTAAAAGATACCTAAGTTACATTAAAATGGTCATTTGTTATTAAATATTATTTACAAAAATCATTAGGTATGGACTTTCTGTCTAGGTTTTCAATATATATTTTCTGGTAACATTGATTTTCAAGACTTTGAAGAACTTGTACATTTTTATTTTGACACTGATGTTCAAACAGTAATTGCAGGGTTAAAAATCTGGCAATCAAAACTAAGTGTAACAAATAAAAATCCTACGATAGCTATAGAAGCCCTGAGACTATATGATTCTTTATTTTGCTGGCATTTATTACTCTTGAAGTGTTTTTGTCGCCATCACGATCTTGTTTCCAATCCTCTCTGTTATGGACTATTGTCCTCCACTCTCGTACTCCTATTTTCTTGAGGTCTTCTTCCACTGTAACTTAACATTTTTTCTAGACTTTCCACGAGGCCTCTTTTCCGTAGGTCTCCATTCCAGCACCATTCTAACCGTCTCTTCCTAATTTCTTCGCATTACGTGACCAAACTATTGTATTCATTGGCCACTTATAAAGCTAGTGACTGGTGCCAGATCCAACTCATCCTATAATTCTCGATTAAATTTTCTTCTCCACGCATCTGTTCTATTATCCTAGACATGATCACAAATAATTCTCCAATTTTTTTTCAAACGTCCTTAGTCTCCTTTCTAAATTACTAGTGGTTGTTCAGGTTTCGCATCCATAAGTTAACGTGGGCTTTATTATAGCCGTGTACAACCCTGTCTTTGTTTTCTTTGAGAATAATTTTGATTTCAAAAACTTACTTAATGCGAATGCTGCCTTTTCAGCTTTTGTTATTCTTATTCTGATCTCTCTTGACCAATCATTTTTGATATTCAACATGGCGCCTAAATATTGAAATTCGTTAACTTTTTCAAAGCCTATTGCTTCACCATCATCGTCATATTCTCTTCATTCTCTAATAGTTTCATTATTTTCGTTTTTTCCTTATTAATTTTAAATACTACTTTACCGGCTGTTCTTTTGGTGTCATTTAACGAGCTTCCCAAAATGTTTAAATCATCCGCAAACCCAAGCACCTGAGTTCTTCACTCCCCTATTGTTATACCAGTTGTCTCCTTCTGCATTTCTTTAATTGTTTTCTCCAATGCCAAATTAAATAACATTGGAGACAGTGCATCTCCTTGTTTTGGACCAGTATTTACCTGAAATGCTTTAGAAAATACACATTTTGGTTAAACCTATTAACTTCTTTGGGATTCCAACTTCATCCATTATATTGTACAAACTATCCCGATGTATACTGTCATAGGCTTTCTTGAAGTCTACTCGTACTATTTCTCTATTATTTGGCCAATTACTGACAGCTGCTCTATCGTTGATCTCCCTTTTCGAAAACCGCACTGGTATTCTCCTAGGTTCTCTTCCACGTAGGACTCTAGACGGTTTAACAATATTTTCGAGAATATTTTGTAAGCTGAATTTAATAATGAGATACCTCTGTAATTTTTGCAAACTGTTTTGTCCCCTTTTTTATATAACGATATAATTATCGCTTCATTCCAACTCATTGGCACATGTTCATCTCTCCAAATCTTCTGGCATATTTTGACCATGGCATAATTTAACTGTTTGCCCCAGTATTTGATTAGCTTTGATGGTGTGCTGTCCGAACCAGGTGCCTTCCAATTTTTTAGGTTAGCTATCACTTTATCAGTTTTCTCTTGAGTTACTTAATTCACCATTGGTTCGACTCTTTGGGAGGTTGTACCTACTGTTGGATTCACTGGTACCTCCGCATTCAAAAGTTCTTTAAAATATTCTTTCCACCTTATAGCTTTTAGCTCTGGTTCCATAATTATTTCTCAATCACGATTTTTAATAGCTTTCAAGCTTGGGTTGAACGACTTATATTGCCTGATGGTTCTGAAGAAGTTCCTTATACTACCTTGTGAACAGTCTTTTTCAGCTTCTTGTAGTATACCGTTTAAGAAGTTTCTTTTTTCTCTTTGTATAATTCTCTTGCAATTTTTTCTCTCTATTCCATAAATTTTTTTTGTGTTAGCGTCATTAAGTTTTACGTAGTTATCCCGAGACATAAGTCGTTTCTCTATCGCTTCTCGGCATTTCTCGCTATACCATTTTTTGTTCCCACTTTTTAGTTTACCAATTACTTGTTCTGCAACTTTTTTAATAGCTTTACTTATCTTGCTCCATTCATTCTCTATATCCTCTTTTTCAATGTTCTCAACATATTCTCTCATCTTAACTGAATATTCTTGTTGGGTTTTGTCATCCTTCAGGCGTTCCAGATTATACGGTATATTATTTATACTCCTCAGTCGTTTCTGACTTAGTAATTTTAGTTTGAATTTCGCTACGACTAGAAAATAGTCCGTGTCACAGTCCGCTCTCCTATAGCTACGTACGTCTCTAATGCATGAGCGGGACCTTTTTTGGATGAGAACGTGATCTATCTGGTTAATTGTAACATCATCTGGTGACTTCCATGTACCCTTATAGATTTTCTTATGTGGGAATGTTGTGCTACTTATTATCATATTTTTTACTGTTGCAAATAATGTTAGCCTAAGCCCATTCCCATTGCTTGTATCATGAAGACTTTCTTTCCCTAATGTATGTGAAAACTGAATTTCTCTTCCGCATTTAGCGTTGAAGTCGCCCAACACTATCTTAATTGTATTCTCTGGTAATTTTTCATATGCTTGGATCAGGTCCTCATTGAAGGTGTCCTTTATATCCTCGTCAGCTGATTCCGTTGTTGCATATGTACATATCAAGGCAATATTTATGGGTTCAGTGTCAATTCTTAATACCGCTAATCTCTCTGATATAGGGTTGAATTCCTTTATATACGGTTCTATGGTTTCATGTACGGCAAATCCACACCCATTATGGTGTCTCTATTCCATTCCTGAAAAGTATATAATATACTTTCCTACTTTTAGCTGTCCTTTTCCAGCCCATCTTACTTCTTGAATACCTGCTACTTTGATTTTATATACGTCCAATACTTCCACTAGGTTTTGACATGCTTCAGTTCTATAAAGAGACATTATATTCCAGGTCGCTATCTTAAACTCCATTGTCCGTTTCCCGTGTCCAAACTGTAATCCATTTCTCTGTGTCCGAGTCCGATTTAGTGATGATATCATAACAATATATATTTTTTTAACAATGTAGGGTTGTTAGCCCTACATTCATACCCCAACCTAAAGGACCAGACTACACCAACCAATTAAGATCAGGGTAGGCCTATTGTAAAGCACTGAACAGAAAGGCTCTGGGTAATGGGGACGCCACTTTCCCGACGCCAATAATAACTTATCAGTATAAAATATAAAATCATAATAATTAGCTATTAGGTAAATATACATTGTTAAATACTACAATACTATTGAAAGTATGGAAATTAAAATTAAAATGACTGAGTTCATATAGTATTAGTATATTATTTAAAAATAACAATATAATAAAATTAAAATAAGCTCCTTTGCATAGTTAAACAAATCATAAATTAGGGAAATATAATGTTCTCATTAATATACTCAAGAAAGTATGAAAATTAAAATTTAGATGGCTGAAGACACTTCAGAAAACTTAACTAGTAACATGTAAATAAATCACAGGCGACTAGAACTATTACTTATTAGACGAATATTATCATAAAAATAGCTGCTATCAATAATAATGCACCGGTTTTGTTGTTACTACATAAATATATTAATATTAAACATATCTGTGGTCGTTACTAATTTATAGGCAGCTGATAGACTATACCACGTTGAATGGGAAAGCCCAAGATTGTACCGAAACGATATCATACAATATTAACTGATTAAATGACATTTGACAGTCACTATCTCAAACGTAAGAAAAAACATTTTTCAATACTTCATTGAAATATTTCATAAAGCATGAAATTTTCAATTGTGAAATATTTCAAATTTACAATCTTACCTATTAATAACAGATATAAATAAAAATAATGCTATTATAACAATACCGAAATTAACCATAAAAAACCTTTATAAAAAATTATCGGTTACGGTGAGGTTCCAATTTTTAAATAAATACAAATAAAGGTTCCGGTTTGGTTCCGATCTTAAAATTTATTTAAATTAAAGTTGCGGTGAGGTTCCGGTTCCCAATATTCAAAGGGTTCCGGTTCCAAAACCAGTTCTTTTAGGTACGGTTCCAGTCCTTGATAATAAGTAACATTTCTTTAACTTAATTATACTGGCGCATATGCAGTACAACTTTTTTGGCAGCCACTTATTTTAACCACTAATTATTTTTTGTCTCATTTTTTAATGCATTTTGGTAACTTAATCAACTTTCCAAGTAGAAAATTGACCAAGTTACAGCAATTTAAAAAAAAAATGATAAATCGCACGGGATTTTCAGTATTTTAACTGTAACTTTGAAAATAATTGTTCTAGGGTTTTTTAAACTGGAAATTTTTACTCCTATTTATTAAACTGAGATTTTCACGTTATTATAATTTTAACTACTGTTCATTTTCACTTTAATTTATGTAAGAATTTTAACTTATAGTCTAAAAACCGTAAATAAGTATATTATTTAATATATTACCTAATAGATGAAATTGGAATGATAAATTGCGAGCGACTTTATGATGATTATATTTACAATATAATCATTCAAACATGTAACCTGTTATTATTTTGCTCTAACTTTTTAGGTGGTGGCATTAACAAATTTTTATACTTTGCCCCAACAAATAAAATACAAGTCAGCGCCACTGCACATACTAAGTATTAACTATAAACTGAATATACATATATGAATTTCATTGTAGTGTAAAAATTACAGTAAAATCTATAATTCAAAAACTAGGTATAAATTTAAACCAGTATTTTAAGTAAAAATATTTAAAACCATTTGGACATATTTATCAAATAAAATAGTTTTCTGATATTTTTATTTGAATAAAAAGTATTTAATAGTTTCATATGAATGACAGTATTCAATAGTTTCATTCAAATGTTTTTTGTTACGAAAATATACAGTTTTACCAAAAACTGAATAAAATATACAATAGTGCCAATAGTTAGAAAACAATTTATTTTTATTTTCATATATAATAATAAAAGTAGTTAAAATAGCAATTTTTCAATTAATAACAAATACTATAAAACAAGATATCAAAAATCCAAGTAAATGTTTAATTAAAATTAAATATTTTCATTCTTTAATTTAAAATTTTTTAGTAAGGTAAATAATAAACAGAACCGCCTACTCGAGATTCTTTTAGCCGTTTTAAATGTCTTAAAATTGGTATAATGTTTAATGTTGTTTTGTCCACTTTTGTTTCACTAAATTTAGTAATATCCACAGCAGTCACAAAATATTGCCCTGAAAGTATTAAAACACAATTTATACTATACATTTTAAAACAATTTTTACTAGATTCATACCTTGGCCAACACTATTTTGTTGAATTTTCCATGTATTATACATATCTAGATCCTTTTTTTTCAAAGCGGTCCTTGACTTTTGTAAGATACCATATTTATTTTCTAATGTAATGTTAATACTATTTATTACAACATTCACATTTGATGAAGTTAAACGACCTTTCATGTATCTAAAAAAATTGTGACAGTAATTTAAATAATATTTTATAGTAATAAAATATGTTTACTTTGGAACAGTATCCATTTCATTGTTGTCAACAGGTTTTAGAAGTGGTATATCTGGTGTTTGTTTATAAACTTGGGATTTTGATGATTGTCCCATCATAGTTGTGCTCATTGAAGTATTATTTGTAAAGATAGAATGATGTATAGAAGTTTCATTTGGAGAGTAAGTATTATTCCAGGTTGATACAGGTGACATTGATATGTTGGTCACATTATGTAAATTATTACCTCTATAATCTTTTATTTCATGTTGATAATTAAGCTCATTGGTATTAGAAGGATTTATTGGAATATTTTCAATCATATAATCACATCTTTCTTCTATTCTCTTTAGTTCTTCAAGTTGTCTTTGACCTGACTACAAAGAATCCAAATAAAAAAATTTTAAATGATAATGTAAGTCAACATACCAGTTTAACAGCATTTCTTTCTTTTGTTAAAGCATTTTCAAGTACATTCATTTGGTCATCAAATGATTTAATCAAATTATCCAATTGATCACAAGATTCTAATATTTCTTGCCCTCCTTCAGCTTCTTTACAACATAGCATTACATCTAAGCAAGTACTAAGGTTATCAACAGTTTCCACCATTTTTTCTAAATCAAAGATACTCATTTTGAAAAAAATATATTATCTGAAACGAATAGAATAAAATTTTAAAATCTAATAAATATATAATTTACTTATATATTTGAATCAGTTTTTACAGAAAAAAATTAATTAAATATAATAATTTAATTTGGCTCAACTTAAAAAAGTACTAAGAGAAAAAATAAATAAATAGCAAATTCAATAAATATAAATTAGTTTGGCCATCACGTTCATCATGAACACACATTGTACACTGCCTTGTATTATATTCGCTCGATTATTGGTATGATAATCATTAGTAATTTTTTTGGCCATTATTGACCATCAATTCCAACTTATAATAACATCATAACAATGAATAATACATAAAATACCAGTCCCACCTCACCAAGTACCTACACCAAAACCCCCTCAAAACAAAATTTATCAGCCTCGTCAATTTCATTAGTTCAAAATGACAAAAATAAAACTAAAGTCTATGTTTCACCAAACCGTTTTATCCCACTCACCACTACTGATAATAACGACGTAGCAACAACTTTGTCTCTAACCAACCTCAAGGATGATCCAGTAAACCTGTTTCACACTAAACGAGATATGGGGCTCACGGCTCCACCTATCCACGTCAAAAACATTTCAAACTATTCCGCCTTCAATAAGGTATTAATCAACATTACCGACCAAAATGGTTTAACATATAGGTCAAAGTCGTCACACATCATTATACAACCAGCAGGTGGCCAAAACTTTAGTAAAATTATTGATCATTTATACAAAACTAATGCTAGTTTTCATTCATACACACTTTGTCACCTTCGCACATATAGGATCATAATCGGGAACCTAGACTTTTCCACTTTAAGTAATAACATTATTAATGCTTAAGCTGATTTGGGACACTCAGTTAAATTTACTTACAACTTAAATTCATTTACAATGTCAAAAATAAAAACAAATGTTCTTTACCCTTATTCTTTGTGGATATTTTAACACAAGACAATAACAGAGACGTTCTTGAAATTAAGTCTCTACTCAATATCAAAGTCTCGATTGAGAAACCACATAAGAAACGTAATCCTCCACAGTGTCACAACTGTCAATCCTACAGACACACACGAAATAATTGCCATCACAAACTTAAATGCATAAAGTCTGGTGATAATCACCCCACGAAATAGTGTTCTAAAGACCATCACAGTTCTGCCAAATGTGCTCTTTGCAATGAGGAACACACAGCTAACTACAAAGGATGCCCAATTTACAAAGCTACTCTCAAAAAAACAGTTCCAAAAGTCACTCCGACCAAAAACTCTGATTTCAATGCCCAGTCGTAAAACCAAATCGTATATGGAAACCACCAAAATTCAAAACTTTTACACAGAACACAAAATTTCCGATACTTTTACAAGTTTTATACCTAATTTAAAATCACTAATTAATCCCCTAATCTCTCTTTTGTCTACAGTATTAAAATCTCTTACAACTAATGCCAGTTCCACACAGAGATGACACAGAAACAAAACAAAAACAAAATACAAACACAATTTTTTTTTTCTAACTTAAAAAAAATATGTGTCCATGATGAGTAAAAATTAAACAAAAAATGAAGAAAATTTCAAACATTTTGTTTGTGTTTTATTTTTGTTTTCTCTTGACCATACCCAACAAATTTATTTCAAAATGACATCTTATTTTCAGCGATCAGATATCTATTCAGTCAGTTACTGAAGTTCAAGCATTTCAGATGTTCAGTATTCGGTATTTCTAAATAAAAATAAATAAAATAGTGAACATTTATCTTTAGTAAATCGACATAAATTAAAATGTGGAAAATGAAAAAAAATATTGAAAACTAAGAAGATTTACTTATGCTAGGTACTGGTTTTTTTATTTACAACAACTGTACTACACTATGCAATAAACCAATTGGTACTAAATGCCTAAACCGCACTATCACATTATTAACTACTGTCAAAATATTATTATCGAACTATTATTTTTGACTGTTGGTTATTTTTAAAACTTTGTCCACACACGCACAATAATGTTTTCCAAAACAAAAACCTTTTGATATTTACCGACATCGCTCGGGACACGATTTTGTTTTTAAAAACATGAACAATTTATTGGAAAAAACACAATTGTTTAGAAAATGTTGTCGAAAAACACAGAGTTTCTGTTTTGTTTTACTTTTGTTGTCTGTGTGGATCCGGCAGTAACAGCAGTATATAAATTAAAAATAACCCAACTATATCCATTAAAAATGTCAATTATAAAATAAAATATCAATACTACAAATGTTATAAATATGTATTAATACAAATAACAAATAAACATGTGGACATCCAGAGTTGAGCAAAAACAAACAAAATTATGAATAACTAATTATTTTGTGAATAAAGAATAATATTTTATTTTAAATAATTTTATTTGTGAAAAAAAAATTCAAATTAGGTACTGTGAATAATTTAACTTGTGAATAAATAAATAAAATAAATAGTGAATACTCAATTTTCGTGTAACAAAATTATGATAAAAATATAATACTCATATGGAAAGTTTGTTTAGTTAGATTAGTCCCAAATAAATAAAAATATTATTTATGATTTTTAGTTTTAAAATTTTCGATAGCAGATAATATAACAATAAAAAAAAAACACCAGTTTCAATTTTCAATAAAGTTAAAGTTTTAAATTATCTACGAATCATTTGAGATAAAATTGACTATAAAGAATAATTGTAAAAATTAAAATAATGAATAAAAATAATCTAGAATAATCAAATGAAAAACAAATGAATAAAGAATAAATTTTTATTTAAATAATTAATATATTAATTTTTTATTTGACTAACACCCTACTCTTTAGACATTATTATATAATTATAAGACTCTTAAACTTGTAATACCACTCAGTGTGCTAAAATATTTAATTTGCATTATAAAAAAAAAAAAAAACAAATATATTGAGACTAATGATAAATTGCATGTGCATTACTGCATAAAAAATAAGTACAAATAATAACTAGGTATGGTTATGTTTAATAAAAAGATTGATTACAGCATTAACAGAACAATGATTGCATACTTACATCAATTTTAGATCTGAGATCAAGCAACAATTTTAGACGGATCGACAGAATACAATTCACAGAGTTAGGTGCTAACCTTTTTGTAGTCAGCAGATTATTTCTAATATGACTTTTCTGTAGCTATAACTAACATAAATGATAAAAAAAAAAGTAAAAATAGAAAAATTTATCGAAATTATCTTGTATTAGTAGAGTTCCCTCCAAATCTTTGTTTTGTTTTTCATTATTTCTGATAACTTCCCAATTACAAATTATTTTATCACTTCAAAAGAACATCTGATACGAACAACAGATCCTTCAAATCACGGATGAAAATAAGGTTGTATCCACTGGTGTATTTCGAACGGCTACACTGAATGCATACTTTGATAAAGGTCATTTCAGTAATCCAATGAGATAAAAAGAATTTTCAGAATTTTCTTTTATCGTTAATTTAATTTTTTCAGCAACACATATTGTTTCAAAGGGTTGATTACTTTCTATTATAAATATGTCTATTTCGAAAGCTTTAACTTCCAATGGTAAGTAGACAACAATTTGATATGTATCCAAGTTCCAACATTGTAGTACTTCTTATTATTTTAGCGGCTATTAAACGATGGGCCTACAATCTTTCTGGTTTCAATAGATATGGTATGTTACAAATTTTCACAATTCATGCTACTTTTGAATTTTAGTCGTTACTAATTGTTTTTCTTTAATAGGATTACACCATGATGATGTTTTGCAAGAAAATGATGATGTTAAAGAAGCATTAAGACGATTGCCAGCACATAAAGTAGATGAGAGGTCATTCAGAATTATACGTGCAATGCAACTCTCTATACAAAAAATTGAACTACCAAAAGAACAATGGACTAAGTTTGAAGAAGTAATATTAAAATACAAAAATATTATGTAACTAGTACCTTTTATTATAAATCTTTTTTTAATTAAATTTTTATTTTTGTAGGATGATCGTTATCTACAACCATACCTTGAGGAAGTCATTAAAGAAAGAGAAGAAAAAGAATTCTGGGAAAAAAATTACTATTAGACTACTTACATGTAATTTGATATATAATAAATCATATAGATAGTCATTATTTGTCAACAGTTATTATTCAGAGTAAAATGTTATGAATTTGTTTTTTTTCAATGAAATACATGTTTAGCCTTGTGTGATAAAATAATAACATTTTTTATAAAATATTGGTAAATAATAGTTGTGCTGAAATCAAGAAAAATATTTATTTTATATCTATAATTTACCTATGTTAAATTAAAAAAAAAAAGTAATTAATATAAAGACTATTCTATTCTGAGTATTCACATCCAAGGTATCTAGTTGAAAAAGTCAGTGGTACTTTTGTTTAGAGTATATATGTTACGGGCAAAGTATACAATTTTGTCATTTTACATAATGGCCGGGCATTATATAAAATGCCCGGCCATTATGTAAAATGACCTTCATATATTGGGCAATATAGATAATACTATGTAATTGTAAAATATAAAGCATTTTATTCATTATATTTTAACTTTATAAACATGATGAATATTAACTAGGAGGTACCTATACTAATATTATATTTTATTACTATTTAATTTTAAAGTATAGTCAAAATACCAATGTTGGATTTGGTATTTTGGTTTTATCATTTGTCATTTATCAATTGGACACGGTGGCTGAAACAGAATGGGACACGAGTTAAATACAAAGTACAAAAATATCACTAGAGATATTATTATGCTATACTTAAATAGTTGCGAATCATGTCAATGAAAAGAAAGCACAGCCAAGAAAGGGCTGTTGGTAAAACCAATTATATCTTCTGAGATGAATTCTCGCTGTCAAATTGACCTAATAGATATGCAAGCACAATCGGATGGTGAGTATAAGTTTCTATTGGTTTACCAGGACCACCTCACAAAATACGTACTACTTCGACCGTTAAAACACAAACGTGCTGAAAACGTAGCGTATGTATTATTAGATATTTTCACAACATTCGAAGCACCGTCAATTTTACAATCGGATAATGGTCGAGAATTTGCAAATAAAGTTGTAACTGAAATATGTGCGATGTGGCCAGAACTTAAAATAGTTCATGGTAAACCTCGTCACTCACAGAGCCAGGGTTCAGTTGAACGAGCTAACCAGGACATTGAAAATATGCTTGCTACTTGGTTGACAGATAACCGTACTAAAAAATGGAGTGAGGGGTTAAAATTTATCCAGTTTATAAAAAACCGTTCATTCAACTTAGGAATAAAATGTTCACCTTACAATGTTCGGTACAAAAGCAAAAATTGGATTAAAGAGTACACTTCTGCCAATAAATATAATAAGCGATTTAAGAACCGAAGAAGACCTCGAAACAGCTCTGAATTCTATTTCCACTACTTCGAACAGTAACAACGATATCGAAAATACCGAAGGTATAAAATAAAATAATAGTAATAATATTTCTTATTGAGTAGGTAATATTATTAAAATTACTCTATGTGTTTGTTTTATTTTAGCTGTACCTTTAAGAATAAAATCTATTTGTGAGAGTAGAAATGAATCACTTAAAAATCATTTAATCATTTAAAAATTTAAAAGTTCAAGCGACAAAAATGAAGCAAGCTTCCGAAAATCGTTTCCGTCCCGGCGAAGTTGGTCAGTCAGTAACGGTTAAGATTCCAGACGTCGATAGGGCCCGTAGTGATTTTAGAAATATTATTGGAGTTATTCTTTCGAGTACCTATAAATACTATACTTTTATTATTAAGATTCCAGATAAACTAATAAAATTTGTTTTACAGTTAACAATAACATGTACGAAATAGGGACTAAGGAAGGTCGCCTTTCAACTTTGTATAGTAGAAACCAATTTGTAATTTACAAGGAAAGATTTCTGAAAGTCGATGATGTGCCACAAACCAAGATTTCACTCCGAGAGACAGCACGGACATTTTCTAATTTGGGTGGTCAGGGCTACGACCGATGTACGTGTGTACAAAAATATAAAACACGGAAGTGCAAGTGCAAAGCTGCGGAGAGACTATGCACATCAAAATGCCACGGGAGTAGTGCATGCGATAATAAGTAATAAATTGATAATATTGAGTATAAATATTATCATTACTTAATGGTAATAAATAATTACTACTAATAAGTAATGAAATATAATTAAATAGTAATAAAATATAATATTAGTATAGGTACCTCCTAGTTAATATTTATCATGTTTATAAAGTTAAAATAAAATGAATAAAATGCTTTATACTTTACCATTACATAGTATTATCTTTATTGTCCAATATATGAAGGTCATTTTACATAATGGCCGGGCACTTTATATAATGCCCGGCCATTATGTAAAATGACCAAATTGTATACTTTGCCCGTAACATATACATAACAATTAAATTAGAAAATATTTAGTTCACTATAAATAATCAAAATATAGTCATGGTTAGATAAAATTCTAAGTTAACATTTTGAAAATTATATAATAATGAACTGAAACTAGTGTTTAGAAAGAATGTCGTTCGTCAACACACAATCACATGTTCATATTCATATATTTTGTATGATATAGGAAAATATTTCTCTTTTTTCAAATAGAATGTGAATGATATTTATATTTTTGATGAATTTGAACAATTTTTGAGGCATTAAATTTAAAAATATAAGTATAAATAATAAATATTGATTATAATATACTAAGTATAGGGTTTTAAACAAAAATAAAATATACCTACCTAATAAATTTTTTAAAGTTTCTATTTTTACCGAAAGCAAGTAGTGATTCATAAAAATTAAATAAATAAATTTAAAGGAACAGCCAAATTAACATGTTCATTTTTTCATAGAACTTGAATGTTTACATAATTATTTTTAAAAGAATGAATTAATTAAATATTTAAGTAAATATTTCAAACACTGAAATACAATTTTCTAATTATACTTTATACACTTTATGATAACATTTTTAAATATTTTGCTGAATTTGAGAAAATAATTAGATTCTAAAATAACTTTCTAAACGTTACTCAAAAGAACTAAAAAAATTAACTACTAACATTTATTTTTTTTTTTTTTTTAATTTCAAGCCTATCAACTTTTAAAGACATTTAACAATGGCCTACAGAAGAACTTTATGTTGTTACTAAAATTTATTGTCTCTATTTGCATTAAATTTTATTATTTTTGAATTATTGCGAAATAAATTTAAAAGATACTGCAAAATATTGTGTTCTGTGTACCAATGAAATGTATACTAAACCTGATCTTTTTTATATTTTGTTTATAAGGTTATACAGTAGGATCAAATAGGTGAAAACGTATGAACCAGCAAACTCTGTATATACTAAATGTTAAGGTCCGCGCACACTGCCGTGGTGCGTTAGGTTATTTCCAATCACTTACCAATTACTGTTTTGATTATATTCAAGCGTGTACTATAGTAATGAAACTAAATAACATACCCATTACTGTAGGTGCTTTTTATTCCCCTCCACGTTAAAATATCTCGAATGCTATATTTGCAGATTACTTTAATACAATTAAAAACAATTTTATCATAGGTGGCGACTTTAATGCTAAACACAATGCTTGGGGCTGTCGCTCAAACAACCCCCGTGGCATTGTCTTATACAATTTTGTCAACGCAAATAATTTCAATGTACTAGCTCCGCCAAATCCTACCTACTGGCCATCCTCCCCTGCAAAAAACCCTAACATCCTAGATATATTTCTCACAAAAATCCCTAGCAATCTACATTGCCTAATTAATAATATTTTAGATCTAAACTCTGATCACTCATCTGCTATACTCCATGTGTCCGCAACTACTTTAGCACGAACAGAACTGCCTAAACTCTTTCCCCCCCAACTGACCGCCTTGAATTTCAAAATATCCTTTACCAACGAATCAATCTGAATGTTAAACTTAGGTCAAATCTTAATATCGATGAAGCGGTAAATAACTTGACTATGCAAATACAATCAGGTGCCTGGGAAAGTACCAAGCATAATAAGACACAACCATAAAAATAATTACCCAATGTTACCTGAACAAATACGCTGCCTAATAGTTAACTAGAGTTAAATATCAAACCACTAGGCTACCATCTCATAAAACAGCCTATAATAGACTTGCCAACTCACTAAACAAGGCATTAGCAAAACACAAATCATACGAGTGAGAAAAAAAATTACACTCTCTAGATGTAAATGATGGGTATATATGGCGAGAAACCAAGCGATTACTTAAATATAAAACATTTTCACCTCCACTGCAAAATACTAATAACTCGCTTGCCGTTTCGGATGCTGAAAAAGCAGAAGTATTCCAAGCTCAACTTTCCAAAGCGTTTATCCCCACAAGGACATTATCATCCCACAACATTTCATAGATGTCAAAAATGACTTAGAGTCTTCATTACCAAATACTAGCCCAAAAAAATACTTTACATCTAAGGAAGTACATATTTACATCCGCACATAATATCAAACAATCAACACATATTTAATGGGTGTGTAACGGAGCGAGTCGTTTCACATCTATTAGTATGGCATCGCTTAAATCATCACCGGCTGCAAATTCTAAACGACATTTGTCTTCGCGCTCCAGCTCTCCCAAGTATGAGAAAAAAACCAAATCTTTCACCTCGCCAAATCGATTCGCTGTTTTGTCAACGGCCTGGAGCTGGTATCGAACGTATTTACATCTACTCCAATGCTACAGAGCGCGAGCAACAACCACCAAGTCAAAACGTACTGAAGTCCATTCATATGCCGGCGATTCACGTAAAGAACATCAGAAACTTTTCTGAGTTTCATAAAAAATTAATACACCTTACGGGTATTAATGATTTTTCGTGTAATTCCACACCATCTTATTTAATAATTCGGGCCAACAGTCACCCTGCCTTCGCCACCATTTCGATCTAATAAGTACTAACGCGGAATTTCATACCTTCCGTCCCCATTACATGCGCCACTTTAAGGTTGTAATTCGCAATTTACATCATACCACTATTCTATCCGATATCTCCGATGCCCTGGCGGAGCATGGACACTCTGTGATACGCGTGGTAAATATAAGAAAGAACCAACGTCCGTTACCTTTTTTCCACGTCGAATTGGCACTTAAGAATAATAACCACAATATCTTCAACATATCAACATTGCTTCATTCCATTGTAGTCATCGAAAAACCACACTCTACAATTAATGACCCACCTCAGTGTTTTAAATGTCAAGCATATGGTCATACCCGCAATTACTGTTGCCACTCCCTAGATGCGTCAAATGTGGTGACGACCATCTCACAGCGAATTGTACCAAAGACCGGTCATTCCCGACTAAATGCGCTCTGTGTTTTAGTGATCATACAGCCTCGTACAAAGAATGCCCAATTCGCAAGAAATTGGTACTATCAAATAAATTTTAAGCGCAATTGGTAAACTCCCGTCGTACTGATTATATGTATAAAATTATAATAATAATAAAAAAAACCATAATATTACAAAATAATTAAAAGCACATATTTTCGTAAGCCCAAAATGCTCATAGGCCCTAAGTGCCTGTAGAGCCTATGCGCATCAGTGGTGGATCCAGTGCTTAATTTTTTTTTTTTTTGGGAGGGACAAAAGTTGAAAAAAATGTACAGCATTAGTTTAGTTCAATATTAGCCTAAAACTAGTAACTTCTTGGAGTTTGCATGTTTTTCAATAATCATTCAAAACATAGCTAAGTTATATAAACATTTGGTTTGCGCTTAAGCCGACGCAGCAAAACGCCTGCGTATTTGCCATACGCAACTAAATATATGTGGTCCTGAAATCGCACGTCCTATTTTCAGAAGGTATCGGGACTAATTTTCTTAATAATAATAATAATGAACAAAATGGAAACAATTCAAACCATTATATGGTATATTACAAGTAACCCTGGGTTTGGTGCCTTTCGGCTACAACTACGGACCGTGTATAAGCGCTTAGGCGCTTCTTACGGGCCGCAAAGGATTCAGTGGCGGGACCGCGCTACGTCGGCTGCGCCATCGTGTCGTCTAAGGACCACCAGCACCGAACTGCCGACTTTTGTACCGTTAAGTCTTGGGAGACCCCAGGCGCCCGGTCCTCGCCTGGTTGACCTAGCGACGCCACAATCCCGTCGAGTCTAACCTCAGATCTACAATATAATAATAATTTGTAATTGGGCGCCCTTACACCAATATAACAATAATTTAATAATTAATAACAATAATAATTCAAGCATTACAATCGGAATAATAAAAAGGGAGGCACAGCTCCCATTACCTCGGTATATTTGAGTTCCGTTGGATTATATCCCACGCGACCGTGGATAATACACGTGCGACGAAAACTCAGATATATACGGACGATCTGCAATGGCAGGGACAAACAGGAATAGGTCCCGGGTACAACCTCGTGGTCGATGGCGGATCACAAAAAAAAGAGACACTAAATAAATATAAATAAAGAGCACTGTTCACACACCACAATCGTACGCCAAACGCGCAAGGCACACGCAAAGGCTCACACCACGGGAGTCACTCGACGACAAACCGCCGATCTCGAGAATATTCTCTACGGCCCCGGTGACATACCAATCCGATAAGATATGAGACCGGTTCCGGGCCCGCAGAGTGTAAGCTGCGAGTCTCGAACACATTTGTTTCATAGTCATACAAGATTATTTACAATTTTTAGTTGCATATTTTGCATATTTAACTTTTTTTTAATTTTTAAATGCATATTAGACCAATTTTGATACAAATATGCAAGTTTTAAAAATATTTAATAAAAAATTATACGGACAATTATGTTACTACAGGTTTTTTTTTTACTATAAATTAAAATATATATATATGAGACCTGGTTTAATTTTTTAAATAAAAACCATTTAGCAAAAACTAATATGTATTAAATAATTCATAGTTTAAAGTTTAAACAAGAAATTCTAAACGTCGCTTCTTCTTATTTGCGAAGCAGTCTATCACTAACTGTATTATATTATTTACATCTCTGTGAACATATATTTTCATAATGTTTACATTTTACACAACAAACGCGCGTATAGAAATCAATGAAACTCTGGGAAAATAAAAAAAAATATCTGGCGGCAACAACAAATTTTGGGCTTCCCCCCCCCATTGCCCTCCTCCTGGATCCGCCACTGATGCGCATAGATTAAATATACATTGATTAATATTAATTATTTAATATATGCTATGTGCTATAGTATAGTGGCTATACGACGGCCTGTTTATAGAAAGAAACTCAAAATCATATGATGTACATTAAATATTACATTTAAATACAATGTACCTGGCTTAATAATACCTGGAATGGGAATGTGTATTATCTAAAATTAGACAATTATATTTTTTTATCGGAATTTCAATATTGTATGTACACTCCCATAGGTGAATGATGTCTGCTTTGACGAAGTCTTCGTAAAATATATATGTTCTTTGGGATAAATAATGATAAATAACAATTATTATTATGATATAACAGTTACTGTTATATTATTACATTTTTTTATTATAAAACCATGAACATTAGAATAAAACGAACGAAGCAGTTTGGAAACCGCTGCATTAAGGCGTTACATTACACCTAGAGCGTATTTGAGGGGGTCGAAGGGGACATTCGCCCTCCCCCATGGATCGTATTTTTTTAATATAATACATTGATTTATTTAAAAAATGTATTGTATAAATAATTAAGAATATAAATTACTAGTCTATCATTATAACAGGAACATGAGCTATAGGTAATGAACTGTAAATTATTTTTAAGTTTGTATTGAAGAAAAATTAGTTCCCCCCCTATCACCTTAACACGAATACGCCCTTGTATTACACTTAAGTGCTCCGGTGTGTACCCGGCTATAGAAGATCGTGTTCGCCACTATGCTTCACATATAAACTGTTATCAGTGTCCATTCCATTGTAATATTATCTGTAATATTATTTTTTATATCTTAAAAATGATAACAATTGTTAATGGAAATGTAAAGTAAGCAATGGTTTTTGTCATTTTTTAATTAATCTTTTATTTTGTATTTGAATTGTTCATATATTTTTGAAGTGTTGAACTCTGTAATATTATATTTTAAGTTATTTTATAACTTGTATTCTGTAAGTACTTAGTTGTATTCCATGCTATCTATATCTAGTAAAACTTAAAATTGAATTACTATGATTTTTTACAATTAACTTATAATGCAATAAATATTTATATCAAAGTTATTTTAAATTTAGACTATATCCACTATGACTTCACACATAAATATGTTATGCAAATGCAAAACTCTGTTACCAATTTTGTCACATAACTTGCATAAAGGACAATCGGGAAGAATTGGTGTTATTGGAGGCTGTGAAGAATATACTGGAGCCCCTTATTATGCAGCCATTAGTGCATTACGTACGGGAGCTGATCTTGTATATGTGTTTTGTTTCAAATCTGCTGCACCAGTGATTAAGTCGTTTTCTCCAGAACTTATTGTTTTACCATATTTGGATAGTCCAGACTGTATTGATCTTTTAAAACCTTGGTTAGAAAAACTCCACTCTCTGGTTGTTGGACCAGGACTTGGTATGAGCTGTATTGCTCAAGATGCTGTTAGGCGTATCTTTGAACACATTAGTAGAGAATCAAATTTTAACAATAAAAGAATGCCCATAATTGCTGATGCAGATTCTCTTAATGTAATAGAACCAGAAACATTTCGGAACTATAATGGTTGCATTTATCTTACTCCAAATGTTCACGAATTGACCAAACTATCTAGTAGACTGATAGGACGTCAAACTTATGAACCAACGGTGACTGATGTTCAGGCTCTAATTAATAAATTAGGAGGTAATTTTGTTATTGTATTGAAAGGAGCTGAAGATGTAATAGCAAATAAAAGAGGAACTTTAGTTTGTAATGAACAAGGTTCGAATAGACGATGTGGTGGCCAAGGAGATATATTAGCCGGAAGTATGGGTACTTTTGCTTATTGGGCTTCCAAACAAACCCACTATTGTGACGAATTGGATCCAGAAGTGCTTGCTGCTTATGCAGCTAGTGCACTTACTAGACATACAAACAAAATTGCATTTCAAGCAAAGGGACAAAATATGATTACTACAGATATTGTTGATTTATTACCAAATGCATTTCAAAATCTATTTGGCAATTAAAACAATTTTTGTTCGCATTTCATTTATTATTCATTTATTAAGATTTATTGGATTATATTATTTTCAAATTTTAAATGTTACATTTTATAACTAGTTATTACTATTGTTATTATTAGTTGAAAATACATTTTGTTTTCAATGATTATTTTATTTCTATTAATGATATCTTTGAAGCACAACATACTTACAACAATAAACTTGTTTGGAGCTATTCTTAGTGCATATATATATAGCTAAACTAACATTTAATTCTTATGATACTACTTCAAGAAATCTGAACAGTAAAAAATTCTGTCAAACCAAGGTTGTACGACAAGATTATCCCTGTAGATAACATTCTGACATTTCTAAGAAGAAAAAAGTATAGCATTTTAGTTTTTTATGCTATTTTATTATTCATTCTATTGTAACTTTTTCGTTAAATATTTTACCAAAAGGGTTAGGGGTAAAGGGTAATTTTGAAAATATTCTTTTTAAATTTGGTAATAAGTTTAATCATTGATCAACATTTTGTTTATAACCAATTTTAAGAGACAGTCCATATTTGCAAATCATTTAATACCAGTGGCGCATGCAGAGGGGATAAGGGGTTGTAACCCTCCTCCTAAATTTTCTCCGATGTCTAGGTTAAAATTTACAAATTTTACTAGTTTGAAATATGAAGAGCTAGTATTGAATACCAAGTATCATTGATTATAGAATAGTCTATTCTATTATCAATGCTATTATTTAAGTCGAAATATATTAAAGATTTGCATAATTTTGTTAATTGTATAATGTGTTATATTTTTACCTTGACCCCCCCCCTGAAAAAAAATCCTGTGTACGCCACTGTTTAATACTGATAAACTGATCATGTACCATATAATGATCATGTTACTATGAATATCATCTGGATCACAGTATATTTGTAATTATTTGTAATCAATAGAAGCTGGAATAATATTTTCTCAAGGAAAAAACTAAAATAATTGTTATTACAATACTCATAAACAAAAAACAGTACTAGATCAAATGATGAAACGACTATGAGCTTAATTAAGTATGTTTCAATGTCTATGTCATTGTATATCATATGTTATAAAATTATTGATTGACTTTAAAGTAGATTATTAGCAGTACAAATAAAATTAATGACATCACACAATAATTATTTTATTCAAACACATAAATGTTTCATAATTCTTAATATATGTTTAGCTATAGAATTATATTTATTAACCTAAATACAAGCAAACCATTCTTTACCTACTGTATAATTGATTATATATACTTTTTCATTTATAAATTATAATTATTTTCTATCTAAATATTGTATATACTCAGTGTTTCATATACATGAGAATATTAGTAAAAAAATGAATATTTATAAAAGCAAATAATAAAACATATTATAATTCATATATTAATAAACAAATATAACTTGATGAATCTTTAACAATAAAATAGGTTATTCCAAAAATAATACCTGTGTTAAACACACAACACATGTGATAACTTTAAAAGTATTACATTTAATGATTTATTGGCTCAACATTTTAGTAAAGAGCATATATTCTAGGCAGTGAAGTCCATTGGTTAACTTTCATACACCATTCAGTGAGAATTTAGTCTCCATGTTAATAAAAAAATATTCTTCCAACAGACTGAAACGTTCATTATAATCTGACAAATATCATGTTCAACAGTTCCTTGTATGAGTTGTACATCTATTTATAGCTTACCATTATGAATTTTGTCATTGATAAAAAAAAAAAAAATTAGGTAAATATTTAATTTATTAAAGTAGTACGAACTTTAATTAATGTTTGAAATAATTAAATTTGACTGACGAGATAGACATTATGAAGTTGAACTTGTTTACAAAAAAGCAATGAAGCACATGTTACAATCAGCAAACCATTTAAGGAACATACAAAAATCTAATAACTTCTTATCAGGTATATTAAATCGCATTGAATTCGTAAAATCGTTAAAACGAATAATGTCACAATAAAAACATTTTAAATTGTTAATAAATTATAAGATTTTAATGATTAATATAAAAATTAGGTAGTAGAAATTTTCAAGGACTGTTACATTGATTTTCACAAGGCTCAATATTTCAATACATGTAACTGAATCAATAAAAGCGTTAAATGAAAAATTTCTATAACCAATAAGTTATAATGGTAATTTTTACTATAAAATTCCTAAATACCAATCATCCCACTTAATAATTCAATCTACATAGCACTACAAATCTACTTGATTACATAAATTATTTCTATTGTTTATCACAGATTAATTTCATTAAAAACTACACAAGTAAATGAAATAAATTCCTTCATTTTTTGGAACTAGAATATCAGAAAATAGTGTTTTAAATTAAAAATGTTATCACTTTAAGAGTGTTATAAATTGAATACGCAATACTTTGTATGTGTTATTTCAATTTCTAAAAAAATATGTCTATTTTTAAGAATAATGTTATAATTCATCATTATACCTAGTGTCTATATTTAATTAATGTTATTTAAATATTTTCTTAAACTTTATATTCATTTCCTAAGTGAATATAAAAATAACAATTACACATTACAAAAGATTGAAAAAAAATCTAAATAAGATTCATCAAAGTCATAATGTTTGCATTTGTGCTCAGTTTATGAACCTATATTATACAAATTAATTACAAGTTCATACACAAATAAAATAATTTTGATCAAATAATGATGCATGCAAAAAACAAGTAAATGATACTGAATTAAATAAATAAAATTAGGAAAAATGTATTCAACATCAGGTGATATTATAGATATAATATTTTTTAAAAGAGAATACCTTAAACATATGTAGGAAACAATTCTAACCTATTTAATTTCTAATTCATTAGATTAAAATACAAGGAAATGGAAAATTGAGATATTATTTTATCGATATAAAATTGTTTGGACGGAAACTAATAGATAAAACTTGCACTAGTCATATATTTTAAAAAAACATAAAAAATAAATAAATAACAAATTTATAAAAAATAATAAAACCTACTGACAATAATAAATAATAATAAATAATAATAAATAATAATAATAATAATAATAATAGTAATAGCAATAATTTAACTTAATACAATTTTCAAAAATTATTTTTTGATTCAATGTAACTCAATAATTGATTAAACAATTAAACTATTTGCTTTTCACAATTTATAGTCAATAGGGAATTATTTGCTTTTATAAATCTATTCCCAGGGTCTATATTAAATAGACTTAATGGATTCTTTATATAAAATTATTGTCCAACTGCTATAAGTTAATATAAGGTAACAATTTTAAACAATACACTTGTAAAAATGTCAATAAAGACTAGAAATTTGGTGGGTTAGTAAATATACAATTATTTTTTTGTCAGCATGGAATATTATGTACAAATGACAGAACCTTGATTACATTTTTAAGCCAATCAATATTTTGATTTAAACATTTTTATCAATATAATTATTAGCTTTTTATAATTATGAGGTTTGGATTTTTAAAAATGAGTTTTTACTTAATTAAATGTAATTTTTAGGAATACATTCATTTAACATTATGAGTTTAAATAAAACAAGAAAATTTTGATTTTTCTTAGTTGTTATGATAAAAATAAATAATTTAAAAATATGCAATTTTATGCATTTAAACTTTAAAATTCCATTTTAAATGTTTTTTTTTTTTAATTTAATTCATTTTTGACTATTTTTTTTGGTTTAAAATCCAAATGCTCCTAATTAAGAATTAAGTATGTTTGGCTGACTGCAATGATGTATGGCATGGCTTACACACCCGTACTGGTTTCAGTATTCGTAATCTTGATATTTCAGATTCATACTTGCTACACCTAAGAGCAAATACAATTTAACTATAGTAAATAATTTATCTATAAAATAAGAAAAAATTAAAGTAAAAGAATGTATCTAACAATTAGTGAAATTCAAGAAAGAAGAATAACAACAATTACTTTGAGCAAAATAATTGTCCACAATTACGACAATGGTGACGTCTTTCATATAATGAAAATCGGACATCACACAAATTGCACTGCTCTGCTCCTTCATCTTTTAACCAATGATCAGCTACACCTTTTCCAGGCTGTTCAGCTACATTCCATGTAAAAACTCGTCCTCTGGCATCACCAATGTATACTGTTCGATGGTCCCTACAATAAAATACCAAACAAAATATATTATACTGTATAATTTTATATTATAAATAATTAAATGTAATACTTACTTAGAAATTGATATACATGTTATGGAAGCTGGTTCAGTGTTATCTTTACGATCATAAGCTGTATGCATAGTTAATTTACTGCGAAATACTAACTGACGTTGCCACTGAAAACCTATAATGCAATATTTACATATTTAAACACTGATATGAAAATGAAAATTTTAATTAAATATGTTATATGTTTATACCATCTCTTAATCTGTGCAAAGGACTGACAGGTTTCATCTTTGGACTTAAATCTTCTCGGTCAACAACAACAAATGATTCTATAAGATTAGTTTCACTTTTACTTAACCTTAATGCTGATTCAATAACTGATAAAGATTCTTGTTGAATATTTGGCTCATCAGTTGAACTTGATGTATTACATTCAGATTTCCTAAGTAATGTATTAGGTTTCATTGATCTGAAAATTATTTTAAAATAATCCAGAATAATCAGGATAATTTTCACCATCTAAAAACTTATCCAAAATACCTTTTTTTTCTCATTACTGGAACTGGAGGGGTTGAATCATTTTCATCAGAAAAAGTTTTTTTATCAATACCTCCAATGTTTTTTACAGGAGTTTTAGGCTCTTGTTCTGATAGACTGCTTTCAGACCCACTTTTCATTACCAATCCTTGCTCATTAACAGTTTCAGAAGATACACTCAATTGTTTAACTAGTCTTTGAACAGCAATTGGTCGTGTTTTTAATATACTACAACTCTCTCCAACATCTTTACTTTTTTCAATACTGTTATCTTTAGAAACTAAAGATTCTTTCGACAAGGCATTTAATGGAACTTTAGGAACTTGAACATATTCCATAGACCACATCTATAAATAAATAATAGCTATACATAATATACAAAATTAAACAATATTACATTAATAACCATAAGAACGTACTCTAACAACTCCATCTGACGATCCTGTAATAATAACATTCTGAGGATCCCAATCAATAGCTTGTGAAAATGCTACACATAATATTTGTTGCATTCTATCAGCACGTCCAACACTTGTATCTACATTTGCTAATTCTTCGCCATTTATAGTATAAATGTGTAACATAGTACCAGCACATGAAGCTATTTGGCCCTGATAATTTCCATAATATAACAATTAAATTTAAAACCAAAATCTTATTTATACTTTTACTTACAGTTGAATTATTAATTGCTAAAGCTGCAACTGGAGCATAATGTTTTTTTAACTGCCTCACAAAAGCTTTTGTGCACAAATCCCAAACTATAGCTGTACAATCTCTGCTACCAGAAACAACAATATTATATGTGTCACTAGCAGCCAAACAAGTTACTGCTTCTGTATGTCCATACAAGTTATCAACAATTTTTAAAGACTTGTTATTTAAATCTAACTCCCATACAGTCAAAACCTGAAACAAATTTTAAATGTAATACTAAACCTATGCTTATATGTATATATATATATATATATATATATATTATATTACAGTGCTAGTTCCAGCAGTAATAACAGTCTTAGATGTAGGGCATACGCAAGTTACAATTTCACCAGGTGATTGACTCGAGCTTTCACAGATTACAATTGGTTTATCAGTTTCATATTGTGCTAATCTTAAGCTATGATCAGCAAAACCCCAAGTAATGGTCTTATTAAAACTGGGTGGCATTAATGCTTTATTCTGTTCAACAGCTAATACATTTTTATCCACTTGAAGAATTTGTCCAACAGGACCTTTAAGTTCTAACACAACATAAAATATAACATTAGTAAAATAAAGTATTGTACTATATAATTGCAATATAATATATATTAATTAACCTTTAATTGGTTGTAAAGATGGTTTAAGGTTATCCAAATGATAAAAGAATAGTTTGTCACCAAATGATAAATTGGTATTTGAACTTAAAATCGGGTTTGCAGCATCAAGCATTGAAGTTCTATTATTTGGTTGTTTTTTACTTGGATGAGGTTTCTTAAAAAGTTGTTTTGGTATCTGTCCAAAATTGTTTATAAATCCAATTGTTGCATTTTTCTTCAATGGATCATCAATACTAATAAAAAATGTAATTAAACATATGATTAATATAAAAAAATTAAAATATTTACCTGTAAATATCAACATTTCCTTCATAAAATAAATGATGAAAAAGATTGCAAGCTTGTACAGCAGGTTGACCTAATTGTTTGTAACCAAATATTAAATCAATCCATTCATGAAGATGTTGTGATACATATTCAGATTCAAGTGCTGCTCTATGTACTCGGATAAACTCATGTGGATCATCTTTGGCCCATGGAGGTAAGACTACATCATTTAACTGTACTCCATTTTGTTTGCATCCTAAAGGTTATCATATTGAAAATAATAATAAATTAATAATTACTTAATTTTGGATTAAGTACCCAAATCAAAGTTGTTAGAGTTAATTAAAAACTCTGGTAAATAAAAAAATTCTGGTACAAGTTCTTTAACATCAGCCATGTTGGTTTTAGAAGCTGATAACCATGCTTCTCGGATACTATTAAACATACGATCAGCTAAATCAAAATGTCCACCCTAAAAAAATTAATAAAATATACATAGTATTAATTTATATTTGTAAAAATTATAAATTATTTAAATAACTAACCTGTAATCTGAGAAAATGTTGAGTAAATGGTTCCATCCTAACTAAATATGAACATACTATCATCGCTGAAGAGTAATGAGTACCGAAATGATATGGAGGAGTTTCACCATGAGGATCATCCCACTCCCGATACCTAAGATAAACAAACATTGCATTTTAACAATCATTTTTAATTTTTCTGAACATAAAAATGTAAAATTTGGTGGAACGAGAATATTTAATTTTACCATTTTTAACCTAGTTCATTAATATTGAAGATAAATTCTACATTATTTATAACAATTATTTCTGAACAATGCACTACCACCCATAATGTGTCACAAAATATCATGATAATTATTAATTGCTGTCAAAGTTGCTAAAATTAAAAGTAAACATTTTAAATTAAGATTATTTAATAATTTGTATTATTCTATAAATAGTGAATACATCCAGCTTTTGTTTCACATAGAAGACAGTTATTCTATAGACGTGTCCTATAAATATTCCATGAATCTAGAGAGGAATTATTGTTGTTTTTTTACTTCTGAAGAATCCCAGTAGGCTGCTTTTTTAAGTGAACACTCCTGGTGTACTAAATTAACTTTTTTAGTAGACATATTTGAAAAACTATATTACTTAAACAAGAGCATACAAGGAAAACAAGTGAACAATTTCATATCTATAGATAAAATTAATTCTTTCCAGTAGAATTTTTTGTTATAGATTATTAAAATTGAAAAACAATATACTTAGGATGTGTTTGATTTTACCAAGAACTGCTTTATTGATTAAGATATTTCAAATTTAATTTGAAAAAGTTTACACTATCTTGAAAAAATATTAAAACATATTTTCCATTATTATATTTGTCTTTAATAGATTGGGTAAGAAATCCTTTTATTAGTTTTGCTTATGAGACTGCATTGTTTACCACAAATTAAAAGTGAAATTATTTATATTAAAAATGACAATGATCTAAGCTACAGCATTCTAAATTATTTGAAGATACTAAGACAAACTCGAAGTTAAAAAAAAATCAAAAAAATCTAAACGTCTCATAATTTTTTAGAACAACTATTAAATGGGTATCTCAAAATTTTAAGGAAAGCTATGAACAGAATACTGCTATTTTTCTCATCATATATTTTTGAATCATCTGTTACAGACATACATAAATGTAGGTCCTTACAACTACCAATACATAAGGGGATCACATAAATCATAAATAGTAGAAATCGGGTGAACAATATAGAAAGGAATGATTAAAACCCGAGGGTAACCCGAACACATACTATATATGAGCTGTCAGCTACACTTCAAAGTATTATAATAAAATGCAATTAATAGTAGCGTATAACAAAATATGGGAAATGTGCGAACAGTAATATTGTCGAGGTCAACCATTAAAATATCAATTTAGCACCTCAAAATAGTAACAATAATTGGAAATAACTTATTCCATAGAAATGCGCGACTGATTCCACGAACCTGAATAAATTAGCACCTCAGGGTAATAACAATAATTGGAAATAACTTAGAAATGCGCGGCCAATTCCACGAGACCTGAGTATATAAAGGGGTTGAGAATAAACCAATGTTCAGATGTGTTTAAGACGTGTATTAGAGAGCACCTTCACGCCAGTTTATTTGTTAAATTAATTAAATAAATTGTACTTAAAAATTACGGTTTAACTGCCGCACGCAATACATCATTCTCCTCAATGAACGCCATCAAAACCCAAAATCAATCACAACTGAAGAACTTGAAAGACAACATACTGGTGTGCTTGTCAATCATTATACTCCAGAAGAAACTTAAAAAGAAGGAGAAATAGGACCATATTTCTCACCAAATTGTTTATAATGTAATCATAATGTATTTGTTTTTCCATATTAATAAATTTAATATTTGTCATAAAATATGATTTTACATGAGTTTTTTAACCTAAATAAATACACAATTTTATATAATTCACTAGGTAGTTATTTACTGTTATACAAATAATTATTAATTAATATTAATATTAATATTATTATTAATATAATAGAAGCCTAATATAAAAAAAATTTAAGTCACTGGCAAGAGTGCTATGGCTAAATATAGGTTAGATATAAATTAGGGTTATTGTGCTGTAAGAGCAAATATGTTGGGAAATGCTGATTTATACATTTAATAGATAATAAATAATAATGTAACCTATTCTATATATTATAACTTCTGTTACCAGTATAACATACATTTATTTATTTACATTGATTTAGAAAATCAACTTCAGTAATAATAGTATAGGGTTTCTGATCATGATTTTTCAATTTTTATACTTCAAGGGGACACAAGATGAATTTATGAAAATTTACTTCTTATGTTTATTCTAGCTCTTTTATATTTTTTTAAAAATAAATTAGTTTAACATTTCACATTATTTTTTTAATTTAACATTTTTATATTTTGTAAAGTACTTACATAGGTTTATTAATTTCATTTTAAATATCTTATGATTTAAGAGTTATGACTTGAACGATACTATTCTTAAATATAAATTAAAATTATACTGCATTATACCTTTTTAAAAACTGTTCAAGTCGTAATGGACATTGAGCACCCATTGGTTTAGAAAAATCTCTGAAGATAGCAGGATTTGAAAAGTCTAGTACATCAGATTCATAATCATTTAGAATCCAAGGAAATACCGGATACTGCATTAGATCATTATAACTCCGTCCAGCCAATGTATTCAAATGCATTAAATACTGGAAATTAGATATTTCACCTCTCTGAAAATTTAATACATTTGTTAAAATATTTTCATTCAAACAATATTTTGGAAATACATTTTATGAAGATAATAAAATTAAGTATTAGTTCTGTTATGATGCTATACATCAATACATGATATAATAAATACAATACATGATAAAATAAATAAATAAAAAAAATTGGAGGTTTTTAAAAAATAGGGTAAAATACCTAAGTGAGATGAAACACCACAGTGGGGTAAGTTATAGAGATGGGTGAATAGTATTGCTGTATTGGCCTTTTTAACTTGAAACCACTGTACGATTGCTTTCAAAAAACGATCCTACATTTAAGAGGTTATATGGATCAGTTTATATTTCTAAAAATTGTTGTCTAAAATAGTGCCAATCACACTGAAGTGGCCTTAAAATTCAAATAAAAAATAATATTTACACATATATATACGTACTCAGTAAATATTTTGAGTTGCTACAATTAATGTTTATGATTACAACTAAATACTTATATCACTTAATGAGAATTTTTTGAAATATCTGATTTTGTCAATATTTTTTATAGAAACATTTATAAACACTTTTTAGACTTTCCATTATTTTATGTATTTTAATTTATAAAAAAATATTTTATAAAATCATGTATTTAATATTCAAACCAAAATTATAAAATTTTTAAATTTTACTATAAAAATATTATGGATTATCGTGATTTCTATCATATCAAATTTAAAATTCATACCATAGTATTTTTTTTATTATTTATCAATAAAGATATGTATAAGGAACTTTGGGTTACATTTTCAAGACTTTTTAACAAACTAAAATTATTTTATAAACATTTTTGAAAAAATTCTAAAAAAATATGAAATTGTCAATTATAAATATCTATAAATTTTGAAAAAAATCTTTTGAAGATTATACCACTCATAGCAAAAGGTAGTATAAGCATTAAGTGAATTAATTTTGTATTTTTTTTATAAATTTTATCAGTTTTTCAAAATTATTAAAAAATTCCCAATTAAAAACTACTTTTTTTTTTTATTAGAGATGCAATACTTCCAGGCAAAAATTGTGTATATAGACAAAAAAAAAATTTAAATTGAACAAAACACACATCATCAGAAAAACCAGTACATAACTAGTTTTACTCAGAATATAAAAAAGTTTAAAATCATTTATGATGCAAAGAAAAATACATTTCAAAATCCCATTTTAAATCAAAAGTATTTAATTTAGCTACCTTATAAAAGTATTATTAATTTATAATTAATTTATCATCATGATAAAATATAAACTATTTTAAAAAATATTAATAAAAATAAATCTACTTACCACCCATCTAGTAGTTACTGTTGTTTCACCCATTAGATTTGAAAGAAGACTTGTGCTTTGTTCAACATTTGCTGTTCTTTTTTGCCCAGCTACTGATTGATGAGCATTATCTGCTATTGATGTTGAATAAGCCATAAATCTAGAAAAAAACAAATATTTAATTATTCACTGAAATATTATAACTTAAATAGCCTAAATAATAAGCCTTAATAGCATGTTACACAATAACACATAAATAATTTTATCAGAAATCTTTAAGTAAATTACCTATTAAAAACCTTATTTCTAAGTTTTTTTGGAAGTGCCAATAAATGATTACGCCCATCGGCAGAAAATAATTCTACAGCAATGGGTTGTAGTAAATATCGCCGTTTATGTACTTCCCTATAATTTAATAAAATATTTAAATCATATATATATATATTTTTAAATATAAAAACAGTATTATTAAACTAATAAATACCTTATATCATCATACGAAAACTTTGAACTTAGTTTTTTAATGCGTACTCGATTTGGACTTCCATTCCCAGGACTTGGTAATAATGGTTCATATGAATTTGGTAATAAAGTATCAATGTCTCTAATTTCTCTAGTCTTAAGTAATGTAAAACCATCTACAATATATACATGATCTTTACCAAATAAAAGTAAACCCTCATATGTATCCAGACCTTGAATTCTTGCACACCGAAACATATGACTTATCTGTAAGAATAAAAAGCTGTAAAGTAAACTACTGGTGCCATTAGTTACTAATTTTGACTCAAAAGCTTAAATATATAGCATTAATCAGCCAAATTATAAAGCAATGATAATTAATGGCAACAAATAAAGGTAATTTTAATATATAAATAGGTTTAAAATATCTTATCTAACATTATAACTTAAAAACACAATTAAATTATTTTAAATACGGATTTTAAAATCACAATTGAAAGGTATTAAAACACAATATTTAGCATTTTTAATACACTATATATATATTTAAAAGAAAACCAAACTGAAAGATTAAAAAAGTCAAAACTCCTAGGTCGAGTAATATAAGGATAAGAGAACAGTATTTCTATATTGATCTTTTAAATTTGAAACCTATGTACCATTATTCTCGAAAAACGATTCTGATTTAAAGAGGTAGGATGATATATTTCTAAAAAGATTTTAACTATTTTCACAAAAAAAAGTATAAAATTTGGGCAAATCTTTGAACAATTTAATTTCCAATAAACAGTACAAATAAAATTTATTCAATAAAATAATTCAAAACTACAAAATATATTTTACTAAATAAGTAACTATTATTTAATGAAAATGCATAGAAATATCTGACGTTATTAAGTATTTATTTTATAATGCTTCTAATAATTTTTGTGACTGCCCAATGAATTTAAAATTCAGAGTGAAATGAGACTGTATTAGTTTTACTACGATATATGTTATCTTAAGGAATACTCCGAATCATTATCAAATAAAAAGTAAAAGATTGGAATTCATTCTAGATGGTACTTTCATGGGGTACTTTTGTTGGGTAATTTCTTTAATTTCTCAACAATTTTAATTAAATGAGATATAGCTGAAAACTATTTGCAGATTTTTCAAACCAAAATATGATTATAAAATTATAAAATTATCATTGTACATTTATAATCCAATATTGGGGGGGGGGTGTATACTGTACCTTCTCGTGGTCCCCCCTGTCTAGTAGTATTGTGAATGACAGAAAATCTAAATGCCTATGCATTAAGATATTGCAAGTATATCAACAACACGAAGCCAAACAGCACAAACCAGGCGGCCGAACGTCGAAAGACCTCCCGGCCTTATTGGTGAAAACAGCCCTTCTCAAGGCTACCCAACTGACAAACGTGTACAACACGTAATAAAACATAAAAACAAAAACTCCAAAAAAAAAACAAAAAAAATTCACAAAAAATCCAAAAAACATAAAAAAATACATGACGAGCAACCTATATATATACTAGAACTGTGGAGAAAAATTTCAAGATAGCTCAGATTAATGTGGAGGGCCTGACTAGAGCCAAGGCTGACAATTTGGGAAAAATATTTGGTGACATGGACGTATTGGTACTACAAGAGATCCGCATTCCCGACGCAGAAATAAACCGCCTAAAAATAAATGGTTTCAATTTAGTGCATTACACTGGTCACAAAAAACATGACTTGGCGACAAATGTAAAACAAAATAAGTCGTTCCCGAACATTGAGCAAGTGGCAGGTAACGAATATACGATTGGTATCCGTATTGACAACTCAACCGTTTTTAACGTATACAAATCCCCACCCAGAAAGTGAACTGCTTCCGTTTTGCCAGTCAGTCAACATCTAGCAATATACATTGGAGATTTTAACTCCCACAATACTGAGTGGGGATACTCCGTCGATAATGAAGAAGGCGTAACATTTTCGAACTGGGCAGCAATTAACTACCTTAAACTGATTTATGATGCCAAACAAGGAGGTACCTTTATATCGGGTAGATGGGACACGGCGACATCACCAGATCTTTGTTTTGTGACGGAAGATTCTAATAGCCTTCCCTTAAGCGTAAATAGAGAAATCAATAACCTTTTCCCAAGAAGCCAACACATGCCAACCACCGTGAATATCGGTCTGATAATTCCAACCTTATACAAACCTTTTATGCCTCGTTGGAACCTGCGTAAAGCAGCTTAGCCAGAATTTACTAAATACGTTGACGATAACATCCACCGAATTAAACCTATACCGGACAACTACGGCAGATTCATCAACCTCATAAAGACAGCAGCGAAAAAATCGATACCCAGAGGCCATAAAAATAACTATACCCCTTGCTGGACTAAGAAATGTGAAGAATTACTAAAAGAATACGAAAGGGACGGTAACGAAATCAATGCCGATAAACTCATCTCCCTACTTGATGAGAAACGTTGGAATAGATGGACACAGGCTATGGATGAAATGGACTTCACTCACTCCAGTAGGGAAAGTTGGTCTCTCCTAAGAAAACTGGAGGCAGCTCAATCCTCATGGAAAGCTTGCAAAGTCTCACTAAACTCTATCTCAACCATACTTCACAAGACTACGAATATAAAACCCAAGAAGTCCGATAAGATGAAGGTGAAAGCCGATTACAAGGAAGAACTCAATATGTGTAGAAAAGTCCGAAAACATGAATGATTTCGACGTGGAGGAAGTGGAGGCCGCCCTAAAGCTCCTTAAAAACGGCAAAGCTGCAGGCGTAGATGGTATGCTACCAGAATTTCTGAAACATTTGGGAACTAAAGGGAAATTTTTGTTAACAAGACTCTTTACATCGGTAAAAAATAACAATACATTGCCAAAACAATGGCGAGAAGCTAAAGTAATTGCAATTCTAAAACCAGGTAAGCCTGATGATGACCCAAAAAGCTATAGACCTATTTCGTTGCTATCCGTTGTCTACAAGTCATTTGAGAGAGTACTCTTGGCAAGAATTCAAACGCAAATCGATGAGCACCTACCAGTAGAACAGGTGGGCTTCAGATATGGAAATGTTGTAATGAACAAGTACTGTCTCTGACGACGTTTGTAGAAAATTAGTTTCAAAGAAAATTGAAAACGGGAGCTGTTTTCCTAGATCTATCCTGGGCCTATGACACTGTATGGAAACAAGGCCTACTTTTGAAGTTAGCCAAAATCCTAAAATATAAAACGTCATTACGTCTAATTGACAACTTATTGTCAGATAGAAAATTTAAAGTCCATCTAAACGGGAAAGAAAGCAAGTACAAGTTCCTTCAAAATGGTCTACTACCCCAGGGCTCAGTGCTCACCCCAATCTTATTTAACGTATAAAAATCAGACTTCATAAATACCTCGTCACGTAAATTTATGTACGCGGATGACGTGGGGTTAGTAGCCCAAGCAGAATCAATCGAAGAAATGACTGATATATTAAATGAAGATCTAGCAAGAGCCCAAAAATATTTCAAATCTTGGTTTCTCATTTTTAACCCCAACAAAAGGACAGCCATAGTTTTCCACCTGAACAACAGAAGCTAGTAGAAAACTTAATTTGACAGTCCAGGGCATCAAAATAATGAGTGTAGATGCCCCAAAGTATCTAGGAATCAAATTGGATAGAGCTTTAAACTTTAAGCAACACTTAGAAGATGTAAAGAATAAATTGAAAACCAGAAATAATATCATAAGTAAACTAGCGGGAACAAGTTGGGGTTATCAAGAAGATGGCAATGTAAAAAATAGACATCTAATAAGTGATCCCACTCAAAGAGTCCCAGGTTTTGAATATCCAAGAACCATGTGGACCAATCTAAACAGAATACGAACGGAGCATGGCAAGTGTAAATACCTATTACACCAATGGAAAATAAGGATTTCGCCTCATTGCGACTGCGGGCAAATACAATCCATCAGATACATCGTGGAGGAATGCCCTCAAACTAGATACAAGAATGGAATTGAGGCACTTCAAAAAATTTGATGACAAAGCAATGAATTGGCTATCAAACACTTTCGTTCGCCTTTAGATAAATTACGTATTATAATTGTTGTTATTGTTAAACTTATAATCATATAAGTATATTTTTAATTTTTTCTATGCCATTATCTATATTTAAGTTCTTATAAAATATTTATATTTTGTTATCTTAATGTAGCATAAGGTTTGTTTTTCACCAATATACAAACGCCATATGCAATAAAAAAAATCCAATATTTTACTCACTTCATTAAAATTTTAAAATATACTGTATTTTATTTAATTGTACTTAATATATAATGTTGATAAGTCATAATTTCACCTTTTCATTTGGTTCCAAAAGCCTGATTATTGTATGATTATCATCTGGGGGAGCTTGGTCTTCAATTCCACTTTCAATATCATTATCATCCATTCCATCATCTGGTTCAGATGTAGATCTTCTAACAACACGTTTTAAGCCTTTGAATGGTAATTCTAAAAATATATGCTATATTTAATGTAGAATTTCAAATACATGTTTATCTATTAATTTTGGATATTTAAAATAATTTTTAGGTATTTAATTTGAATTATTTCAAGCAGTTATTATTAAACTACATATAAAATAAATGAAAATAAAAATAAATGTTTACCACTGTCATCTAGGTTTTTATCAAAATCAAAAGTATCATGGCCATCAATTACTGTCATAAATTTAGTATTTTCATTAGATTGTGGTGCTAAATTTTCCATATCAATAAGTGTGGGTAATTTATATTTCTGACAAAATTCTTTGCTATCATAACTTGTTGCAACACGATACTTTAATCCTTTCTAAAATCAAATTAATTATACTGTAATAAAACTATAAATATAAATTAGTTTAAAAGAAAATAATTACATTGTCTCCAGACTCAAGTTCTGGTCGATATGGGTATTGAGTATAGAACTGATGATTTTTTACCATTTTTTTGCGCATTCTGCATGGACCTTCAGTCATATCTAATATCCACTTATCTAATCTAAAACCAATAAAATATTAACTATGAACAAATAAGTAAATAATATTTAAACATACTTGCAAGGAGTAAAAGGACCCCAAAGTCCCCTCTCTCTTGTTAATTCCTGTTCAATTAAATACCATTGATCCAGAACATATCGCACAGTAAATGATTGGTGCTGTGCTTGTCTAGACATTTGCATAGAAACAAGTTCACATACAGCATTTAAACCATGGTTAGCCCATGTAGACCATTCACTTTTGGTAATTCTTGATAAAGGTAAAGAAATACTAGAAAGACTTCCACTTTGCCAACGGCTTTCATCACGCCTAAGGACTTTTCCCCGAGATGCTAGTCTTGTTAAGCCTCCAGTTACTTTTTGTATTTTCTAATAGACACAATTTAAAATATATCAACAACTACTTATCTATAAAATATATGTATTAATATCTATAATAATTACTGATTGAATTTGAGTTTGTAATTCCCAAGGCATTTTATACAAAGATTTTTTCTCCATATCAATGTAAGTTAACCAATGTTTTTGGGCAGTTTCATAAATAAGTTCACGGACGGAATGTAAGTCTGGAGCTTTATTATTAGATGACATTGGTAATGGAATTTTGAAAACCTAAATTTATTATTTATATTAAGACATTAATATGTACTACAAATAAAAATTGTTTTTAAGCTTAAAACAATAACATTTTAATTTTAATAAATGAAAAAATAAAAAATTACAAATTTATTTATTAAAATAAAACTAGCCTCTTCAATAGCTGGTTTTTTAGATATATACAATTCTTCCCAAACACGTTTTGCTGCAACTGCCATTAAATTTTGTCCTTGCTTAGCTGTTTGTTCTTCAACTTCAGCAGTTTGGTTTGGATTTATATGCCATGTAGTTTTTGCATTAGTATCCAATCTATGGAACACATAAGTTTTAATGAAAATATAATTTTCAAACATTAAATAATATAATAAAATAAATTTCAGTTATAAAATATTACATTATTTTCATATCAGAAGTCAATTGCAATAAACAATAAATTAGACAGCCAATGAAATCCAATTCATGATTACCAGATCCAAACACCAATGTTCTAAATTTAAATATATAAAAAAATTATCTTTGTTAAATATATTTCAAAATAATTAATTTTTATTTACCTATTAGTGGTAAGCTTATGTAATGCTTCCAAAACTGGCATCTGTGAAGCTATTGAATCTGTACTCCTTGACAACAAAAATAAAGTTGTTCTATTAAGACAATGATAAAATCCTTCCATAGGTACAGAACAAGGTCTTCGTTTTGCTTGAACAATTAATTTCAAAATAAAATCAAACACTTCATGAGCATCTTTTATTAAAACACCCTGCCAAAGTTTGTCCACAACACGGCATGTTAAATAACAAACATTTTGAGGAATATTTTGAGCACTGCCACCAGGAACAGATGATACAGCTGCTTGTTCGCCAATCATAATATCAACAGCTAATAAGTGATCCATTAATGTTGACAATAATTCAGTTTGATATTTTGATACTTGAGATGAAGTTGCACCTTCTGGTGAAGCCTAAAAAATATACATAAACTTTTTCATTGAATACGTTAAATAATATATATTATAAATAAAAAGAAGATTTACATCAAGAACCAAGTCTAAAGGTGGTAATGACTTGCTATTTATAGGTAATAATAATGAATCAACAACAATAACTCTTAAGAAATCAACAACAAATTTTCTAGACGGATGTAAAGTTAATGATTGTTCTTTTTGAACAGTTGGAGGTGGAGTTCCATCTGGTGTTTTAATAAAACAATCATCATTTGGTGTGGACGGTTCACTCAAATTTAAGTTTGTAAATGGAAAGAGTGTTGCACTTAAGGAATGTAAGATATCAGATGTCATAAATGCTGGCATCCAATCTGGAAGATTATGGTATAGATAAAAAAGAAACTGAATTATAGTAACTGGGTGATCTTCTAACCAATCTTCATATTTAGTCCTGAAATTATATGAAAAAAAATTTGATGAAATAAAACAACAAATTGAAAAATACTACTAAATATTACTCTCTATTATCTTGATTCAGAATTAATCTCACAGACAATAAAAGGGCTGTAACAGCTTCAGGGCATAAGACAATACGGTCACTAACAGCTGAAAGTGATTGACTTATGGGAACACCAAACACAAAAATCCAAATTCCATCAAGATTTAACTAGATAAAAATAATTATATAATATTTCATAAAGTTAATTTTAAACATTGAAAAATAGTTTAAAAATATGTACTTTTTTTTCATTAGGAATTGTTTTAGCTGGTTGCCCCAACATCAAAGCCATGAGAAAATAATACAGTTCAGGAAGTTCAGTATGAAAAGATAGAAACCAAGAGAGATGTTGAAACCCAGGAATATTTAAAGCTTCAATTTTGTTAAGTACATCTTTACTATTCTTTTGTAAACTTGGAGAAAGTTGATAATCTAAAAAAATATGCAGGTAACATAAGATAAAAATATTTATTTATACAAATGAATAAAAATTATATTAGTTGAGAATTTATTAGAAACTTACTAAGCATCAAATTTGCTTTATTATTTTGCAAAAGTTCTGTATTGAGTAGCCATCCGCCATTACTGGATGCTTCTCTAAATTTAACCAATAATGTAGGTACAGAACATAAAGTGGTAAGAATTTTATAGGCCCAAATTACTGAAGAATTATGTATATTTGATTGCATAAATAGCAGTACCCAATCAAATCCTAATATTCGTACAAAATCATCACAAAACCTACACAAGTACATGTACTTTAATATAATACTTAAAAAAATACATAAGTGTAATACATTTATAATTACCCAGTGCAAATTAAGTTTTTATTTGTAAACAATAGACAATGCATAAGTTGAAGACAGCGGTTACGCAATAATATAGTACAAATAGTTTTTTCTTCATTTGTCAACTCATTACAACTATCCATGGTCTTTGTTTTTGATTCAAATTCTTCTAATTTAAGATTAGTTTCTGTATTAAGACCCGTATTTAATGTATACACTATGTACTGACCAAAACTTGAAAACAAAAATAAAATATTTAAGATTTACAAAAAATTGTGCAAGTACAAAATAAAAAATATTTTCACTCTATTTAATACAAAAATGTTAAACATTTAAATAATTTAATGATTATTACACAGAAAAACTTATTTTACTTTTCTTTTCATAGAGTATAATAGTGTTAAATATTTTTTCTAACTTTAAAAGATTGACCAGAAGAAAAGGCTAACTTCAATCATCATCTGTTGTTTTTTCTTATATCAAATTTTATTTATCTGGTACTTTTGAAAAGTCATTTTTTGAATTTCCTAGCAGTGTAATAATTCAGATATTATAACGGTTTTCTAAATAATTGAGAAAGAAAAAATACAAAAACCAATAACATTTATGAGATACCGAATTTCAATGAACTTCATTGAGTTATTAGTATGATAATAGGTTTGTTGTTGTCTAAAAATATTAACTGTAGGAACTTAAAACCAGTAGTGTAGTAAGAGCATGGCAAACTGATATACAAATTGTGAAGGGACACAAAACTTTATTTCAAATCTATTATTACAGATAAAAAAGTGAATTATTTCGAAATTTAGTATGAGTACTAGCAAAGTCTTTGCCACTGCTTAAAACACATTAATCTGGATACTTTAATTAACATTATGCAACAAATAGATTACAAAGATGTTCATATATATTATTTTCTTAGGATTTCGAGATAAATTATACACAATTTTAAAATAATATAGCCGATTTCCTATGACAAAGAAAAACTACCTAATTAGTTATAAACAATAGCAACAAAAAATATATCCATATAAAATTAATTTTTAAACATTAGCTATTTAAATTCAATTAGTCAAAAATAAAAATTGAAACTAGCAAGGACAAATACTTTTGAGTTTAAATCATCCAATTCACATAAAACCAAAATGTCAGTCGAACAATTTTGTTTTTTATGGGGCCATGGCAAAATTAAACAAACTAAATTTTGTAAGTTCCATAAAAAAAACATAATAAAATATAATAAACTTTTTTTTTCGTGAACTTCATTCATATAACATAGATACTTCAAGTATAAAAAGCTGAGTGATATATTATACTTTTGGAGTCTTTCGATGAACAAAGAAATTTAAATATACAAAATTGTAATATGGGCAAAAGTAATGTGATCACACACCAGGCACCTAGCACCCAAATTCATATACAAATTTATTTTACTAATTATCAAAAACATGCTATGTTTATAGTTTATGCATACTAAATAAATCTTTTATGATAACTATTCGATGATACAATTTATTACAATTTTTATTATTATATAACTTATATATAGATATATTATTATAACTTTAAATTTTATATTCATAGAAAACGTTATCATAAAGTTAAATACTGGGTTATGAATAGTAGACATAACGTTAAATAAGAACTAGTGTCAAATAGTGCTTTTTATAAGTTCTACAAGTTTCTCATAGAAAATAAATTATGAAAAATTATACAATGACCCAAAATTGTTAGCCCTCTTAATAGAAATATTTTGGCTACGTAACTGTCACAAGGAATTATTCATTATAATAAATAAAATTTGTATTTTTAGAAAAATAAATTGTTATTTACCAAATTAAATCTTCAATTAATGGATGTTTTGCTAAAAGTGCTCCAAGTAATGAAAATAACACTTCTATTGTTGATGGTGTAGAAGTATTAAAAACAATTGGCAAGAAATTTACCATTTTGCGAACCATTTCCATATTTCTCAATATAATTAGATTGTTCCTCTTTTCATTTGAGTCTGATACTAATTCATATAACTGTTCTAACAGTGACCGTAACAGACTAGCTGGAACTTCTTGCCAAAGCTAAACAATGTTTAAATGAAAAATAATACATTAATTTAAGTATGTTTTTAAATAGTTATATATATAACTTATATAATATATAAATACTATCAATAAATGAATGATATATATATATTCTCTCTCTCTACAACAATATTGTACAAAAAACAGTTTTAAACATAATTAATATAAAAAGTATTACGAATTGTGAAATCATGAGCCTCTACACAAACATGTTTAGTTTCTTTTTTGAAGAATAAAATACACATACATTTAACTCGCATATCAAATCGTTGAATGCAACTGGATCTGGAATACTTGGAGCTTCAACACTTCTAGTTGTGATTACTAAATCAAGTATAATGTGTAAAATATGAGCATTGAGCATATGTTTATGCCTACGTAAGCATAGTGCTAAGAGTTGATATCCACGTTTACGTTCCATTTCTCGTTTTGCTGTCATATTTAAATGTAGTACTCCACTTAAAGCTTTAACAGCTGCATACAAACTTTCCATGTCTCTTGCCATAGCAATTAGTCCTATGTATAGGAAAATAATTAAAATTGTTATTAATTACATGTATATATTTGTGAATATTTTTCTTTTTTACCTAATAATACAGAACAGCCACCAATATTATCAATTAATTTTAAAACTGGACGAGGATAAAATGTACGAACCCCTAAATAACCTAATATAACACCACCCAAACTTCTAGCTGAACCAGCTAAATGTCCAGCAGTGTTGTGCATTATACGAATAGGTGTAGCATTTTCATGAGTTGACATTCCAAGCTAATAAAACATTAAATTTTGATTAAACAATTATCCCTTATACATAAAAATTATGGTTTTAATATAATAATCAGTAATAGTCTAGTTTTAATCAACAAAAATAAATATATAAAAGTTTATTTTTTAAATATAAATATAAATTAACTATAAATATAATAGTAAATATATCTATCTAAATTTACCTGTTTTGCAATTGATTTACTATCCACTTTGCTATATATTTTTCGTATTTTTGCTAAAGTTAATTGAGAAACTGCCCTTGCATTCAGCCCAAATATAACTTTCTCTTCAGATATTAAAGGGCCAATATGTTCTAAATCTTAAAATATTGAAAATAAAAACTCATTTAGTTATATAATTAAAAATATAAATTTAACTATGAAAACTAAATACCTTTAATATCAGGTGCCTGTAAACTTCCAAAATAATGAGGACCCAGTTGATACAAAATTTTTATAGCATGAGGATTTAAAACCTCTTCTAATAAACAGCAAGGTCCTTGTTTCCATGTTAATTTAGAATATTTTCTCCAAATTGGAGGTGTTCCTATATATCCATACACAGAAGATGCAATAGTCAAATTAGCTGCTCCTCCACCAGGATTTTGAGATATATAATGTAACTAAAAATAATTTATAAAAATAATATTCATTTTAGATAATGTTAAAAAATTTTACTTTTTGTGTATGCACATGTTGACCATCCATATACAATGAAAAAGATGAATTTTTTAATACAGCTCTATTCAAAACTAGTACAATATGATGCCATTGGCCTTCTTGTACAAGATCTGGATACCATATTCTAGCACAAGAATCTCCAATAACTTCTGGCTCCCAATCAGCATTGGCTAAAATGTAAATAAATATATAGTTTAACTGTGTAAGCTAAAGTTAATGAATGTAATGAATTAAACAATATACTCATTGATATTGGCGTTTCTTGAGTAGATATAGTAAGTGCTCGGTCTCGAGCAGATAATACTACTGCTAAACAAACTAAATGGTCTCTAGAACTTTGAACATTTCTTATTAAAGTCAGAAGTCGAACTGGATGTGGATCAGTTCTTGGTTCAGAAAACTTTTCAATACATAACCAAGTTGAATAACTAAGGCCACTTTGTGGAGGGAACATTCGATCACCTTTAAAGAAATAGATGTTTTAAAAAACAAAAATTAAAAAAATTCTCATAGAATATTAAAAATAAAATTTACCAACCAGTTCCTATTCCTCCAATTACGTTCATATCAGGTGTAGTTAATGTGGCAACATTAACAACTGAAGGTCCACTAATTGGAGATTGTGGAGCAATACTAGGTAAAAATAAGCATCCAAAACCCTCAGTAGATAAATCCATTTCAAAAAATGGTGGTAGTGAAAGCATACAAGGATCTCTAGGTGTAGTCATAGATACAAGTGTTTTTACACGACTTAATGGTACTGTTCCACCAGGTTTTTTACTACTGTGACTTATCCAACAGTCCAGTAAATCTAAGGGAACACAACAAAGAGGTTCTCCGAGTCTCAAAAATTCACGCAAATCTTTTGGTTCTAATAGCTGAATAGCTAATCGTTCTAACATGTACTGAAACACTGTATGTAGTGGATGTGTTTCTTCCAACAATGCTATTCGTCCTACTTTTAAGACAATAGTTGGAAATCCAGAATCACAGAGTAGTTGTTGATTTTTTTCTCCGCGGACTAAAGATCTGATTACTTCGCCTATATAAACTTGCAATGTTAGTGATAGCTAAAAGAAATAATAATAAGAACTTTAATTCTATCAAAAAATTATAATATTATAGTATACTTTAGGAGCTGATGGATTATAAATTGATGGTAAAAGTTGTAACATAGCCATAACAACACCAGCATGGACAATAATTGGATCTGGAGCTGGAGGACTTAAATTAAAAGGTTTAAGTGTATGGCGGTTATTGTTCTGAGAATCTAATGGTTTTGTAGCTACCTAAATATAATTTAAATTAGTAATTTAATTCAAACTAAACTAAATATTCAATAACAAAACCGACTTCACTGTATCGTCTGTGAGCAGGTGAATTAAATGATACAACAGTTGTATTGTTTTGTTTATCATATAAATCAAGAGCAACATCATATAACATTCGCATTATCACACAAGCATAAGACAAAAATTTAGGAACATTATCTGTAATTCTGAAATCAACAGAATCATACAAATATGTTAAATATTGTATAAATTATCTAATCTAAATATTATTGTGGTTAAAAAACACTGATAAACATTATTTACCAAACACACTTGTTAAATACATATAAAATAATATTATGCAGCAAATGTTCATTGTTTTTAAGATATTTTAATAATAAATATTTTACAAAATAGTATGTTTATGAGAATATAGCTATTTTTTCTAGTAAAATATTGATTAATTACTATCAATAAAATTTTGTTTTAAATGTAAGTACTAAATATAATATTAATACTAAATAAGTCTTAAAAATTTAATCTTTAACTTTTGTTAATTATTAATGTTGTTATATTATGTTAATTGTGGGTTAATATTGTTATAAAAATAGTTACACATACTAACTAATAAAAATAGGAACTGGAAACATTACAAAACATCAAATATTTCAAATATAAATCAAATTATTTAAAAATATTCTAAATATTCAACTTGTATTGCAAACCAAAGAAATTAAATTAATATTAATATTTTTTGACTGTTCATTAAAAAAAAAATTAAAATAACATATTGATATTAAATGTACATTGTATAATATAGAGCTGGTAAAATAATGGTACAAGTACTCAAAGTTCTACAATGATTACATTTTAATAACATACATACAATAAATAAATTTTTTTTAAAAATATAACCTATGATGGTTAGCAACACTTTCCATTTGATTAATTAGTAAACTTAATTTAAAATATTTTAAACAAATAAAAATAATAAACACAAAATATTAGATTAAAATATTATATACCTCATATTATAGTATTTTTTTTAATAAATTTATAGCAAATATATTTTAACATAAATTCAAATATTGAGATGAGAAGGATTAATTTACTACATTCCCAAAAAATTTCTTTTTTCTCTCTAATGACGAAAAATTTATGAAAAGTTATAAAAAAAATGGCAAAATATATGGCATACTTGTTTTACACTAAATCAAATTTTTGTTTTCATAGCATCTAATTAAATAAAAATTGTAGACAATTGAAATATTCACTCATAATAGTTATAACTAAGGCTCGTATGTTAATATACTTTAAATAACTGTAAAGTGTATACATTTATGCATTGAAAAATTAACAAATATGCATTAAAAATATAAAAAACATAAAATATACATTTTAGTTATAAAAAAAAACCAAAATATGCAGCATCAAATGTATTTTACCTTAGTATTGAAAATTAAAATTAAATTATATTTTATAAGTATTTAATTTTTAATAGATTTTATTTTAATATTTCATATTTTTTTGTTATTACATACTAATTTAGTATATGAGTGTTACACTGTAATACAATATTTTTTTAGTTTGCTTAAATTTGAATCTATAAATATTTGGGACAAACATAATTTTACGGGTCAATAATTTATCTGAATAAAAATCGATAGAGTCTTGACATTTAAAAAACATCAAGAAAGGTTGAAAAATAAACTAAAGATGAGGAATAATATTATTTCAAAACTAGCTGGGTCGACATGGGGAAGCGATGCAACTGTTCTACATATATCAGCATTAACCCTGGTATACAGTGTAGCTGAGTACTATGCTCCAGTTTGGTTCAAAAGTTGACATAGCAAAAAGGTGGATACGGAGTTAAATCAAACGAAGCAAATTATAACAAGCACAATAAGAACGACTGAAGTACAATAATTACTGATGTTGGCAAATATAGCTCCACCTGACCTGTGCAGATTGATGCATACAGAACGCATAGTAGGCAAGATTAAAAGAAACCCTTAACTACCATTAAATGAAGATATTATTACACACCCTCGTAAAAGGCTTAAGTAGAAACATCCAATATCGGACCTCACATTTTCATTAGAAACTCTATCGATAACATGGAAAACACAATGGAAGACTCAGGTGTGCGAGGATTTACCTTGATCGAAAACTCAAAAACAAGAACTCTGGGTTCTGGTCTTCCATGGAAGTTATGGTCAACCTTAAATAGAATAAGAACTGAGCAAGGCAGAAGTAAAATTTTACTAGATAAATGAGGAATGGAACATTCTCCTCTTTGCTCTTGTGGAATTGAACAAACTATCAAGCATATTTGAAAGAATGTCCAATTACTAAATTTGAAGGAAGAATAGTAAAATTATATAAAGCTAAAACAGAGGCAATTAATTGGTTAAATAATCTAGAAATACCATTCTAATAATCAACAAAGTTTCTGGCCCAGTTACCTTTAAATTTAGGATAGTTTTGTCACAGCTTAAAAGTTGTTATGTTATTGTAATTTTAAGTTTAAATTTATCTAATATCTATTTATTGTTATAATTTCTTACTAATTTATCATAGTTTAACATATATCTGTCTAACTTATTGTATTTAACTAAAAAAAAAAAACAAAACATTTAATATTTTATAATTAAGCAGATATATTATATGCAAAATAAAAAATAAAATACAAAAAATATGCATTTTCATTAACATCTGAGCCCTAATTTTACCATTCATTATAAATGGTATAATTTTCAAAAAATATTTGCAAGATATTTATAGATAATTGAAAATGTCATGTTTTCTTAGTTTTTGCTATATTATTGTTTTGGTTTGAGTAAAAGAATTAAAAATGTAATATCATTTTTTTCATATATATTAATACAAATTAATGAAAAATGGTTGAGCTTAATTTTAAAAAAATAATATATGCATTTAAGAATTACATTTTGACGAAAAGATAAAAATCACAAAAATCTGCAAAACTTTTACTATCAAAAATTCTTACAGCAATACCATTCATCTGTATATTTATCCCTGTATCTCACTTAAACATGAAGCCTTATACGACCAAGGAGTTTCGCCCTTTTTAATTAATTTAATCCATTATATAATATAATCCAAACTTACATAGGATTATTGATGTTGTTAGTGAATATGGTGTGGAAAACATTTTCCTCTAATGATGTAGTCATTATATCAATATAGTCATCTAATTGATTTTCATTTGAAAAACAACCCAATAATCGTAATGTGTCACATAAACTTGTCAAACAAATCTAAAAAAATATATTTTTATAAAATAATTTAATACTAGTTAATTGGATTTACTTACTTCTTGGTGAAAATACTTAGCATTTGCTGGTTCAAAGCGCATAGCAATAGTAATTGTATTAAAAATTGTATAGGCAAATCTCAAAGCTTCTTGGTCTACTAGTTTTTCATCTGAAAACCAACCTTCCATAGATACTAATGCGCTTACAACATAGACAAATCCATCAACTTTACGAAACATAGTTCTAGTACGATGGCTCTCTTTCATACAACTCAAAAATAATTTCAGAATACTAGACTTTAATGGTATACAAGTATGATCAGTTGTATGAAGAATGCCTAAAAGAGTAGACATTTCATCTTCACCACCAGTACTCAATATCATTTCTCGTAATATAGCTGAAAAGTACAATCAAACATTTCAATATTAATAATTTAATTCAAATATTTTTTTAAATACAAAAAAATAATCACCTGTAGCATACTGACGAGTTGATGGATATTCAAGTATAATATACAATACTTGAGCACCTCCACATTCTTTAAAAACTTTACAATTTTTTGGTGAAGACATCATAAGATTAACTAGGCATTCAGCAGTTAAATTTATGACACGTTTTAAGTCACCATCATGTTTTTCATCTTAAATTAAATAATAATTCAATAAAAAATAGTATAGTAATAAATAAACAATAATAATATAGTATATGATTTATCTCCTAATTCAAAATTACCAAATTTCAAACTTGGTGTCTCAAATTTTTTACAGTTTGATTGCAACTAATTTAAGAATATTAAATAAATAAATTAAATTTTGATAGTTTATTTGTTAATGATTTTAAAACTACAAAAATTATAATTTTACAAGCTAGCTAATTTTCCTAAATATAAATTTTAAAATGTTTAAAAGCCATGTAAAATGTAAATAAAAACAATTATTAAATATTTACCTTTAGTAGTATAATAAAGGAACTAATAAATAATATCCTATAAAATATAAGGTCCAAAAGACTGACAATCTTACTAAAGTATCTTATAAGTAAACTGTGAATATATAGATTTGAAAATAAAATTGATTCAAATTTCTAAATAAATATTAAATATTTTTATATGGTTATTTTTTATGAATATAATATTTATTTTGAACCATTGGAATTATTATTCTTATTTACTGATGAAAAACCTTTTCCAAAGGATTTACAAATTCAAATAATTTTAAAACTTACCTTTTGATTCACAATCAGAGAGATAGTCTTGAGTATAGTTCCTTAAATTATTTGACAATCCTTCAAGTATGCCAACGTCTCTAAATACATCTTTGAATGTATTATTATATTTTAATATATCTAGTAATGTTTGCAAGCAAATTTTAATACATTCAGTAGAACTATAAGTTTTTAATAACTGAGAAATTGACACTAGTTCTTTTACTGGCACAAAGTTAAGTTGAAAAACAATGAACTCTAAGAGTTTGAAAAATTTTTCTTGAATCTGTTGATTTTTTAAATGAATAGTTTCAGCAAACTGTGGCAATGTATTCTGTGGCTCTAGTATAAAATAATTAGCATTATCAGAGTGATAAACATTTGATATTGCATCAAGAATTGTACAGCATAATGCACTAGAATCGGAACGAATAAATGTAGTTTGGAGGACATTGAATGCACATATGTTTCGTACACTTTGACCTAAAATAAATTATTTATTTATCAAAATATATAATAATATTATAAAACTCTAAAAAAATATGCCTTATACTAACCACGGCCAGTGGGTTGAGGAATAGTGAATCCTAAGACTTGAAACAAAGAATTTGCCTGATCTGGATTGGGTTTTAACTCAATATAACCACTCATTGAAAGAGATGCAATTATCAAAACAAGATTCCTCATTGCTTCAAGGGCTTCACTAGATTCATCATTTTCTAGACTGAAAATTAATTGATTGTAATAGTACATAATATATTTTACTTCCATTAAAATAAGTTAGTAAATCAATTAATGCATTTATTCATTTTACCTCAAAAGAAAGTCAGAGAGAAATGTATATCCTTGAGTAGTATTGAAATCATCAAGTAATATCTGTGATACATCAGATGAATCTTTTAAAAAATAAGAAACAGTAACAAACATATCCACTACTTCTAATGGGCTTAAATCTGCACTTTGTCGCATATTTTCAATGCACAATTCAATACAATTTTTACCTATCAAAAATTAGTTATAATAAATTAATAATATTAAATAATAGTATTTTCTATTATATTAACATCCGTTAAAATTTTATTTTTACTTTTACTAATAGAGTATAAAATCTATAATTATCACAATAATTATATATGCAGAATATATTTGATAATATTGATGCATGTGAATAAAACCAGCTATTTAATAATTACACTTCATACATTTATTAGGTTAAATTTGATTTTTTTTCTTCGCTATTCTAATTTTCATACTTGGTTAATTAAGATCTTAACACCATTTAAACTACAAGGATGATTACCAGAATTGGTATAGGACAGCATTTCCCAAACTGTACTCCGCGGACCCCTAGGGATCCGAACGTAAATTAAAAATACACTAAGTACCCATCTATATAAACGAAAATACTGATGTAATATTCACTTTACATGGGAATTACTATTGATAGTTAATGCATTAAAAAAATAGTTATCATTGAAAAGCAATTAATATTAGAAACAGACTGATTGCGTTGGTTAGGTTATTCTATTTTATCTTATTTTATTTTATTTTATTTTAATTTGTCATTTTATCTATACTCTCGTTAATGTTGTTGTTATGCGGTACTGTGTTATGTATGTCATGTGAATAAATAAATATATAAATCACGTTGGTTTTTTATTTATCATAAACATATATGTATTTAGTTCAAAAAATAAAGCAATCAAATTAGTATTAATAATTACTATTGTTTTTAATATTTATACGTATTAAGGGGACCGCGATCATTTTTATTATCTCTAAGGGTTCTAACAGAGAAAAAGTTTGGGAAATGCTGATATAGGGAACTAGAGATTAATAATATTAGTGGATTTGAGTAATTTGTCAGTTGTGAATGAAATTGTTTATAAAGGATTTTAGTAGTTTCTTTTATACAATAGATTCTTAATATGACGAACGTCGCTATCTCGAATTTTTCATTATCTCGAACTACTTTAAATTTCCCTTGAAACTACTATTACACTTAATAGTGTTTTGCTCTCGATAACTCGATAAAAAATTAATTGTTTTTCGTTATCTCGAGTTCATAAATAATATTTTTATCACGGTTAAAATAGGAACTGTGCAATACATTAGTGCAGTACATTGCATACATTTTGCAGTATAGCGATTGTGATTTAGCGCGTTGGTAGTCACGTTTGTAGTCTTTCATAGTTCGTTTGTTCGTTTATAGTAAAATAGAAAATAAGCGTAAATTAAATGTTCTTTCACTTTCGAACAAAGTTAGTTTAATACAGTTAGTTGAAAAAGGTGACCATAAAAATTGTAAAATCGCCTATAAATTCAATATTCCTCCAAATACATTATCGTCAATTATTAAACAGAAAGAGAAAATAATGAAGTTCAATTGTGGAAATATAAAAAAAATGAGGATGACTTCTTATTTGGATATTGATAAACGTTTGCTAAAATGGTTAACTCTGTGTCGAGATAAAAACATATCATTAAACTAGAAAATTTTAATAAAATTCGATATTCCGAAGTCTTCGATATTTCGAACTTTTTTCTATTCCCCTTGAGATTCAACATAAGGAGAATCTACTGTAGTTGATATTGTTACATTCATTTAAAATTTGTAAGAAGAATATGATGAAAAATACAGAATGGAATATTTGTGATTATTCAGAGGTTGTATTTTGTTAGTTTAGTTTGTATTTTGATGTATTTAATTTTTATTACTACACCTTCTAATTGAATCCTATATTTACCAATGATACTTTTTTCTTTCTTTGTATTTGTCCCAAGTTATGTATTGATCCAGAAACAAGTTCATATTATGAATGCTGGAGGACTTAAGAATATTTAAATTATTTAAACTTATAGATGGTTCAACATTATAAAGTAAAAGTTAGATGAGTAAATTTTTCATGGTTTTATTTTTATTTTCCACTTGCTGTACCAGGAAGACATGATTTCTAAATAGTTCTATAGATGTATACTAGCAGTTATTAGGTCTTTATGTAAAGAGTACATAATTTAATTAATTACAATGGAGGTATAAGCATGGGCGCCCAGAAACTTTTTTAGTAGGAGGGATAAAATTAATTTTAAAAAAAAGATTTTTTTATACATTTTATTTATATATTTTTTTCCTCAATTATAAGATATACTGTTGATATTTGGGCTAAGGGTGAAATTTTAGATTCAATTCAATAAAAATTTAAATATATTTACAAGCATACATACCATGAATATATTGTATAACTTTTGGTGTAAGCCCGTGTTGAGAAATTGTTATTAAAACTTCAGCAGAAGATTTTCTCCAGACAGAATTATAAGATGGACAAGAACTTGTAATAGCAGAAAATAATAAAGATAAATCATCTTTGACAACTAATTCTTCAGCTGGAAGATGATTACTGCACAATCTAACTAATATTTGCACAAATATTTTTTGTAATAAAATGCGACGTTCCTTTGGTGTAAAATCACTTTGATCAGTCTTTTCATCTTCATTCTCCAAAGGAGGTAAATCGAAAAAAAGATATAAACATTTAACTAATGTTGATGGAAGAGATGCTGATACCATTATCTAAAAATAGTGAATTTAAGAATAAAAAATAATCTATTAAAAAAATAACATACTTTTATAAGAGATGGTTGGTTAGTTGCAGCTAACAAATTTAATGTTGATAAAAGCATCCATCCATTACTAGATTCCTCGCAGTTTTCTATTTCTAAAAAACAAGCAATAGCTTTACTAGCAGTTTCTGTTGATTGATTAGATGCCCGAAGTCGAATTTCTGCAACCATGAGAGCTGACATTTCAGAGCACCAACTATTGATATCACAAAATTTTTCAATAATCTCTGCACAAGGACTTCTACCAAAAACCTAATAAAATAATATAAGTATTTTATTAACATTTACTTTTATTAGATCATTAAAATGATTACTTTGCAAAATAAAGGAATCATTGTGTACAGTTTTGTACTACGTTCTTTGTCATTAAGCATGTGTGATGTATGAATATAGTCTGTAAACAGTTTTTTTAAATGCATCAAACCAAGAGCAGTATGTTGACTAGAATCAACTTCAAAAGGACGAGCACTTTCACCACTTGTGGATGTGGTAGTATTACTACCACGCAATTTTCGCATGATGTTCATTGTATGTTAATAAAAATATCTAAAACAAATAATTATAGTAGGTAATAATTTTAACAGTCAAAAAATAAAAAATAATTTAATACAAGAACTAAATCAAATGTTCAGTCATATTTAGTTGTTTGTAAAATTAGTTTTAATGTATAAGTCTCAATATAAGTATTTTAATAATTTTGAAAGATTTTCTAAATTTAACTATTAATTTAAGACTGTTATTCGAATAATTGAATTTAATAAACTTCTATCATACCCAAATCTATACTTTTAAATATAATCAAAAAAAGATACATTTAATAATAAGTTAAACACTCTTACCTCTAAACTATTAATGTTGAAAGTTAGAGATACTCTTGTATTGCACTTACATTTTCCTTTTCTTGTACCCAATATTGGTGGTAATTATTTTTAAATGCCCAAAAAACATGCCTCCATCTCAAAAACATACATTATAACACTTAACTAGTGTAATATTCTTATGAATGCAAGTAAAAATGGATGGAACATTTAAAAATAAAGGTGTTTTTTTTTCATTTTGAAATTAAATTATTCATTTATGTATTATTGTGTAGTGCATATAAACTTCTCAAAGAAAAAAAATTTTCCCTTATCAGAACGCCTTTATCGGATTGTCAACAAAATAATCAATATTATCAAGGTCAGTATGAAGTTAGATACGGACATGATCGCCGAATACGTAACCTAAACACTTAAAATTTAAAACATAATCCCATCAAAGCTCGAGTCAATAGAAATTTTTAAAATATTTCATATATATTTGTATAAAAGGTCTAGGCTGACTTGTATGTGTGTTATAAGGCAAGAACGGCGACCGGATTTTTGTCCCATTCAGTTTCCCGGTTATAGATCGCACGAAAAGTATTTTTTACCAATCACCCGACGGGTACGCTGTGCTACAAGTTTAATATTGATCACGCTTTCGCTACAATGTTCTGTGCTGCAGGCGTACTATCGCTGGCCGGTCTATGCTACAGTTAGCCACATTTTCGTTTATTCCGTGACCACCAATATTTTATCTAACACATCCATGGCGACACTGAGGTTGTGAAATTATGTTGTTCATCGCGATGATCGAGAGCGCACATTATTGAATAGAGTATATAATTCTCTAAATCTATGTTCACACCTAGCAAACATTTTACAAACGTTTGTCGAACGTTCGCCAAACGTTCGTCGAACACCAAAAATATCTAGAAAATGTTTTTACTAACGACGAATGTTTTTCGAACGTTTGATGTAGACGTGTTTCCAAATAAATTTGTTTGTCTATAATCCAAACAAAAAGTTCGCACATTAAGCGAACATTTTGAATGTATGTTTGTACTTGTATGCTGATGTATCTCTGATTGAATAATTATAAAAGTTAATAATGCTTCGCATGTGTGTACATCAGGTACAATCTATATTATTATTTATTTCAATTATATATATGATAAATAATAATATGATAATAATGTAATATAATAATATGTTATACAATACGTATCAATACGTAACAGACTATTTAAACAGTACACTATTTTATTTTTAAATTATATGTGATATTTCAGACGACTTGTTCTATATCTGACATGGTCACGACTGTTGGCAAACATATAGCGAACAACAAATTATAAACAAACGTTTGTAGTCATTAATAAAATGTTTTACAAACTTTGACGAATGTTCGATAAACGTTCGACAAATGTTCGGCAAACGTTTGACAAACAATGTTTCCCTAAACGTTTATTAGGTGTGGACGCAGCTTTATAGAGATAACCATTCTCATCTGGTTGTCGCAGTACCTACCGCTGACCGTGGTCGAGTTAAATCGTAACTCGACGGCTACCATTGCAATGGTTGCACGACGACGTTTGATGAATACCAAATAAAATTTAATCGGATTCCATACACATGACGAAACCGGTTTCTTAGCTCCATAGGCAATTTTATGAAACAATGTACACAATATACCTATTGTATTTTTTTAAATCAAATTTGAAATTTCTAAATTTTTATAAAATAAAACAACCTTTAAATTTTCTCCATACAATCTATAAATAGAATCATTTTGAAAGAAAACAAAAACAATTGTTTTGAATGTAATAAATTTACCCCTTCGTGGTCCACCCTATTAATGCTAAATGCATATGATGGCTTAATGAAACAATTATTTTTGTTTCGAGACACAAATAGTGTGTGATATTATTTAATCAACATTATTATTATCATTATCAATATTATTACCAATTTGTTTAAAAATAAGAGTATATATTATTAATTATATCATTAATTATATCATCAAAGAATTATTATACAATTTATATGTGCTCCCCCTATCAAAATATCAAAGATACGCCCCTGCTTATTTAAGTATATTATGTTTATCATTATGTTAATTGTAACACAGGGTAAAATAGTAAAACCCAGAAAGTTTAAAAAAAAATTATTTTAAAATTCCTAACACTTCCCGAGATATTAACGGGTTCACAATAAAAAAAATTACCTAGTATTTTGTGATATTATAACGATTAACGTAATTTATTATACTTTTAGTAATATACAGCGTATATAGGTTGAATTAATATTATGAGCTAATTTTTATAATTTAATATTTAAGCTAATATTTTCAGAAAATTTAGGTTTTTTTATGATTAAACAATTTGATATTTGAGATAGTTGTATTAAAAAGTAATGTACTAATTTTCGGAAAAACGAATAAATTTGGATATTTTGTTCTTGGATATTTTGATCTAGATTCAGCTCTAATATTTGCCAAGCCGACCATACAACAATCATTAAAGTATGAAATGTTGTTTTCCAGGTTGTCTGAGAAAACGGAAGATGGGGAATTTCTTACGAATAGCTCTTTCAACACGGCCTTTCTAACATTTCAATATTTTTGGCAGTCTTAAGCGCCCGTGTATTTCCTTATAAGTTTTCATTCCATTTCTCATGTTATCAAGGTATATTGATCAATACATCTTGGATAATACCTTAGATCCAGGGCCATCCCGAAGGTGGGTCTAGGGGGGGGCGTCTCACCCCCCCCAACGAAAATACCAGTCGGCAGTCGGACTTATTTCATTATAGCCTAGAAGGACCTAATTTTATTTACGGAAAACATATATAACATGTTTCGTAATACAGTGTATACACGAATAAAATGTATGTAACTACTTATTATACAATATAAAATATTATATACATATAATTAAATTGTTAATTTTAAAAAGGTGCGACACTGAAACATATATACATGTTAAAAAGTAAAAATACGACTACATATAGTTAATTATACTACATACATTGAGTAAAAAAATTGTAGTCGGTATTTTTCATATTATTCACCCTCCCTTGATTTTCATATTCGGAACGGCCCTGCTTAGATCATTTACTATGGATGGAGCTATTCCCATTTAATCAATGGAATAAAGTTGTTAATGTAAACGACGGTTTTTTTAATTAGATGCGCGATATGTGCATGCGCAGTCACTTTTCGCATGTTTATCAGATGAGTAATCAGTTATTGAATTTTGATTGGTCGGCGTCCATCCGGCTGGCACAGGCGCGGCCAAACAGTTCAGATACAAGGAATCATACGCATGCGCACCTTAAACATATGATCAAGAGACTCGTCGCTAACATCTGTAGTAAAAAAAAATTGTGGCTCTACTCATAATATATTATCTAAGGATAATATACAATTAGTGATAATATATTTATCAATATTAGTTATCTATATATTATATTGCTTATTTTTTAATAAATTATTTTAAATACTAATGATTCAATTAAGTAAATTAAACAGTTTAACTAATAACCCAGTAGACATAAATAAAATACTAATTATATCAAATTGTATTGTTTACAATTTAAATTAAAGTTCTTCTATTTTAACTGTCCAATATATTCCTTTTTTTTTTTTATTAGTTATTTAATAATTACTAGTTATGTCTACTAAAGTGGAAAATCATGACAGTAAAAATGAATTATCTCCTATCGAAGAAATCAAATTCACTGAGCGAATGAGAAAAGCTACTAGAAAAGAACACAGAATTAGTGATTCATTAATTAATGCAAAAATGACTATTGGTAATTTATTCAATTAATCATTTCACTGGATATTAACTTTAAATCTATTTTTATATGTCTGTTACTTCATCTTTAATTTAATAATACAACCATATTATTGTGAATTGCCTGTTATAAATATGTTATTGTAAATTGTTGCCTATATCATTCTCTACTATTAATAGATGTAAAAAAAAAAAAAAAGTCTTCCTTAAAATTAATAAATTAAACAGTAATGAATCTATGATGTCAATATAATTTTTTCTTAACATGTTTACTTGTCAATATTTAACACAAAATTATTGGAATGTTACTGCTAAATTTTTTACCATAAAAAGTCATATTTTATTTCTTATCTAGGTTAGTTGTCTAGAGCTTACTTATATATAGTATAATTTGGTTAAATCTGTTGTATATTTAAATATTTAATAATGCAGCTTCTTTTAATATATAACAAGTATCAAAAAATAAAAATATAATGTATCATAATTAGGGCTCAGATGCATTGAAAATCATACAAATATGCTTTAAAAAATAGCCAAAAATGTCCTTAAAAAATGCATTTACCACAAAAACGAACTTAAAAAAAAGGCATATTTTTTTTATTTTGGGCATTATTAAACACACTATTTAATACATTAAAATCACATTCACACGTAATACGAGCAACGTATGCAAGGTAATACGAACCATAGCGGATTATTTGTTATTTGACCGAATACTGGTGACGTTCCATAATCAATAATAAATTAAGATAAGATAAAAACTGAATCGAAAAATAAAGATTGACAATGTGTATAGAAAAACCCGATAAACCTACTTAAATATCAAGAAAATAATTTGTCTTTTGATTATATTTTGAATAGGCTAAATTTGTATAGTACATTGAATAAAAATGTATTAAAAACCAACAAAATGACCCAATAATACCAAAAATGCTCAAAAAGTGCAAAATAAAATTTGTAGTTTTGAAACCCTCGTTATATGAAACGAATTATGTTCTTAGAGAGCATTGGGTATGATGATATGGGTATATAATATGATCAACCAAAAAAATATGCACTTTGCACTGAAATCCGGGCCCTAATCATAATCAAACATATGTTTATATGAATTATATTAAGAGTAACAATTTTAATCTACTTATTAATTAATTTTTTATCATAATTCATTAGAGTTAGAAGTATGATATTTTAAATTATAAAATATATGCGGTATTTTGTAGTTTATATTTACCTCACTTTATTTAATGCATTTGGTTCTGCAAAAATGTAAAAGAAAACTTTTCCCCTTGTGAATACTATCTATACATAATTTTAATTAAATTATTGTTATTGATACTGCTATACTTCTTGTTTAATAAAAACTTAGTTATATTACTTCAGTTATTAAAGTTGGTGATACTTGTCTAATAATAAATTATCATCCTATCTATTATTTCAATCATCCCAAAAATGTTTGAAAGTATTCTTATTAAATATATAGTTATATTAAATATAAATATTCTTATTATGTCATGAATTATCTTCAATGTAAAGTTTTCTAAGTAAAACCTGTTCTGATTTCAATAATCCAATGACTCTAAAATATTTTTATTGTTCACTAGTTTTCTCAGTAATTGATTATAATTCTATTGTTTGGTCTATTTATGTCTGGATCAGCTGGAGCTATTGAAGCGATTCAGAATCATTTCTTACATTTAAATGTGGTATCCAACATCTACGATACTTATATTATTTATTCACCATTACTATTAATAATGCTCATAATGTCCCTGTAACTAGACTAATGGGTCTTGTGAGCTGGTTTAATATAGATTTGTTCTATTTTAATAATTTTATATCTATTTTAATGTATATTTTAAATGATGTTATACGTATTTTGATTACTATTTGTGTATCACGTTATATCAATATTATACCTATTAACTTATACGATCATTATAATGTATTATATTGGGCATAGCTTGTTTCAATTTATAGTAAATAAATAAAATTATAAACCATTTATAGTGTCAGTCAATGTTTACCTTCAATTATATATATTTTTTTTAACTTAACTATTTAATAAAAAGAATTATACTTTTATAACTTTATATTTTTATATAAAAAACTTATCGATATCATTAACTATACCAAGACAATAGCATATAACATTTTAATTATAATTCTCCATCTAAAATAAATCAATCTCAATTCATAATTCTATAATGAAATCCCATATTTACTAAATGAGTTTAGATTTAATTGTGTTGCCAATTTTGATTTGAACTTGAAGCTATTATTTCTAATAATTTTTATTAAGTGTTGAAACCCGTCTTTTAATATATTTGAATACTTTTTTTTGTATTTTTTATTCACTATAAAAATACTTTTATCTGAACTTATAAAATTGTTTCAAATTTGAGACAATATTTCAATTTTTAAAATTTTAAATCGTAGATTTTATACAGTATATAAATTATGAACATTAGTTTTTCTCTTCAGTCATTTCAATGGAAATATAAATGAATAATTAATATGATTATTTTTAAATTATGTAGGTATATAAAAGATTACATTGAAATTATAGTATACTGTATGTATTTACTTAATATAATATGCGGTGCATTTTAATATTTTATTAATAAAAATATTAAAATCAAGGGGAATTTAAATGAAAACGTGCATTTTTTAATACAATTGGTATTCACTATTCAATAATAACTATATTTGAATATTTGGTATATTAAATATTGATAAAAAATATGTAATATTTAGTATTTATTTGTTCATTTACTTTATGCGTTATATAGTAAAATTTGCCATCAATCTATTACTTCCAAACTATTTCAAGATTAACATAAATTGGCGAAAAAAAAAATATTTTAAAAGTATTCGAATACATTTTTAAGTATCCAAATACGTATTCTGAATACATTTTCATCCAATTTATTCGAATATGTATTCTGAATACAAAATAAAAATATTCTTTACCAGACTGGTTGAAACTTAACTGTGAAATTATTAATCTTAATGATTTTTGAGTATAATACCATTATTTTGTCTGTATTTTTTACTATAGGAAACAAAACATTCCTGACAATATTAATTAAGTTCATTAAATTGTTCACAATTCATAAGAAATTGTATATAATTTATTTTGTAGGATGTTTATATAAAGAATGTTATGAATAATTAAAAAAAAAATATTACACAGTTTTATAATATTGAACTGAACTCTCTTAATTTAACCTTTATATTGAATATTTATATTTATTTTGCTCAATTACATTTTATTAATTATTAATTATAAATATTTTTAATTTCAGGTATGACAGATAGTAAAGTATGGGTAGAAGGTCTACGTCGTTTTTATGTAGTTTTTCAATATTTAGAAATAGCCATGAAGAAAGAAGAAAATAATAATTTACATAAATTTGCACAAATTAATGGATTGTTCCGTACACAAAATTTTGAAAGCAGTTTACGGCACTATTTAGGAGATAAATGGTCATCTGAATTAACTAAAGCTATGGCTGAATATTCTAACTATTTAATAAATCTAGAAAAAGAAAATCATGTATTGTTAACACCATTTATATATCATATGTATATGGGTATTTTATCTGGAGGTCAAATATTGATGGCTAAACAAAGGATGGCTTTCTCAGATGGAAAAGGATCTGAAGCATTTTATTTTGATGTAAATGTAAGGGAGGCAAAAAATCAATTGAGAAATGAAATGAATGAATTGGCAGAAAAGCTAGATGACGAAACAAAACTTAGATTATTAAAAGAAAGTAAAATGGTATATTTGTTGAATAATAAGTTAGTAAAAGAAGTTAAGGTTCCTACAGAAGTTTTGTTAATTAAGTTAATATTTATAGTTGGAATTTTTATTTTTGTAATTATATTATGGAAGGTGTCGAAAAAATTTCTTATGGTATTATTTTAGTGTATACATTTATTCATTACTACTATAATTTTTAAAAAATTCAATTTTAAAAATTAACTTCATTTATATTATTAATTTGTAGTTATACTCTTGTATAGTTTTTATTGTATAGTGTATATTGTTTATGGGGTAAAAAAAAAGAAAGAAAAAAGTAAAATGTGTAAAAAAATAATTGAAATACTATAAAATTAATATATAGATAATTAATATTCATGTATTCTTATCTATTTATCATATAATTAGTGTTATTATTTATTTTATAAAAATATAATAAAACTTCAAATTCTAAACTTCTAACTTTATTTTCTCTGAAACGGTATTTAATTATTTGAATTTGTCATAATTTTTGATATTTCAACTTTTATGATTGCTATTTCTCAAAATTTACAAAATAAAATTAATTAAATTGGCAAAATAAAAATTATTTCTCTGGCTTATTAATTACAATAGTAAAAAAAAAAAAAAAAAGTAAATTTAAAGTGGACTTGTGGGCTTCACAAATATTTCATAAGTTTTCAAAATCCTTATCACATGAATTGATTAGTATGTTGTAAATAGAAAATGTCAAATCCTATATTGCACATGTGATAGATAAAAACAGATAATAAGAGGATTGCAAGATAACTTGTATCCTCTTATTTGTGTCAATGATACATTGTACAAATTTGTTAATCGTTATAGCTTCTTAAGCATACTAGATGAAGATAAAACTACTAGTTCAGTAAAAATAATTACTTAACTCAAACAAAAATTATTAACTGTTCAATCATAATTTGTTATATTTTTAATAATATTTTTATTTAATTACATAATAAGTCCGACAATTCTTTAATGTTATGATAATTTTCATAAATAGTTGAAAAATCAATATTGTATTTAAATTATTGAAATACGGTAATATAACTTTAAAGTACTTTAATTGGGTGAAAAAGTAAAACAGAAAATTATTTTACAATGTGTATATCATATATAGTTTAAATATATCAATCAGTAAAAGAAAAATTAAAAATTAAATAATTTCACTGAAAGTCTAAATTTAACTGGCTAAACAAGAGAAGATAACTGGCAGTAGTAATTATAATCTAAAACAAATCATATAAAGTAATTTATAGTATATTTACATTTTTTTTTATTACAAAATCACTTACAGACAAAAGTGTTTCTAAATTAATAGAAAACATTTCATAAGCATCCAAATCAAACTTCAATTTTTCCACTTGATGATTAAATAGAAGCCTCTATTAAATTACAAAAGTACATTTAAAATGTATTCCAATTCAATATAAATTATACACTTGCTTGTTGTTTATAATTTTCTCCTGGTAGTAAATTTATATCCATTTCATTAATCATGCTTTTAATAGTATTTTCCTAAAAAATACATAACTTAAATTATTATATGGCTTAAAAATATAAATAAAAACAAACTAACATTTCGCTTGATCAGTTCACTGCAATAGCATAGTAATGCAACTCTTTGAAATGTTATTATACTCTCTATGAGTTCCTTTATTGCATAATTTGTAATACATGAATACAAATTAATAGCAAACAAAATTCTTGATTGAATGATTATGGTAAGAGCATCTAGCCCAAATATTTTGTTAACTTTAACCATAATGTCAAATATCTCCATATGTAGTAATCTAGTATCTTCTAAACAATTTGCAAAGTAATCCGGCAAAAGAAGTTTTGTACTAATTTGATTTTCCTGTGAGTTACACAAGTACAAAATAAGTTTAGGGTTAGTTCAATTATACTTAAAACTGCACAACAAAAATATAAGTTATACTTTAAAATAGTAAATATAAATTATTCAACAAGACAAAACTATAAAAACTTAAAAATAAAACATAAAATTAAAAAATAAATTCAATAGAGAAATTAGACAATTAAAAAATAAACATTATTCACTGACTTAGATAACCATATTTTTCATAATAATCGAAGAAACTTGTTCACCATTTGAAGAAAATTATGAAAATATAGCATGATTTTTTATCCATTTCATTCCATTAAAACATATTACCAATACAATTTAAATCACCAAATAAATGAATATAACCAATTTTAATAATTTGATTTTTCATCAATTACGATTAATTTCAACACTATTTTCTAGTATCATCCGATTTCTTAATTGAATTGAACATTTTTTAACAAACGAACTATGTGTAACTAACAACATATATTAAACAATAATCTTTGATTATATAATTCTACCTTGATTATATGAAAAAAGTTGGATATCCTATGAGTGATTATTTCAAGTGATGATTTCACCAGCAATAGGAGCACGTAAAATTGCATTTCAAACATGAAGCAGACAAAATCTTGAGCCTGAAGAACTAAATTGATGGCAGGCTCATGGGTCGTGACTGAATTGACAAAAAACACAACCAAACAAAACATATGCATACCACTAATGATAAATACAGATGACATTTTTAAGCATGTGTTTTTTTTGTAGGACAAAATGTCCAAACATTTTACATAACATACACTTATGTTATGCCTGTTGTAAGCACAAGACAAAAAATACAACATCAAACTGACAGTTGTCAAAACGGCTTTGATTGTTGTCAATAAGTCTTCTATAAAATTGCTCTGAAAATAAACTTATTTATATACATATACAAGTAAATGAACTATGAGACAAAAAAAAATATATATAAAAATATTAACTTACTTGTTTCAAACTCCAAATTATTAATAAACAACTAAAAGACAGTGAAAGAAGGCCTAACATAAAAAAAAACTTGAACTCTATTAAAAAATTTAAATTCAATGATCGAGTAAAAAAAACATTAAAATTCGACCACAATAATCGGAACATTATACATTTTTAAAAACTACAATTCGGCAAAAATATTTTGTCTATCAATAAAGAAAAATTGAATAATTTTCTAACAACATACTCTTTCCTTAAACAATAATTATAACAATGCATTTTACACATAATATATATCAGTCAATAATGAATACTGATTCTACCTCATAATAGAATATTAAATGAATACTAAAAGGATAATTAAAGAAGAAAATTTATTATTCATTAGTATGGTAAATACAATTCTAAAGAAATCAAAAATACTGTCTTTTTTTTATTTATTTAGATATTTAGTTTTTATTTAAATGACCAAAAATGAACAACTAAACTCTTCATATAACTAAAAAATTAATGTATTTTAAAATACCCCAAATACAAAACAAAAAATATGTCAACATTCTAAAGCATATAATTTAGAATCAAGAACAAACAGAAAGTTAAATTATAATTAATATACAGAATGAAAATACTTTAATATAGAATGTAATCAAAATATTTTTTCAAAAATCTGCAATAAGGTCTCAAATAATGTTATGATATAATATTTATGCAAAACTAAAAAAATGTACTTTATTTTCATAGATTATTGATTTATTATATATTCAATAATAAAAGAAAAAAAATGATATAAATAGAAATAATTAACAATTATTCCCAATTTCACAATTTGTAATGTAGGGTGTAATAAAACAACTACTTACATTTTTAATCCGAATTAATATCCGTTTTTAATTATTTTAAATTATATTTTATGAAAATTCAAAAATATACACATTGCATCATAAATAAATTTAGATTTTATGATATGTGATATTAAACTAAAATGTACAACTTTAATTAAATTAACTTAAAACTTAAAATATTTAAATATTGAGTAAAAAAAAATATTGTTGCAAGTAATACATTATATAGAACAGCAGTTATCATCTTGTGATGTGAACAATTTATAGATATTACATGAAGACATTTACAGATATAATTTCATTGTATTATTATTATTATTATTATTATTATTATTAACAATATTAATTGTTTATTTGACATTGATTTCATCATTAATTCACTACATTAATAATTTAATTTAATTATTTATCATAATTCACTATCATTATTAATAATAATAAAATAATAAATATATATATATATTAAATTAAATTGTCATGCATAAATGCTCATATTTTAATAATTATGTAGTTTAATAATAAAAAGCTCTATAATAAATAACTGGTAAAATAACTGTATACGTTTTATTTTTGAATAGGAAAACATTTTTTTGGTCAAGTAATTTACATGACAACTTTCAAAATGTATAACACACTGATAAATGTTGATATCCACTGATCTAGAATATTAATTTGTAAAATGTAGATGAAATCAAAATTAAGGATCTAATAAAATAAAAGAAACACTAATGATTTCTTTTTGCATTGATTGCTATGATATACATTATGATTCTAAATTTAATTTAAATATATATTTTAAATAAATCAATAATAATATTATAAGTGTACATATAAATGTATATAAATACCAATTGAGAAAAAACCCAAATATTTCTGACAAAAAGTTATTTGTTAAAATTTATAGTTAAAAATATTTCTTTTAAACATATGAAATAATAATGATTTAACCACAATGGACTAAATCCTTTTTTTTTTAACTAATTTTTTTTATACTTTTATAATTTTCATGAGTTTAAAGAATAATAAACCTATAGGGTTTCATAAAAATAATTTGTTTTTTTTTAAGTAAAATCATTATAAAAAAAATGTTTATGTAATATCAATACCACTAAATTCAGTGGCAATATATATTTATATTAAATAAATTTTAAACGAATAATTCATTAATAAACATACGTACAGTGAACTTGATATATAACTGTTTAAAATAACATGTATAAATAGGTATTAAAATATACTGAAATAAAAGTATATTTTTACAATTATTAATGTTTTCATTTGTTTTATCCAATATACTAACTTCTGTTTTTACTGTTCAAAATTTTACACTTTCAATATTTTAGATATCGTTAAATTCTATTTTAAAATTTTAGGAAATTCAATTGATTTTTTTTTTTTTGTGATTAAACTTTTGGTAAGCATAATTCACGAAGTGTTTCGTATAACTTGATTGGATAGTAAATTAGTAATTATAAATATCCAAATGGGAGAGAGGCTAATTAGAATTTCTAACACGAAAAAAAAAATAAAATAAAACATTTAGAAGGAATGATGTATTAAATTATTTACGAGTATTTAAATTATTTAAGAGTAGTTTACCTCAATTTTTTTTAAAAAATAAAAAACAATTATAATCACGAGGTAGGTCGCCAATTTATATTTATTGAGGTTTTAGTTTAAAACTTGTAGAAATGTATTAGTTTAACAAATATAGTAGCTTCCATTTTAAATTTATTAACTTAAATTATAAATTAATTTTATACACACTATATTAAATTCCAAATTGTTTTTCAAAAACAATTGTTCATCAATACTAACAAATTTATATTAGTTTAAAAAAAGAACTTGTATTTACAACCAGAGAAATAACCAGCTACCTTACTAGCTTTTTAAATTAAGATTTTATATAATTTAATATGAAGAACATAAAAAAAACTTTTAATGAGTTGTATATTTACAAAACAAATTTTTATTTTATACATAAATCTATTAGTCAATACAAAACTTACAGGTACAAATTTCAAACTTTAAGAATATATTTTAAAGGAAAAATCAAGTACTATTATTTATTTATAAATAAAAATTTAATAAATGTAAATAAATTTAGATTTCTAATACCTACTACTTGACACCAAATAACCCAAGTATATAAAATGTTTCAAAAGGTTAAAATAGTCACATTTCGAATGTTTACATAGACATTAGATAAAAGGTAAAATATAAAATAAATAAAATGCAATGACAAAGAGGATTCTATGTTTAAAATCATTAGGCTAAGGAAAACTAATTCAAATGATAAAAATAACAAACAAATTAAGATCATTAAATTCATTCAGATTAAATCTGATCTTGTCATTTATTCTCACACCGCTAAAGAATACAAACTATGAAAAAAAAAAAAAAAAAAATTGACAAAAATGTTATAAACTAATTCAATTAATCTCAAATTATGAGAGCAGAATAAGAAAATATTGAATCACAATTGAACACAATAAAATCAAAAATATAAAAATAGACCAAGAATAAAATGACAATGTCTTTTCTCAAAGAAAGTTTTTATTAAAAATAGTACTGATGTCTAAGATAAACACACAATCATAAGCCTATTGGAAAATTATTATCCTAAAATGTCAACATCTGGCTATAGGAAAATTATGTTACAATAAATATTGAATTAACATAGCCTACATACATCATGTTTCACACCATTTTTTTTAGTTTATTAATATTTAAAATAAGTTTTGAAATTATAATAATAATTACTTACACATGGAGTTAGAAATATATTACTTCAATAATATGACCATCAAATCTTGATAAATGTTTCAAAGCTGAAATTTTTATAGTTAAAGAAAATTAAAACTATATATCACAATTAAATTAAACACTAGGTACAAATATTATCCAACTGCATCTATAATTTTATTCTGTCTTTTCCATTCTATCATATGGTTGAGGATACATAGAATAGCAATGAACATGATGAGAAGATAACTGAAGCTGAAGTAAAAGTCAATCTAGGGATAGCCATCCAGACCAACTAAGCTAACCCCAGACAAGCAGTAATATGGAAACACAGTCCACTGGATGACTAACCGGGCCGGGAATAGAAACAATAAGACAAGACTGGTGGATAATAATTTTTAATTATCATTTATGTATATTAAATTCTGTAAGATGATGCAGCATAACCGGAAACAGACATAAGTGATCTTCTTATTAGATTTAGTTTTGCAAAAAAGAAGTTTTTTTAACTACTATAGTCTGTGCAGATTAAGAATGCCCAAACTTGCACACGTCTACCAAGAAGCCGATAACGGTCAGACACCTGTCGATATCTAGACGCTCTATGATTCGTTGCCATTGTTCGATCGCTGCCGTTGTTTATCAAAGTCAGTGACTGCCTTGTATACAGATTATTATTAAAAAAAAAAACCTTGTTATTCAAAATAGAACTGTAGCTTGGCGTTACGAAAAGAGTGTGGTAATACAGTTCACTATGTATAACAGTGTCGTAACGCATACTACAATGTTCCTGGTGGAAGACATGTGCAGTAAAAACCAGTTTTTGTCCAAGTGACTGAGCACTCTTATTCTGAATAAACTATAATTATTTTTTATATGAATAAATTGAATAACTATTTTGACTACAAAATTTAAAAGAGGGAATAAAAATAAAAATTTAACTAATTAATAATATTACATATAAAAAAATAATATGATGGCCTCATGCAATTTTCTCTTTGTACCTAATATATACTAAATCATTTAAATAACATATATTAAATTGTTTAAATTTCAAATAAAAAGGATACTTATTGCCCTTTCAGCATCCCATTCAGAGGCAAATCTGATAATTCCAAAACCTTTGCTACCAACTTCAGAAAATTTGATATCTCCACAATCACGGAAGTAATCCTTTAAGCTTTGCCATGTTGTATTGGGTGGCAAATTTTTAACCATTATCGTGTCAGATTTTTTTGGACCCATGCCCATGTCACCTCCGCCTAAAAAATAATAAATTAATAAGTGGCAAACTCAAGAATTTTGTTGGGATAGTAGATGGCTCAGATAAATTGTATATTTACACATTATAATATATATAAAAAATATTGAGTAATATAACATCTAGCAATAATCAAACTAAATACCCTAGTACTTTTGAAATAAAAAATTAATTTAATACAAAGCAGTATTAATTTATGATTATTTAAATATATATATATATATATATATATTTCTATACAATTTTAATTTAATTTTAATATATTATAATTCTAAAATTGTACCTATTTAAGTATTAAATGATTAAATATAAATCTTTTCTAATTCTTCAATATAACAGTGGTAATTCATGACTACTAGCATTTAAACTAATTTTAAACATTTGACCGATATACAAAAATAAAAAAATAAGATAATTACCCAATCCAGATCTAAAATCTGCACCAAAAGAACCACCACCACTATTTGAGTTTCGGACTCCAATTGATGCTGATAAGGAATTAAAATCTCGACCACCTAGTGAGCCTAAAAATGGTTTATCTAAATAACATAGATTTGTATGATTATAAATTAATAAAACATGATTAATATATCTAAATAAAATATTAATGACATTAAAATTTAATAGATGCATAGCATTTAATTTTATATTTAGTTAAATTTTACATTAATATTTGTAAAATAATTATACTTTAAGTCATATTGTTTAGACATCATAAACAATAAATAATTTATATTAAAAAAAAATTACTTTGATGCATTGAAGAACTATTCATTGGTCCAGCTCCTCCAGTGTTCAAACCAGATCCAAAAGGAGCTCCTAGACCTCCTGTTCCAATGCCTAAATCACTAGCACTCAAATTTCCAAGTCCATTAACTCCACCAACTTGATAAAAAAAATATATATAAAAATCAATAACTTTCATATATTATGAATAACTTACGAGATCGTCGATTCTGTGTTTCAATAGCTAACCGATCAGCACTCAAGCCACTTAAAACAGCTAATGCAGATGTGTTAACTGGTGTACTAAGAGGCTGAGATTGAATGGGTGAAGTATTATTTGAAGGAAGATTTCCTAATGAAAATAAATGAGTTTATTCTTTACAAGTTCAAAATAAAGTTAGATTTTTGAACTTAAAAATATATCATTACATTCTATACTCAACATACTTTCAACATCATGCAACGGTGTTCCACCAGCACCTAAGCCCATTCCAATTGATTTTAAACCTTCTGGAAGTCTAGCCAAAGGATCTTTATCGGTTCGATCAAGACGTATAGACATAGGACGGTCATATAAAAATTGATTGTTAAACATGGCTTTAGATTAATGTTAAGAAAAATGTATACAATTATATAACAAAAAAAAAAAAAAAAAGAAAGTTTTGTAGAAATTTATCAAAGGATACAAATGGCTTGAACAGCTTCTACAGGATGGTTATATTCAACTACACCATAACCTTTACTTTTTCCTTCTTTGTCTGAAAATATTTCAACTTCTAATACCCGACCGGCTAGTTTAAATACTTCTTTTAGTTTTTTTTCATCAACTTTGTAGTCAAGCTAAAAAATATTTCACATAGTAAACATTAATTCATAATTTTTTTAGATTTAGCTTTAAGGTTTACATTAGCAACAAAAATTCGATTGATAAGTGGACCACGAATATTAAGTGATTCTAGAAATTGAGGAGAAAGTCCATATGTATTGTCCCATTGAAAATCATCTGCTACTGGCATTCTGCTATTGTTTCTTAAGTCCACACCACTTACACCACCACCACCACCACCAACACCACCACTACCGCCAATACTGCCTGTAACAGTGTGGGGGCCACCTCCACTACCAACATTACCACGTGGGATGTTTGACATGGGACGTCCACTCTTATCTCTATCAATGTCATCCTGCAATAGATTAAAAAAATTATTTATAAAGTAATAATATCAAACTGATCCAACACAAATATATATACCTCCTTAACTACTAATTTTCTTCCATTTATATCAAAACGATGCATTTTGTCAATTGCTTTTTGAGCAGACTCAGCTCTGTCAAATTCAACAGTACCACAACCTCGGGATTTATCTTTTTCATCTGTATAAACAACAACAAAAGACACATCGCCAACTAAAACCAAAAAATATACATGTAAACAAACATAAATTAGGAAATAAACAATTGAAAAATCATTAAATATTTATTCTACAGTATCATAGTAAATATTAACTAACTATACTATTTAATTGAAAAATATTAATACCTTCTTTTTTGAATAATTCCTTTAACTCCTTCCATTTAAATTCATATGGTATATTAGACACAAATACTTTTTTACATCCACTTTTTCTAGACCTCAGTGGACTTCGGCTTCTATCTCGATTCCTATCACCCAATCTCATAGTAACTGCAATAATTTCTACATTTATAATACTTGCAAATTTTATATTATTATTAAATAAATCAACATATTAATAATAAGATAAATTAATAGCTAATAATTATCCAACTAAAATAAATATAATATGTTTTACAACTTATCGTAAACTACTATAATATACATTTGATTCCCAAAATACCTGAATTATTATCAGTTATATTCTTAAACGTTAACTGTAAAACACTTCACGAAAAAAAAAATCAGCGAGTTAAGTACAGAATAATGAAAAGTAAAAAATGACCACAAAACGCATAATATCTAGACGGCGACGTCTTAAATATGAACATAAAACACAAAAAGTTAAAAGTAAAAAATGCAGTGTTGACTGATTGGATGGAAAATATTAAAGAAATAGTAATACCAACCGTCGCATTAAGTTTCAAATTTGGTATTAAACTTACTCTTCCATGGTATTTAAAAGCGGAATAATCAATTTAATTTGAAAATGTCTTATTAGTTGCTTTAGTCTATAATGTAGTTACATTATTTGATAATTTTAAACAATGAATTAATATTGATAACTGATAATAGTATTTCATACATTCCACTGTCAAACTACAATATTATTATTATTATAATATTTTATAATATTGCAAACATCAAGAATAATATTTTAAGGACATATTAATTTTCACTTGTTTTCTATGAATTATGAAATTATACCAATTTAAAAATAAAATTCCACTTGATACTATTATTTTTTAATAAAAATAACAAAATAGATTAATAAAACCAGTGCCGGCGCTAGGTATTGTGGGACCCAGGACAGTGACGTAATTGTGGGGGGGGGGCAAGTGCCCCCCTGACAATTTTTTGAATGATAAAGGTATAATTTTTTCCCCCAGAAAATCCAACAGTTCGCGTATAGCTAACCTATAAATTACCTTATAACTTAAATAACTTTTCTGAATAACTTCATAGTAGTTCAATCTATCGTTAAATATAGATGTACCTATATGAGAATAGGTAATACTTAATTATTAAATATTTTAATTGTTTTAATTAAATTAATAATAATATATAAATATTATATATATAAAATTAAATATTCTATATGTTATAAATAATGACTATGCTGCAAGGGCTGTAGGCAGTTAACTAATCTTAAATACTGATTATAAATAATAATAGTTTAATTTTGTGTCCTCGTGAAAATGTTCGAAGAAGCGTCCATACCTGTCGTAACATGTTCGTGTAACATCCTTTGATGTTACGTCGAAATACCGACAACTGACATATCGCCGATTTGTTCGATAGAATGTTGTAAGTTCGACCATTTGTTACACACAAATCTTGTTTACGAACACATGTTCGTCGTTTATTTACCTAGTGTGTATGCGGCTTAACAGATGAAAACCTACAACATCAATTACGATGTGCAAACACAAACATTTCTGTTTGATATACAAAACCTTACAGTGACGTATACATAACTTTGGTATGGAGAGGGGATCAGTTGCAAAAAATTATTATGGAAGGAAAATTCCTAAATCTTAGTACCTGCACATTTAAATAATAAATAATAAAAGATATATATATATTGAATGTATCAAAATAATAATTTATAATAAATCTTTACAATATTTTATTGTTTCTTTATAGTTTCCTTACATTTAGTACACTATCTTATACAATTTTAAAAATAACTATGGGGGATCAGACCCCACATCCCCCCTTTCAATGCGTATTTGTATATTCAAGGCGAAATTAAAAACATCATTGTTAAAGATTGTTATTTTTAACATGGATATGTTTTAATGCTAGGGGTTTCCAAAAATTTGTCGCGACACCGAGAATGTTGCTTATGCAGTAATTTAAAATTTTATATTTATAAAATTTGTTTATTCCTTTAAGAAAATATATGGTGAATTTTGAGTGACTAATAAAAAAAATTGTTTATTGCAATATAGTTTTTATACTTATGAAAAATAATTAATCATTAAAAAAATTGAGTTTCTTAATTCTCTGATGGTGTAAAGACAGTCGAGAAGTCTTATAGTGTTAAAGTAATTTTTATCGTAATAATGTGCTTCCTCCTTCCCTTCCTCCCAAAAATTAGGTACATAATCGGCCCTTGCGAAATGAAAACCTATATACGCCATTGCTCCCTTGTATACACCCTTGGAAGCTTAGTGAACGGGTTGAGAAACAAATATTTTACTAAATGGTGAAATAAATAAATTAAAACTATAAAATAGATTATCTATGTTAATAAATTATGAGTCATAGTAAAAGCAATAATAATTTTATTTATTTCAAATAATTAATGCACCAAAACTTAAATTATAATAATAATTAATTTTGTTTAAAATGTTTACTCCAAATTTTTTTTGTATTTTGACAAAATACTAATATAATTTTATATGTGGTCCGTGGGATTGTAATGTATTTTCGAAGTGGTCCGCAAAATCATTTAGGTTGGCCGCCCCTGATATAGAGATAGGTTTTCTGAAGGGAAAGGGCATCCAGGTGAAAGTAGGCTGATATTATTAAAGTAGGTTAGGTTAGTTGCATGTTATGGTTTGATCTAGGAGAAAAAGGTGAGTGGGAAGTTTTGGAAGAAATTAATAGAGCGACACCAGTATGTGCAGAGTTGTCGAGGTGATTTGCTTGGAGACAGTCGTAACCATATATTTTAAATTTTAAGTTGGTGGTGAGATGCATTTCAGAAAAGAGAGCTATGTTTACATTTTTTTCTTTTAGGGCAATTTGAAGAATATTTGTATTATTGGAGATTCTGTTAGCATCCCATAGAAGAATGGTTAAAAAGGACAATTTATTTACGACCATTAGTATTTATGAGCTTATCGGTGACTGGTGTGATTAGTTGATATTAATGAATTGATTAATAATTTGAATTAATTTATAAAAGAGGTAAGTTGATTTATTGCTTGGGGCAATTTGAATGAAGAGGGTTTTGTTCTGCGGGTTATTCGTGTGCTCGGCATTGATTTGTGAGAGGGAGAAAATTCCGCCTGGTTTGGTTTTTGGTGGTTTGGCTGTCTGCGAGTGATAATTTGTGAATCATTGTCAGGGAAGGCTGTAGGAGAGAAAAGATTCGCGGAGATTTAAATATTTGTTTTTTTTTCTAAGTGAAGAAGTGGCGTTATGGAGATATTATGCGTTTGGTTGTCTCAGGTGGGACTTTTTGCCAGTCGTTTTCATTTTCTGAGAAATCTCTGAGGGGGAGTTTGCTCCCCATTGATTTAATAATAATTTTGGTATTATTAACGGTGGTAACGTTTTATTTGCTGTATATTTATTTTTATAATTTGAACTCGTGGATTTATGATTATTAGAATTCAAAATGATGTAAGATTAGGTGACAATGTAGATAAAGAAATTAATAATAATAATGGGCTTTGGAGAATAAAGTAATTTATACATTACCAGTTATTAGAAATCCCACGACGTGCACTGGACACCGCACCGTGTACTAATGACTTGCTATCGAGAGCTGATAAAAGCGAAGTGATTTAAGATTAATATACGTGTCTCTACACCAGCGGTTCCCAACCTTTTCAAGACTATTACCGACTGGAACCCAATAGATCACGATCGATCTTTTTTGTAACCCAATTGAGCACGGTTGCAATCAAACAATAGGAACCAAAAAAGAACCCAAAAACCACATGATTGAGCACGAAAATGGGTACGACGTTGCTCCCTTGTACCGTAGAATATTATTCGGTGCACCACATAACTGTGCATTCAAGATTTTTTTATAATTATTATGTAATTCAATTTTAGATTTGTAATAATTATTTCATAATATAAAATTTTTATGACTCAAGTTTCCTAAAAGAAATAGGTAACTCTCCAATAGAAAAACGACAAGACACCTTTTTTTTCACATTTTTTATATTGTTGGTGTATAGAGCTCGGTGCGTCCATATTATTATTACAAAATAAAATAAATTTGAGTATAATTATTTATAATTAAAAATCTTTTATTGGATTTTAATCACATGTTATAATTACATTTTTTTTTTTTGCTAAAAATAGCACTCGTACACTTGTCATGAAAAAGGTAAAAATTTGAATTTTTTCCCCTAAATACTTATTTCCAATTTTCAATAAGTATTTTAGTAGATTGTCAGCATTTTTAAATTCAAAGTACTCACGATAGCCTTTTTTTTTTTTTTTTTATTTAGCTGCTGATTTAGAACCATTTTAGCTCGACAATTACTAAACTAAGGATTTACAACTTATAAATACTTATAAATAATACTTATAAATACAACTTATAAATATATAATAAATATATATATCATTTAAACACGATAGCCTTTATAGCGGTATTTTTAATGCACGGTAAAGTCAAGGTGCACGCGACAGTTTTCGAAATATCGCGTCATAATTTTACCACGCGATACTCGTGTGTTGTGCTCTATATTTATTTTAATGTAATTTAACAAAACGCGCAGTAAAATTACGGCGCGGTAAAATAACGCTAGTGTGTTACCAGCCTAATAGTTTTCAATTTGATAACGTTGTACACAATATTTTTTTTTTTACCGTGCTCATGGGGTCGTCAAAAAGGTCGGCCGATAACGACCGTGCTCGAACGGGTATCACCGCTATTACCCGCAAACCAGGTAAGATAATTGCACAGACTATATGAATTATATCATTTTATATACATTATATATTATATTCATATAATCTGTGATAATATTAAATACCCCTACCCGCTAAAAAAGCACGTGTGCCTGACCTAACATAAAACCCGCTTTATCGGATTATCGGTTATCGCAACCGAATTAGATTGATTTATAGAACCGCAATGTTATATATATATATATTATCTAAAGAAATATTTTATTTTTTATTTGTACCAATGTGAAAATGGTTCGTTTCGCAGAAGATAATCGAGAGTATACTGTACAAATCACCAGTGTGTTGGTGACTTGCAGCCAGATCCCTAAATTAAGTACGAGTTGCGGCAACATTTTATTTATCACTTCATATCAGCCTATCAGCTGTTACCCAGAAAACGCCACTAGAAAGTTGGCTGAGTCATCTCCCAAAATTTTTTATTTTTTTATTTTTTATTATTATTTATGTAAAAATGGCAAAATATATGGTAATTTGTGGTAAAATTAATTTTTTTAGATTATTGGTTGGGCAAAAACTTAAAACTTAATCATTTAACGAAAACAAACTGCTCTATTTCTTTTTGTGCTATCTTTGTCATCTGTTGTCTTATAAATTCTTCTTTTTTACATACTTTCTTTGTTTTTATTCCATTGCTTCTACATTTGATATATGTTTCTGATTGAATTTCTACTAACACATCTATAAAATTATAGATGTTAGGATGATTAGAAAAGAACGATGAATTTAGGTGTGAATGAAAACTTTCACAGCCGTTAGTGGTTCGGTTATAGCTAGTAGAGAACTATGCCCAAATATTTGGGTGAAACATGGCGTCCGAGGATTTAAAGTTTTTGAAAACATAGTTGGTAAATTATACAATCCCATCATCTTTAGCGGGCAGTATTCATTTGAACTTTCGTTTTATTTAATTTATAAACAACAATTACATCATACTTGGCTGTAAATAGTGTAAGGTAATATCCATTAATAGTTATGTCTCAGCTAGTGATACAGTCCTTAATAAGTATACGGGTACACATCTGAATTACTGTAAAAAAATATATGTACAATATTGTGAACGTTACCAAATGGTTTAATAATAGATCGTGTATATGGTAAACGGTATCTGTACAAGTCACGATTAAAGTTAGTAATATCTATAGCCGTGGTATAAGTAAACCACGGACTTTTAAATATATTTTTTTTTGACAGTGTATTAAACAAATTACGTTTATTTTTTTTTACTCATTCGATATCAAATGTAATAAATATTAACATGATTAGGTTAGTTAGCTTAGTCAGATTAGTTAGCTAACCTAACTTGCAGGGCTGGACTGGGTCAAAAACTTCTACCGGAAAAATAAAACGACCCACTTAAATTTACCAAAGGTTTAAAAACAACTTTAAAAAAACATATTTTCATATAAAATGATTGTATATTATTTGAACACTTAATATTATTATTAAAAATTAAAACCATTTATTTAATTTTTGACAGTTTCTAAAGCAACCGCATTAGAAAATGCTTCTATATCTGTAAACATAATGATCCTACACCGAAAAACCTAAAAAAAAAAATTTCCAACGAGTATAAGTGCCCCCATTTAAACAAGCGGCCCACCAGGAAACTCCCGATAACCCGCCTGCTCAGTCCGATCTTAAATATTACCCAATATAAGTATTATTTAATGGGTAATATTAATACGTCTTATTCATCTCCAAAAAACCGCCACTGCATAGACAATGTCTATGTCTATTAGACATGTGTACGAGGAGTGACAGGTGTGTCTGGGCACGCCCCGAAATATTGTAAATTGAGTTCTAAAATGTAGTAGTAATTATTAAAGTTTTATTAATGTTTATTAAAGTATTAAAGTCTAAGAGTAAGGAGCCCGTATTGAACTGATGTTGCTCAAATTAAATGTAATTATGTAATTCTAAAATATTTGGTAAAAACAAATGCCCTTTTATAATAGAAAAAATAAAACTAAATTTTTTAAATTTTCGTGAAAAATCTTATTGTTAGGGTTCAGAATTTAATGCTCTTAAAAAATATTAAATATGCATGCACTTATGCATTTAAAAAAGTACAAATATGCTTTAAAACAATGCACTTAATAAATACATTTTACTAAATATACTCGTACCTAACAACAGTACAAATGTTATTAGTATAGGCGTGTCCAGACCTCCGTGAGTCACTGGCTGGGGAGGCCAGTTATAAAATTTTTATTTACTACAGAGATCTATACCTAATCTATATCTATATTTGTGACTTATTTTTAATGTATGGAAATTATATAGCACCTGGAATTTTTTCATCTCACCAAATTAAAGATTTTCTTGATCTTAAAATTGGTTCCTTATGCTATTACAACTATGAACTAATAAATAAGGCTTATTAACTAATGTGCTACATACTTATTTTTTATAAATATTTTATCAAATATATATCAATCTTTTCTACACATATGATTACAGTTATTATACAATAAACAGTTTTTTATCAGTTTGGTTAAAGAAGTAATTTATTAAAATATTACAAATAACAAAATGTAATAAGCTTAAGATTTAAATTTACCTTCCTAAAATTACTAAAGAATTACCTAAAGTTACTGTTTCAGCCACGGATATAGATACTATATATATATATATATATATATATATATATATATTTTATTATTGCTAACATTTTTAAATATTACTATTAATTCATCAGTAATTATAAAATATGCGTTTAAAATTGCTAAACCACTAAATATACAAAAATGTGCACTATAAACTTTTAATATGTTTTTCGTAGTGTGATGAAAATAATTTCAAGCTTACTTGGCAATAAATTGAATAGCCCAATAAAAACATGTAAATGTAACATCTTCCGAGCCTTACTTCTTATGATAATATAATGGCTAAAATTTACTATAAAAGTACAAATCATAAATAATTGAAGCTATCTGAGAAAAATATATGAAATTCGAGGAAAAAATATTAATTTGGACTTACCACAATATTAAATAAAAAGTTATATTTATTTAAGAATTTATACATTATAATGTATTAAATATACCTACACGTTATGTTAAGATAGGGCTCAAAAGTAATGTAGGCACTCTTAGATACAGGTCTGCGCACGCCTATAAGTTCTATGCATACATAGATTAGGAAAATATTATAAAATTAAATAGTCCAGATAATTAGGTAGTTGATGTATTACCAGAGATTTTAAACATTACCGAGTAAAACACAAAATGTAGCAAATATCAACGTTATTATAATGTAAGAAATGTATTAAATAACTACCATGGTTAGTAATTAGTATTTACTGCTATAATGCCCAGTAACCAGTGCTGTGCCTAATAGGATTTCAAATACAATTTAGGGTCTAGGATCAAATATATCAGTAAGAAATTTAATTTTTAATTTAACTATAAATAGTAATTAATACATATTATGTAATATAATATATTATTATATATTTTTGTGTAAACATGTACTATACATATTAGAATTATTATTTGCCATTTATGTCTGATGACTGATAGTTTAAACTTCGGTAGACGTAAACCGTTGGTTGATTATATCACACGGTCGAATAAAATATGGAAATTCCCAAATTGTTTATAATACAATTTTCGTTCGTGATAAAGTTATATTTATTTGTTTCGTTAGTATTATTAACTATATTAAAACAAAACTTGACGACGGCAGTGGCCAGTAAGTGGTCTTAACAGCCAATATTAATCATATATTTTTAAACACGTTTCATACTAATAAATTATGTTATGTTAAATTAAATTTTATAACTCTCATAGTAGTATTTAAAGAATTAAAAAATATTATTTTTTCATTGCATTATTGTATTGTTGACTACTGAAATGTCTCATTTTAACTGTGCAAAAGTAAGTGTATAAATCTTAAAACTACATACAACTGATTTATATCTCATCTAAACCATAATTTAGTTTTACTAATATATAGTAAGTATTGTAGTACGAATATTATAATTAAGTATTAACTGTAAACAGAAGTAATTGTACTTAAATTAAGTATAATAATTTTCTAATCATCTTAATTATGTTATTATTTCTTATTTGCACTTGTGTTTTTATTTATTCGATTAAAAGTTTTCAACCTCCAAATTAGTGGATTAGTCATTAGATCAAATTTCATATAGATTTATAAGGCAACAATATAATATCACTTAATTACCATAGCCCAGTGGTTCCCAACCCATGGGCCGTGGGCCCCGAGCAGCATGATACTGGGCCGTGAACCATATAATATTCATATTACTAATCTATATATTTAAAATATTAAATATCAGAAAGTAAATAAGATTTGCCAATTGGATTTTCATGTGATCAGAATCTGCAATAATTTTTTTTTTAAAATCACACCATTAGTGCCATTTTGGATAAATTTTCGGTAAGACTATCCAGCAATCTGTAAAATTGCTTTTAGAAATTCGATAGGCTATTCTGTGTGAACGAGCTTTTTCTACTTAAATTTTTTTTTTTTAAATAAATATTGGAATAAACTAAATGTTGAGAGTGATTTAAGGCTAAAACCATTCAGTTTTTATCCAGATAAACAATGGACAACCAATTTCAAAAATCACATTAAATTGTTTAACTCATGAACAATCAGGTTCACTAAAGTTTTTTTCTTGATTAACAATTAATTTTTAATTATTTTTTTTAATAACTGGCATATATATAAATTATAATATCTGTGTATATATATATTTAAACTTAGTGGGCTTCATAGATTTTTTTACAAAATTGGTGGTTAGCACTACGAAAAAGGTAGGGAATTGCTACCATAGACATTTAACTAATTTTTTTTAATTTATACGTTTTTAATATAGGTATTTTAATAAATTGTAGTAATTGATTATTAATATTTTTAATTAAAAAACAGTTTTAATTGTGAAGTATTTGGCTTTAGTTGTTATTAGTTTAAATAATAAAAAAATGTTAAATTTTCGAAGAAAAGAAGGAAATTGATTATATTATGAGAATGCAAAAGAAATTATATGGGTGTGATTTTAATTATTAATTAAAGTGTTTGGCAATTGTTTAGAAGAGCTGTATGTGATTCTAATTATAGGAAACATTTTATAGGGAATTAAGGAGAGTTATAATAATAAAAAATCAGAATAGATCATAAATTGATTTTTGCCAATTGTAAACAAATAAAGAATTTTTTTTCTTGAGAAAAGAACTCTTGTTTTTTATATAAAGCTAATATTTAATTAATTTACAGTGCTAATTCTAAATATTCTAAAAATCCAACATAACACTTAAAATATTAAGTATACAGACATTTCCAAATTATTAATAGCTTTTACTAATATATAATTCCAAATTACTTTTTTGTTATTAATTTTGATTCTTCTTTATTGAATTTTTTTTGATTATAATTATTGTTTTGCTTAGTTTTCTACAATATCTTAGGTTATATATTTGATGATGTATCGACATATTGTACTTTTAGATATTAAATGGTTTAAAATGAAATAGACTATGAATATGTATCAAGTCTCAAATAAAAACTAATAATTTTATCAAATATTATAAACAACATAAATTTATTTCTATTGATTAAATTACGTTCCTATTTTCAATCTTAAATATTTATATACACATGTAATATTGGATGTATTTGCACCGTCTGTTAATGTAAATATGTATTTTTAACATATTAAAGCAGCAACATTGAAATACTAATTATAAAGCTTTTATTATGTTTTCAATAAAAATATTCTTATGTAGATATTATTAAAACCATGTGTAATATTAAACATTTTTTGAATTAAAAAAGTATTTTGTACATTTTACGTTCCTAGAAATATGGGTTTCTGTTGAGTCTGAGTATTATTTTACTTTTTATACATTTATTATACTATTATTTATTTAATTAAAATACATTTAATTTTTACACTTAAAGTCATGTCACTAGGTGAAAATTCTTTGTTATTCTGTTTTATTAGGATATTTGTAGGTATCTAAATGTATTAATTTTTCCCGTATGATATATAATTATTATTTGTATTTTATTAAATTAAAGTGTAATACTATTTATAAATTTTGTTATAACAGTTTAACTTAAACAACTATTATTGATGTTATGTACACTACCTACTATAAATTAAAATTTTAGTAAAAAAAAAAAAATTATTTTTGTAATTTAGTAGGTGATTTATTGATGTATATAATTTCGATATCAAATCAATACCTGTTAGTTGTCTTTTACACTAATATATAAAATAAAAATTTTAAACTCGTGTTAAAATTTGCCAAGAAATTTTAAATGAACTACAAGTATTTTGTTAAATGTTTGTATTTAATTAAAAAGAAAAAGAAAAACACTTTTTGTGACATGAATTTTATTTTTCACTCTTTAAATTTTTTATTAAAAATGATTGTTTGATAGTTTAAAAATAACATATTATATAATACTATGGTAGAAGTTACATTTAAATTTGTATATCAAGTTGATATATAATAATATTATTATAATATAATATTGGTTCTTATTATTCTAGTTATAAAATTATTTTGTCAAAAATAAAGTCAAAGATAATATTAGTGTTGCTCATTGTTGTATAGTTTTAGACCTGAACAAAATTATAATATATATACGATATAAACATGTTATTTATTTTTTTATTATTTTTTTTTAGGTAAATATGCTAAATATGACTGTATTCAAATCTGAATGTTTTGAAATGGCATTATCAAACAGCAAGACTAAACACAAACATTTGAAACTTACTCAAAAACGTTTTAATGAAAAAAAATCACCAGTATTAGATTCTATGTTTCAAATTAGTTACAATAAAGATATTTGCACTACAAGTACTGTAAATAATTTTATGTCTTTATATAATAAAGTGAGTAAATTACAAAAAGATTATACGCCTTTGCACTTAGCTATCGAAATGGGTAATTTTCATTTAATACAATTTTTATTAAAACTTCCTACTATAAATGTCAATGCTTTTACAAGTACTGGTTTCACAGGATTGCATATGGCCATTAAAGCAGACAATTTAAGCATTGTTAAATATTTATGTGAGTATTCTCACATTGATTTAGAAGCAACATCAAATTGTGTTGGTACACCATTGATTTATGCCACATTAATTTCAACTCCAATAGTTTTGAAAACATTGATTGATCATGGTGCTAATGTAAATAAGACTTTTACTGTAGATTGTTTGAATCCATTGATGTTGGCTATTCATCATAATAAAAAAGAACAGAGTTGGATATTGGCTGATAATGGTACTTGTCCTTTACATACAGATGTAAAAAAATGGAATGCCTTACATTATGCTGCTTTATTTAAAGGTTCTGATGAATTACTTAAAAAATTAGTTGAAATAGGTTGTGACAAAAATGGTATTACTTGTGAGGGTATGACACCTTTGCATCATGCAGTTATTTCCGGAAGTACTGATGCTGTTAAATTATTAGTTTCAGTAAACGCAGATATTCATAAAACTGATGAAAATGGTCTTACAGCTTTACATTATGCTGCTTATCAAGGTCATTGGGAAATTGTGAAAATATTATTAGTTGCTGGTTCTAGACCAAACAAAAAAACAAATAGCAAAGTGACACCTTTGCATTTTGCAGCCAAACATGATCGTTATTTAGTGGTAGTGGAACTATTAAAATGCTATGTTGATGTGAATGCTATTACTATACAATGTAATACTCCATTGCATTATGCAGCTTGTAATGGAAATGAAGAAATGGTTGATATTCTATTGAAAAACGGAGCTGATTTAAATATTCCAAACAAAGACAACGATTTACCTATTCATCTTGCTTGTTTACGTGGAGCTATTGATGTTGTTAAATTATTATGTTCAAAAAGTTCAAATGGATCAAATATGGATTGTCGAAATAAGAATAATATGTTGCCACTACACAATGCTATTTTAAGTGCTAATGAAGAGTTAGTAAAGTTTTTATTGAACAAGTATAAATTGAATGTTGATACTGATTTGTATCAAGTGGCATTACGTTCTGGAAACATTCATATAATTAAAATTTTAATTGATAAAACTAATGATTTAGTATTTAAAAATGAGTTATTTTGGTATAAAATCATTAGTTTTTCTGAATCTCTAGAAGTATTTAAGTTAGTTGCTGATCATGTTCAACCACCAACATCAGCCTTATCAGGCTTAGTGGAATATGCAATACATTTAGGGTATTGTGACATTGCTCAATATTTACTAAAATATATTAAAACGTGGAAGGATCTTATTGATGGAGAAGGAAATACAGCATTACACCATGCAATATGTAAAAATGATTTAGAATTAGTTCGTTCGCTTATAGAAAAAGGAGCAAATTTGAAACACATTTGTGATTCAGGTATTACATTATTACAATTTGCGTCAAGGAATGGTAATGCAGAAATTGTGGAGTTGTTGAAGAATTATACTAATTATTATAATTTGAACAAAAAGACTAATATATAAAATTATCCATTCTATAACAAATTTTAACATATTAATTATTTTGACTAAAAACAGTAATATTTTATTTTAAAATTATTAAACTTAAGTTATTTTATATCTACACTATTATTAGACTAGAAGCAAACAACTATTTATCAATAAAACATTTATTTTAATGTGATCTTCTTTAGATTACATAAGAAAATCATATTTATTTGTAGCTAAGCTAGTATGTATGTGGTACAATTGTTGTATTTATTATTTTAAACATTTTGTTTGCTGATTGTCTTATTATAGGGTATTAATTTTTATTAACATTTTTTTAAACATTCTAATAATTGCATCTGTATGAACTATTTTTTAATTAAAAATGTATTCATCATAGTTCTTATTTTATTACTTAACATCTGTATTATTAAAAAAAAATATTTTGTGTTTTTTCTTAACCTTTTTAAGACTTAATGTACTGATTTATTTAATTATTTGTTTTTATTATTTCTAAGGTATTTATGTACGATATTCAAATAAATTATAAAATTTAGGTGTAAAAATTTTTTTCTTCAAACTTGCAGTATTAAATAATATAAATTGTATTCTTTTACTCCTCTTTATAAGAATTAAATACTTATAGTTGGAAATAAAAAAAGTAATATAACTTTATATATTATTTTGTTTTTTCTTAATTTCTATTATTATGATATTTTTTTATAATATATTATTTGCAATATTTATATTTCTTTTATACAAAATAAGTTATTATTGATTAATAATTAATTTATAGTTTATTTGATTATTACTCAATTTAGAAATTTTTATTAATGATAATCATCAATAAACAGTCAAATTTAAAGTATATGCAATTGTAAAAATTATATATTTTTATGAATTACATATGTTCAAAATGTTTCAAAATTAATGAATAAAATACTTTTTCATTAAATGTTTTGTAATATGAAATAGTTTAATAAAATATTATTAAGATTAAACTAGATATAATATATTTACAGTTAAATCAATGTAATATTATTTTATTTAATATATTTTATAATATATATTAAACAGTAGAAAAAAAAAATGCAAAGCACAATGTACAGTATATGCCAAATGTTAAAAATAATTCCTATTGTAGGTAATACTATAAGTATATTTATATTACTTATTATAATACTATAATTAGGAATAATAATAAAATAAATATAAAGGGTATTTCAATAGAAATGCTGGAATTATATCGAGAATGTCATTAAAACCTTATTTGCCAAATTGTTGTGAATTCTTCAGTATTTGAACATTCTGCATAATCGATTTGAAGGCATGATAATATCACGCAACGGCGACATAAGCTGACCTCTGATATTGTGTGTTTTAACGCTTTTAGACATTTTTCTTTGGGGCTATCTTAAATTGCAAATCTATGCAAATAAACCGCAAGCAATTGATGCCCTCAAAGTCAACATAACAATCGCCATCCAGCAAATTCAGCCGGATTTATGCCATAAAGTCATAAAAATTGGACCCCCGAATACGTGATACCAAGCAAAGCCGTGGAGGAAATTTAAACGATGTTATATTCCATAAATAATGTTCTTTAAAATATAAAAAAATTGAGTGGATATCTCACAAACAACTTGTTTTATACACATTTAAAAATCTAACTTCCTATTTGAAATACCATTTATAATGAAAATTAAATAATCGGTATTTCTTAATTATTAATAACAATTTTATATTATTTCTTTTATTCAAATATTGTGTTCATTGATGATATAATATACCAAAAAAATAATTATAATGAATATATGAAAAAATAAAAGTTCAGTCTATTTTTTTTTTCATATTTATTCTCGTTTTTATACCTGATGATCAGGGGCATATTTAGACTTATTTCTAGGGGGGGGGAGGTCGATTCAAATTTTTTTTTAATTCAGGCTTAAAATGTACAAGTAAAATTGTTGGTAATATTTAAATCAGACGAATATTTAATATTTGTGTTTTTTTATTTTTTAATCTAATGCCGGAGCCACTTAGAATCGACTTTAGTGTAGTTCTTTTTTAACACCTGTCTATGTTTAGAAAATTACGCTTGTGTTTTATTTGATTTTTCACTAAGTATGGACCCGAAAAAAAGCCCAATTCAGTATTCACTGTCATGCGTAATTTGATTTCGTTATAAAATGATCCACATTGAAAAAATTTGGAATTTGTATCTCACATATAATCAATTCCGTAAATACGGATTCAGGTGAGGGCGATCGCCCCTTTGTCACCTCCTAAAATACGCTCATGCTGATGATAAACTTTTAATTCAAAACCAGTGGTACTTTACAAACATGTTAATAATATAAAATCGTATATTAATACTCCAGGCTTATTTTTTATTTATTTATATTTATAAATTATTATTCATACGTTAATGGAACCATGAGATTGTATGCATAGGCGCAATTTGGGGGGGGGGCTTGGATGTGCTTAGCATCACAAAAATGTTTTCATGTTAATTTACATACTAATTACTCATTATGTATAAAAAAAAACAATTTTTATTGTATAAATATATAAATTTATTATTTAACACGTTGATGGACAGTTGATTTAATTATTTTTCAAAAACACCACCCTTGAAACGTCACTTTTCATTACTGCTATAGCAGTAATATTTTTAGTACTGCTATAGCAGTACTGACCCCCGACATCACATTTTTGATTACAAAATTACTGCTATACCAGTATTACATTTTATTGGTTAATTATTTTATAATTATTATGTTGAAAGCTACGATTTATTTTAAGGAATGCATAAAAAGATGTTATTTTTATTTAATGAAATGAAACAAAATGCAATATAAAAACTTTATTATATTATTGAAAAATTATACTTATACTATACTTAGATCATTATTTTAAACTTATTTTTTACTAATTAATTAATTTTAACTTTATATTCATCCTTCTGGTTGAGCAGCATGGTAATCTTTAAAACATAGTGGACACAGAGGTACTTTACATTTTTGACATAGAATGGAAGTTTGTTTTCTGGTTTTGTGTTTATAACACTGTACACAATTTTTAAATTATTTTTGTCTTTTATAATTTGGTGGTAACGGTATGGGTTCTTCTAAATGACAATCATACTTCAATGGCGATCGTGTACGTCAGACAGAATCTGAAAACTTTAAAATCAAAATGCAAATAAATAAAAAAATTTAATTAATTTTAATTCGATATCAATGTTCAACCAGTATTATGCTTCAGAAAGCGATTTGATACGTCATATAAATCAACTAAATGTTCTTCTATAAATGCAAACAACTAACAAACTAAATCACCAATAGTTACAAATATGCAAAATATAATTTTATATCGATTAATAACGACTAATAATGCAATGTTTTTAAGTCTGTATTATCAAACGATAAACGATTGAAAAATAAAATGTTCATATAAAAATCAAAAATGTATTTAAATATTAAGAATGCATGTTCTATATAGAGCTCTTAATACACGTGAATTCACGTGTCACGTGTCACATGTAAAATCCAAAATAAGAACGTATAACCTTAATACTGTACTAATAATATTTTATTAAAAATTCAAGTGCATAATATAAAATTACTAATTTTCATCATTATAAAAATGGATATGTATTTGGATAAACATGTATTTCACGTTACACGTGAATTCCGTGACACGTGTAATAAAAGTTCTATTCATATATATGTTTGTATAATTTTAGTCTTGTATGTATATCGTGTAATGATTAAGTTAGAGCTCTTGCACATATATTTATACGAAAATGCGTTTTTTAGATCAAGAAGTAAAACTAACAGTCGGAAATGTTGATACGCATACAAGTACTCAATCATCGAGGCATGGAGTACTATTACCGAATACCATACGTGCGTTAATCGTTGGTCCTTCTGGATGTGGTAAGACTAATTTGGTATATACTTTATTGACTGATGTCAACGGTATAAGATTTCATAATGTATAACATTTATTCGAAATCATTGGATCAACCTAAATATAAAATTTTGTGCGATATTTTAAAAGATATAGATGGTATTCAATTATTCACGTTTTACGAAAACGATGAGGTTATTACACCTGAAAAAGCTTTACCAAATTCAGTATTTATCTTTGATGATATTATTTGCGAAAGTCAAACTATCGTACGATCATATTTTTCACGTGGTCGACATAATAAAATCGATGTATGCTATACTTAGCACAATCTTACGCCCGTGTACCGAAACAACTTATACGCGATTACAGTAATTTTATAATATTATTCAAACAAGACGAGACTAATTTAAAACATGTGTACATGGAACACTGTTCGGGTGATATGAAGTATTCAGATTTCAAGGATTTTTGTACAACTTGTTGGGGAAAAGGACGATTTGATTTTATCGTTATAAGTAAGGACTGCGAACGTAATAACGGGCGGTATAGAAATGGGTTCGACACATTTGTTGTTATATAAAGCGATGTAACATACATATTGAAACAGTCGAAGACATGACTTCCGAAGGCATGCTTATAGTTGAATTAGCTAAAGCAAAAGAAAATATCAGACAAAAATACTCTGCGTTAAAACTCGGAGACGCTGAAGCTACAACAATTGTATCAAGAACGTTAAAACCTATAATTGACCCTCTAGAAAATATATCAACTATACAGTTAACAAACCAACAAGTTTCAACCGAGCTAAAATATGAGGATGTAGAATTTTTAGAAAATCCAGACATTGAGAACTGGTTTCATTTTCAAGCTAAAGATAAAACATATGGTCCGAAAAAACTGCCAAATGGTATCATTCAACTAGGTAATAAAATAATAAAATTCATTGGAAATACATTAGTTATTGATGGGGTGACACATATTCTTACACCAGGACTTGTGAGTTTATTGTTTTCAAAATATCCATATCATTATACACAGCAAGAATAAGAAAAATATAAATCGATATTAATACAAACTTCAGCGCATTTAACCTTAGATAGTGCAAAGATTAAAAGTGGTGGGGATAAATATAAAAACATTATTATCAAATTGTTTTCATCTGGCAATGGACTGGCTATGAAGTTATAAAAACATAATTTAGTATATTGGAACGATCCTAACGAGATTGTCGATCGATTGCGATTACTCTTAACATCTCAAGCTGTTGATTATACAGGCGTTTCCAACGAAATAATATCTATTTACGAGGAATTATACGAAGCCGGAATAATAAAACGTATTCCAAATGTCTAAACGGGATATCGCCATAGAATTACACAAACCTGCTAGAAAAAATTACACAAGGCGTAGAGTTAATGTTTATGACAAAAACGATCTTTGGCAAGCCGACTTGGTCGAAATGATACCATATTTAAAGCAAAACAAGGGATACAAGTATATTCTATGCGTTATAGACTGTTTTACAAAATTTGCATGGGCAATAGCATTAAAATCTATAACTGCCAAAGAAGTTCCCAGTGCAATGTCGAAAATACTGCTTAAACGCGCACCAAAATTATTACAGCTCGATAACGGTAAAGAATTTTATAATTCTACATTCGACGCATTGATGAAGAAGTATAACATACACAAGTATTCAACTTTTAGCATCACGAAAGCATGCATTGTTGAACGTTTTAACCACACATTGAAAGAAAAAATGTTTAGAGAATTTACGGCGCAGGGCTCGCACAAGTGGTTTTCTATTTTACCGAAACTGATTAACGAGTACAATAACTCAAAACACAGAACTATAGGCATGACACCAGTGCAAGCTGATGCAGATCCAATGACCGTTCGTGTAAGCACGTATAAAGGGTTATTTACGAAAGGTTATTTACCCAGCTGGTCTACAGAAATATTTAAAATTGTGAAAAATGAAACTTTACCTATTACTTATCAACTACAAGATTATATGGGAAGACCTATCGCCGGTTGCTTTTATTCAGAAGAATTATTGAAAACAAATTATCCGAATGACTACTTAGTAGAGAAAATTATCCGTAGGAAAGGGGACAAAATTTTTGTTAAATAACTTGGGTTTGATAATACGCATAATAGTTGAATAAATACGATTGATGTTAAAAAATAGTATCACTCTAACTACAGACATGAATGTGTTCGGAACCTCTCAGGCTAGCGAAACAAATAAATTTATAATAAATCTCGAAAAGACGATAAAATCATTTTCGTCTAAATTGGATAAAATCGAATATTTACTCGAAGAAAATCATAAATCCCTTCGAGTTCAAGAAGAACAAGTAGATGTGATACAATTGACATGGGTACAATTAGCTGAGCATATGACAAGAGGTGAAGTGTCATTACAATTAATCAAAGAAAGTACAGAAGGGCTAAAAACAAAATACCAGCTATACTTAGTCAACTCAATACTATTGAAACTTATTATAAAGACAAACCATAATGCCTTGAGCCATCTTGGACATGCAATGAGTACTTGGTTTAAACAATAAATATATGATTAAAGAAATGTCTGTGGTAGACACAGAAACTTGGGCGACTCAACATTGGATTTTTAAACATTCAAAATCTATGCAGGATAATAAAAGTCGTAAAACCAACAAGTGGCTGGAACGTAATTATCATCAACTATCAATAGAATACGGTGACATCAAGTATGAAGAAGTCGGAAGAATATTGAATTCATTAAAGTTCACCTGCATTTACGTCAAAGGTGAACAAAAAAAACAAGTTCTCGTGGAGTATATACCTCGCGTGGCACTCATCAACATTGAAGCTTGGGCTGTCCTCGTTTGGATCAAATATGTGATGACGAAACTTTACCTTGTTGTATTTTTCATATGGAATTTAATCCTAAACAATGTACATTTTATAAAGTATTTGCTATAAGGAAATGGTTTATAAATAATTCTTAAAAATGTAATTGTATTTAATAAACTTAATAATATTTTAACATTGGTTTTTTTTTCACGCTAACTTAGGTATCCTAAAATTGTCAATACATGGTTATAGGTTGCAAGTGATATTATTTATATACATAGAATTGATTACATGAATATACACAAATATATTAAAATTAACTAAATTTTATTACATTTCCATTACATGAATATATACAAAGTGTTTTTACAAATCTTAATATTCAGTATCAGCCATCATATCAGCCAACTCTTCGTCCCTATAAAATTATAAATATTATAAGTATAATAATTTAAAATTATAATAATTTCAAAACTTACTCTATTCGATAGTGGCCGTGAGCTAAGGTGTGGATTTTATCTTCTAGTATAACTCTCTTATCATCAAAGTTATTCAGTGTTAATTTATTTATTCTGATTGTCATTAGCTTGTGTTTAAACGATCGTATGGTCTCTACATTCTCTCTACTGACATCCTTCTCATCCACACCGAACAAACACTTTTTATGATCGTTGAATGTCATGTGGTTATCAACGATATGCTTCCTGATTCCCTTCGCTTTGATTTTTTCCTTTCTGGACAAAATATAAGAGTATAATTTAGCTCTCAACGCGCAGAAATCAGTCATTATGTCACCCTCGGTCTCGTCGGAAAAAAGACCGGGAATTTTTTTACGATCGTTTATATAGCACGGATGATCCTTTGGCAAGTCAGACGTATCCATTCGATCTAGCAAATTAGGGTTGATGGTCAAGTCTCCGTAAAAATCTTTCGTATTGATGTGATACACAAGAGAATCTAAAATAATAATAATATGTATTAATTAGTATTTTTATACTCACATATTGATTTTTATATGTATATTTATTTACCTGTATCAGTGAACATAAGCTTAATATTATCTCCATAGTGTCTTTTCATTACGTTATAGTGGTAGTCATACATTAATGTTTTGCTGATGTCTAATACTGAAAAACCTATAGAAATGAAAAAATAAAACTATGTAAAATAAAAGTGTGCTAAGACAAAATTTGATGTTTACCGATATAGATAGGTTTGTTGAATTTAATAATCTTATTTTCCAATGTTACAGCGTTCAAATTTTCGGTATACGTTGTAGAATGTTTAAAGGTGCTCTTATAAGTTTTTGTAAACGTTTGTCATTGGATACCAATTTCATTTGTATTCTTTTTCTCACGCTCTCCATTGTTTTCCCTACACGAATAGATAAATGTTTAAAGTTTATAAAGGTTTATCAATATATTAACATACCAAATACAGCGTTATTCATGAGTTTGAAAAAATATCTTTCAAAGTCATTCGTAGCGTTCTTCCTCATCGCAGTATTTAAATTAATATAATCGGCTAACCAAGGAGATTAATCGAATTGCACGACTCTATATACCTATAATATATTTATGTTATAAATGTTAAATAAATTAAAAAAATATATACATTTACTTTTTCTACTATCAACCCGTTTGCTATAGCCTGCTGAAGATTACGATAGTGTATTATATAATTGTTTTTCCTCTCGAATGTCGCCATTAGTTTCTTTACCTTCGAGCCCATAGGTATACCGTTTTGAGGGAGAAATGGTAAGTCATTATGCTTATCATGTAGGTGTTCAGGATAAGACACATCTACCTCGTATATTCGTCCTATGGGCGAAGTCTCATTCAAATCGTTGAGCCCATCCAACGTCGGCTTAACCCATTTAAACTTACCATAGGGCATGTACTGTGACATCGCCCAACCGTACAGATTGTTACCTAAAAATAATTACAGAGCATATTATAATATTTTTGAGAAAAATAAATAGATGTATACTTACAACCCTGATAATCCAGCCACGAATGTGACTTCATATCATCATAATCGGGTACCTTCTCATTGTTAACTTTAGCATAACGCATGCTAGTCTGCACCAGCCCACCTCGTATACCTATAAAAAATTTAATTCGATAATTTGTTTATTTAATAATAATAAAATAATTTCTAATACTAACCATTTTCAAACATCAACAACATATTATAATCTGACAGCAGTTCCAGCTTCATTGAGGTGTATTTAAGCATACAGTCAAATGAAAACCTTGGAGCGGTGTAATAGTATGCAGGATCTAAGTTGTAAGCCTTCATACACACATCGCGGAAATTTTCGAAAATGTCTGCCAGCAGCAATACATCAATTTTTAAATATAGATCCGAGTATTCGCCAATCGTTTTTCATACAAAATGTCTCCACACTTTCATCGCGTACTCGTACTCTTTATCATCTAGACTCGACTCAGTCAGGATACTGTAGAATTCGGCTTTATCCGGTAACGCATTTTCATCAAGTTTATTCCACGCGTCCATATATTCATAAGGGTAGACACCCTTACGGGTTACAAGGATCATATCATCAGTGGAAAAATGTTTCCCGGTCTCGCAAAATTTAGAAAAGTCAGGAGTTAGCAAATTTTTAGCGAGCTTTGAAAGTTTCGAAGCCATGAATCTATAAGTGTCTATGAATCTGATTGTGAACGTATTTGATACGTATTTGAAAAAGGAAATAAACTTCTCCTCACTGTTTGATAAAACCGTAATATAATGCGTATCATATCCTAATTCTATCACTATAAAATGAGCATCATAATTCGAGAGATTATGTAGGAAATACGGAACAAAAACAGGTGTTTGAAGTTTTTGGTTACACATATTGCATAGAGCTTGACGATATTTTCCGGAAAGGTGTCAGTGGTCGGCCGTTTTTCGATGTTGTGTCTCATGAGGTGGTGTAAATTTTATACAACACAGATTACAGTGAGTTGCAACCTCGTGATCCACTCTATTACGTGCGCTCATATTTATCTTTACGCTTGTTTTTAACAATTTCTCTATCTTTAAAGATATTTCAGTCACCATCTCCACGAAACGTTTCGCTACATCACCACGTTCCTCACTACCACGATAAATAATCATTTTAGTCGGTATATCATATTCCTTAAGCAGACTTAATGGAACGTCATTGGACGGCTTGACGAAAAGCCCGAAACTCATAGGCTCGTGTTTGTGAGTAATTTGTGTGTTTTTCCCCTTCTTCTCACCATCAGTCTTCAACAGAAGTGCTTCGAAGTCCACATATATAACGATGGGATGTCGTTGTGTGTTTCTCCACGCATCAAACTTTATAAAATCCCCTTCTGCCGGCATAACTGGTAATATCAGTTTATGTAATCCACATATCCACATGTTCCTCTAACGCAGCCTGTCCACTCAATTGATATTTTCGAGGTATATTGTCAAAACTTGTAAAACATCGCTTACAAAATAATAATTTGCTTTCATATCTAGTTTTTTGTGGCCGAACGAGTCTCGAAAAATTAGATATATATATGTAATGTGTATTATCATTTTCCGTCACTAATAATAGATCAAAGTGATCTCGTTTTTCTTCATCTACAACTCGGAGTGGGAAAACCTCATATGTTGAGAACTTTTTCGGTGGTTGGAAATGCTTTTTAATACCATAAATATTTATGGAGACGAGTGGATTATTGTTTTCAAATATTTTTATATCAGATAATGGAGTTGGAAATGAGATAAGATCGAAAATATATTTCCCCTCGTGTCTGCGATAATTTTCACCAATACGACATTTCGGTTCCTCCGTTACATGCTTAGCTAATATAACCCACTTGAAGCAATATTTATCAGTATTTTGTGGATTGATTGTACCCTTTTTTCTATCGATACTATCTGGTAAGGCTATATAAGATGAAACAGACATTGGTGTATATTTATACACCCCTAATAACAATCCATCTACAGCTTCTAGCGCGAATCCACTTCCTCTCTCCGAATAAGTCTCTTCTTTCGTTAATAATTTTATAAAAGATTCTTCAACAAGTGCTGATATATCCGACTCTCTAAACAACTCGACTGCAGATGTTTTGAATGCACGATTTTCTGAGGAATTTTCCACACACGGGATATTATAAGTGGCCTTTAGTTTTAAATTAAATTTAATGGCGTTTTTCTTAAGAAGTGTTTCCAGTATATGTATTAAATTGGATTTCAATGAGTGTAAAAATATATTATAATTTTGAACATTATCATTATTTTTAGCGTAATACCATACGATTTTACAGTTTGCTGATGTTAAAATTTCTACAAGACCTGGGGATCTAACCAGTTCCATACGCACTTTTTTCACCTTAATAGCTGAAGTAGAATTAGCGTTAGAAATGCGTTTACCATTGACTATAGTCGTATAAGAATCTTTAAAAAAAAAAATATATTATCTCATACTTTATCGATGATATTAACTGTAATATGCATATATTACTAAGAAATAATAATACGCATATTCCTGAGTCAATAAGGAAAAACGTACCAAGAATAACTTTGCACACATAAACTTTAATGAGTGCCACGTGCGAATTACAAATCACAAAAACATCCGCAAACAACACCACATTCGAATAAGACAATAAAGGCCAAGGGTAACCACGGACGAAACATCATTTGAATATGACGATCAAGACCAAGGACAACCACGTGCCGAAAACAACACAATTAAACCAGAATCAAACAGAGTATACAAAGGCTCCGTTTCACCACCAACGGCAGACGTGTCTAGCTATCAGTACAAGCCCTTCTGAGTTTCGTCTTTGATATTGTTAGCGCGCAAATTTATAATTTGTATCTGTATCTGTATCTGTATCTGTAATTGTATTTGTATTTATTAAAAGTGTTTACAAGTGTTTAAATTAATTATTGAATCAATTTATCCTGATCCAACAACATCATTACGATAGGTACCTGTTTTTATTGGGTACCACGTAACATAACATTACACTAATTTATAATCCTATAGTATTAAAATCAAGCTATCATCATATAACAATCTATACATTTTGGAAACTGATTAACTTATACTCTGTTCATGTTATTAAAATATAGCTTGGACTGTATAAAAATATTTAAATTTTAAAAACTAACATTTACATGTTATTAAAACAAATTTATACTCTACAACAATAGAAAAAAAAACCTATATTCTACCTATATCTTTAAGTTAATATTATTTCTATGATATTAAAAATAAAACTAACCTTGTATATTTTCGTTTTCAAATTCCATAAGTACCTCCTTACACACATTATCGTTATCCCGTAGATTGCATACATTTTGAATAGTTTGATACTGGTTTGAAGGTCCTGCCTGCGTGTTTGATACCATGGTTAGTGGAGAAGACTTTATAATACTATTGTGAGGTGGATGATTGCGAGTAATACCTTATAAAAATAAATAATTATTTGTTTTAATTTATAATAAAACAATATAATATACATACCATGGAATTTTTTATATGTCTATTGAGATTTGATTTCTTAACGAATGATTTGGTACATATAGTACATGATAAACGCACACCATTATGTTTATTTTGGTGGACAACCAAATTGTCTTTACGTGTAAAGGTAGACACGCACTGATCGCATTTAAACATTATTAAATGTATAAAGTATACATGAAATACAGGGGAAAAAAAGTATAATAAACACTTTGAAAAAAAAATACTAAGTATATTCTTAATATAATAAACACTTGGAAATATTTAAAGACGGTGTGATACTTGTACGTTAACTAGAGCATAAGACTGGAGATGTATTGACTGGCTAGTGACACTTGTAGGTATAGGTTGTTATCGATTTGTATTAGTACATGCTTAATGTATAATTTAACGAATCAAACACGATCACGCTAATCAATATGCCCATAAGTTAATGGCATTTAAGATTTTTCAGAACATAATCGTTAAAATGCGACATCCTGGCGGCTAAAGACAATTATAATGTTTTATTCACTAATAGGCAATATCTTTAACTAAATGTCTGCGAAACTCTGAAGACCAGTTGGACACATTAAGCAGAGCGTTAAAATAGGAATTAATTATAAATGTGTAAGCATAAGATCACATTTTAATATATTTTTTTTTTAAGCATTGGTCGGCTAATATTCATGGGAACGCTGCGTCGCTGCCGGTGCGGTGGGTAGCGGCGTCTGCAGTAGTGGTACGCGACCGGGTGATGGCGAAAGTGGTGGGGGTGGACCATTCACATATACGATATGCATGGAGGGGAGAAATATACATAGGTTACGTGGTCGATCAGTGGTGCGTAGGGTGTAGGGAGTAGGGAGTAGGTTATACCGTAGGTTAGTAGGTAGTACCGCTATATTTATCCTACTATTATTAAATATAATTTTCAAATTTAAAAATTTTCAAATCATCGAATTTATTTCATAATATCTTATTTGTGTTGTGTGTGAATAAATTGACATTTGGGGGTACTTAAAGCAGTAGTGAAAGGTCAAGGGGTACGTAAATGAAAAAAGGTTGAGAAATGCTGCACTATTTCCATAGGCAGATATTTGGTTGAATTTTTGGAGAGGCTATAATAATTCAATGTAAAATAACCCGCAGGGGCTTCGCCCCTACACCCCCTTCATATACACGAGTAAAACTTATTACTATTAAAAATATAGATATGTTTAAATTGTATTAAAAAAATACTAAATAACGTATATTTAAAAATAATTAATATTTTATTTTAATGACAAATAAACTATTTGTATTAGCAAAGATACTCAAAATATCATTGCTTTTAATATTTTTCAATATATAGTATTGAAAGATTGCTAAACCTATCATAAAACAACAATGTCCTTAACCAAGTTTTTATATTTTTCATTACACTGAAACTTCTTTCGCAAGTAGCCAAACTATGTAATTGGTATTGTTAATGCTATTGTAAATAGTTTTT